CCCTGGCACCCATGGTCACAGGGCCAAGTTGGCATTCCTGATGAGCACTTGTGAGTTGGGCCCAGAAACAAAATGGCAACCAGCACAGCTGTTTTAAAACAGGGGGTATGTGAGATCCAAACAGAACCCTTGCCAGTAATCTGACTGCTGCAATTTGGACCAGTCGAAGTTCCTGAATTGTCATCAAGAGCAGCCCCGCATAGAGATCATTGCAGCAATCCTTTCTGGAAGATACCAGAGCATATCTGGAAGATATTTAGGATGGTTTGGAGGTTAATGTGATGTATATCCTGTATTCAAGGACGCGGGTGGCGCTGTGGGTTAAAGCACAGAGCCTAGGACTTGCCGATCAGAAGGTCGGCGGTTCAAATCCCCACGACGGGGTGAGCTCCCATTGCTTTGTAGATAAATAGGTACCACTCCGGCGGGAAGGTAAACAGCGTTTCCGTACGTTGCTCTGGTTCGCCAGAAGCGGCTTAGTCATGCTGGCCACATGACCCGGAAGCTGTACCCCGGCTCCCTCGGCCAATAAAGCGAGATGAGCGCTGCAACCCCAGAGTCGGCCACGACTGGACCTAATGGTCAGGGGTCCCTTTACCTTTACCTATCCTGTATTCAATCATAAATCCACAGATGTGCCACAGATCACCTGCATGAAGTTCATTACCACTGGGGTTTCATGGACCACAGCTTGGGAACTCCTGCTTTAGCAGGTTCAGACACTGTTTGCTTTTATGGTGTGCTAGAAACATTGTTTGATTTGTGATTCTTACTTTGCAAATGCTACCCAATATTTGAGGTGGCAGTCTTACAGTCTATCAGTGTTATTTATGAATGTACTGTGTTTTTATCCAGCTTTTCAGACAATTATCATCTACCGAAACAGCTCACATCAGTTAAAAAGAGAGAGGTACAGACCCTGCCATCAGGCATGCAAACAAAAAAAGACCACACAGACAAGGAAAGGGATCTGGAGGGAAAAGGCAGAGGAGCCATCAAGGCCCCCTCCAGATATCCCTTTTATCACCAGCAAATTTATTACCAACCCTTCACTAGCAGGTTCCAGGGCAGGTTCCAACAATATAAAATAGCAAACAGTACAAACCGATTACAATCACAGGAATAGGGCAGGCCCTAAAAACAGACATCTCAGGTGCCAAAGGCCAGTTTTCATGGTGCATTATTATTCATGCTCATGATTGTATCAGGGCAAGTTATTCATGGTCCCACTTTCAGTACTGTTTGTACAGACAAACCTTTTTGGAGCTGACACACTGCTTTGTTTCAAAGCAGTGCATGCCCCTGTAACGCCTTGGTGACACCCTGTGATTTTTATATACCACAAATTTCCTGGTTTATTTTTTGACCCACTTTTGGTGCTCTATAGTCCCCTTCTACTCAGCAATAATACAGCAGCACTGGGAAAGCACCCCAGACCCAGTGAGGACTGTGGGCACAAAATGTTGATGGATTGCTGGGGAAGAGGGAGATGGAATAGAGTATCCTGGGCGGGGGGGAGGATAGTGAGCTTGATTGAATCCTGATTGAATCCACACTGCCAACCTTTTGCCGAAAGTCCCATTTGTAAGAATAATACTGGGGATTTAGACAGTGCAACGCAGGTCAGTTTTAGTATATTTGTATAGGAGGTGCTTAGCGGGAGGCTGAGATAATAGTTGCTCACTAGGTCAAGATAACCTGGGGCCAGTCACTACCTCGCAGGCTAACCTACTTCATAGGCTTGTTGTAAGGATAAAGGAAAAGGGTATGTATGTCGCTTTCAAGGTCCTTGGAGGAAAGATGATATGTAAATATACTTATTTGCTCAAGGATACCTAGTTACTTGATGGCAGAGGTGACATTAGAACAGTGAACTTCCCAATTCTTAATTCAAACTTTGAGCCGATACGCTGTAAGAGCTCACAGCTGGAACCACTTTTTTAAAAATAATAAACTTGGTGAGAAAAAGCATCACTTCATGATCCTACGGTACAAGATTCAACATGTTTCCTTCGGAATTAATAACCGGCCTATTGGGTTTAATTGTATTCTGGACCCAGTTACAATGTCATGTGGGGAAACTGATACACTTTACCAGAGCCCAGAATTCAAGCTAGAGTGGTATCAAAAATATTGGCTTCAAACCTCTTAACAACTTGGGGCGGGGCAGGGCAGGGGCAGAAGAGAAGTAGGCTAAGTTGCAAATCGTGCATGAGAATGTTAGTCCCAGCTTTTCTATATCTATAAGGGTGACCTGATGCTGTCAGATTTGCTGGAGCCAATGAGAAGAAGTGTTGAAACATTTCCCAGAGTCCCTTTATTCCTGCTGGTATTTCCTATGCAGAGTAGAAGGAAACAGCAATTCCTCATAACCAGCAAGGCATTGTTTGGAAAGAAGGCATATGAAAGTTTGCACAGGCCCCAAATATGTTGTGATATTCAACTTCAATGATTACAGAGATGCCTATTCAACACAATTGTCTGTACAGTGTTGCTTGGACCAGAACCCACAGTCTGGTACCTGACTTCAAATGCAACGCCACAGTCACCTGCAGTTTCATCAGAATAGTACCATGGGCAGTTTCTCCAATCACAGGATCAAGGTGCAGCTACCATACAATTATTTCTTCTCAGAATTTGCTGGCCCGTAATGGAGTGCTCTTCACTCTGACTGCAAACGTTGCCAGGGGAGAAAGAAAATAAAGTGTTGTTGCTTTGACTTATCAGCAGAGCCAGTGAAGCACCAGGATCATGAGCAGTGGAGGGCAGGGTGAAGAGACATGACAATTCAATGTTAAAAGCAGAAATGAGGAACTTGTGGTCCTCCAGGTGTTGTCTGACTCCTAACTCCCATCAGCCCCAGCCAGCACAGCTAATAGTCAGGGATTATGGGACTTGAAGTCCAGGAATATTTGAAGGGCTGCAGGCTCCACCATCCTGTCCTTAAAGGAACACATAAAAAAGGGGGGGGGGTGTACAGCAAACTCACAGAGCCTTTGGCCAAAGGAAGTTGCACAGTACCTCTATTCCAAAAGAGGATGGGTCAAGTCTGACCACCAGATAAATTTGGGGGTGGGCTGACAGTGTGTGGAACCCACTAGGGAGGAAAGGGAAACCAAGAAAAGCCTAGCTCAGTCTTTTCCAGCTCTCACCAAAAATGCCAGAGCACTCAACCATCATGTCTCATATCCCTTCTCTCCTACACTCTGATTATGCCAGCTGTCACCCAGATATTTATACCCACTGCCCCCAGCTGTGACTTTCTTCTCTAAAAAGTGCTAAGAGTTCAAACTTTCACAGAAACCTTGCTTCCTCTTTCTGTTGCAAAAAGCAGAAGTGCACATTCACTGTGGTTAGGCATTCAGAGATGTTCTGATGTGATGCATTTTCAAGCATTAATCTCTCACTTTCCTTATAGTGACAAAGCTGGTTCATCACCAGCCTTAGAAGGGATTTGCATTCTATGACTTCCAACCAATGCCCTTTCTCCACCTCCCCTCACCCCAAGGGAGTGTCTCTCAATCACTCTTTAAATCCCAGCATGCACATGTATAACCTGAGATCTTATCCGCAAAGCATCTTGCTCATCTTTTATTTATTTAGGACCATCGGTGTGCATGGTTTTTCACAGAGGCCAAAGAGTCCCCTGGTACCTTAAAAGAACATGCAAATTTAATGGTGGCAGAAGTCACATAAGGGAAGGAGGAGCATGCAAACCTGAGGTTTGCTGCAGCTCATTTGCAGCTATTACAAACAGTATGAACCATTGTGACTGAACGGCAACATCATTTGCACTGAAAAATAAGAATCATGTGCACGTTTGGCATGCTTGGAAGAGGCTAGGCAAAAACCTATCCCAGATGTGCTAGTTTTCAATGCACAAGGGAGTTTTGTTTGCTGGAAGGAACATAGGTTTGTGCCGACACCATCGACCCGCTCCTCTCATATCCCATGTGGCTCTTCTCCCCAGGCACTGTGTAACAGATCCAGAAGGCATTTGTGAAGCACTGCAGAACTTTTGCAGAGAAAAAAGGATAGCACACACTGCTCCACCCCTCTCCCAGCCCACTTAATGTTTCTTCTCATAATAAGGATGGATCCATTGACAGCAGGAAGTTCCCTGCCCTGAATTCTGAGTGAGCATGGTTAGGATTGTGCTGTAAAGACACTAAACATACAACCCTTTGCAGGCTGTGTACAATTTTAGGGAAGAAGTGAGCCATTCTGGAGCAACTATAGCCATGCACTGCAAAACACAGAAGGGAAAACTTCCCCACAAGAAGCTGACACAACACAGCTGTCAAGGGTGGTTTATAGCGCTGGCTGCAATGTAAAAGGTAATGGACGTTTCAAGTATCAGCACAAGTTTTGCAGCAGCTGTGAGACAAGTAATAACTTGCTTCCTTCACTTCTCCAAGGAAGCTTGTGCTGTTGAGGAATTACCCTCAACCCAGTTATGCCAATGGGAGGGCAAGGGCATATCTTCCACCTGCATCACGGAGAAGGCAGCAAGCTCTGGAGTTTCTCTGATATAAAACAGGATGTAGAGCCTTTTCTGTGGTCTTAGGCCTACCTGAAAGACCACCCACAGGAGACAGCAAGCCCAGCTGTGTGGATTCTAGGATTCCTTGGAAATTAGAGGGTGTTCCCCTCCACTTCTTCTTTTTTCTAAAGGAAGTTTTCAGCTCTTGTAGCTGCAAATATTTGTTGGGAGTTCCACAAGCCAAAGGGGAGGCTGAAAAAGCTTGCCCACGCAGTCGCTGGCTGTAGGCAGGACTTTGCCTCTCCCATCGGCAACACAACCGGAAGCATGCAAAATGGCAGAAATGTGGAATACACCCTGCAAATTATGAGAGGCAATCCCATCTGCATCATTCATACCAACCCCAGAATTCAGTTTTTAGACTGCATTGGGTGCAATATTTATTAGTTGACACAGCCCAGCCAACCACCTTCCGTTAATCCTCCCCACTCCAGAAGAAGAAGACCAGGACACACAGGAGATGAGATGAACTAGTTTAATAGACACAGTGATTGACTGATGAGGACCAGCGGGGGGAGGGAATACTTCACTTGTCCAAAACAGTAACAGTAAACACAATGACCGGTTGCTCTCTATTTCACACATACACATGGCAGCACCTGATACTTCAGAGTCTCTACTCAAGAGCAAATAAGGGATTAGCACCTGCCCATAAAGTTGCCACACCAGTTCCAGTGCTCTTGCCTTTAGTGCGTGACACAGGTGGACTCATACCGAGACAATTCTAGAACAGTGCATGCTTAAGTCACACAAATACACACGAATCATATAAATACTCAGCATACAGAGGCACAGAAAGCCGAGCCTCTTTCCTATGGCAAAGGGAAGGCAGATGCTGCCCGCCCTTGGGAGATTCCTATTTTCCTAGGGAAGCCCACCCTAAAATACACAAGGGCTGCTGTGGATGGCTTCTACAAATGCTCAGTAGTAATCGGGGTGTGCAGGTTTCCCCACCCTGCTTCTTTCCATCTAGTAATGTCAGGGTTACATAGGAGCTTCCTGGAGGTGAAAGTCCCTCAGTTTCCTTGGAACAAAACAAGCCATTCAGAGTTGCAGGCAGGGTGAGTCAAAATTTCCTTATTAACTAATCCTGCAGAGCCAGGCACAAGTCGGCTCTGCAATGGGGCAGGCAAGCAAACTCCCTCCCTCCCTCGCCGGCCTGCTCTTGTCCAGGGAACGACAGCTCCAAAAACATCCAGTTGTAATGCCATGTGGGGGGTCACCTTTCCCAAAGAATCCTTTGCTTTTGGTCAGAGTTTCCTAGAGGATTACGCCCACACAGAGGGGCGAGGCAGAGAAGAGGGGACAAAATGTAGCTTACAAGCAGTAGAGCAAGAGCAATGAGAGGGGGAGGGAATAGCAGCCAATGCTCTGCTCAGAGGTCAAGCTTCAAGCTAGGACGTGTGGCAGGCGCAGGTGGGGTGGGAGCTCTCTTGCCTGTCATGTGTGTTGCCTTTTAAGCAATTTTATGATGGCAATTTAACTGAGGTTATGGGAGAAAAAGTGCTAGTAAAAGAGGAAACTCTGCCCCCAGCAAATCGCTGGATAGGCATAAAGCTGGAATTCAACTTTTGCACAGGGCAAATCTGGGACTTGTTGCTAGTAGTCCAGTGTGCTGCTCTAGAGGTCAGGAGAGATAAGTGTGTGTGGTTGGACTGAGGAATAATGGCTTATACAAGTTTCTAGTCCTGTGTGTTCTTGAACTGCACTTCACTTTCTGGTACCAAACTGAGCAGCTAACATGCTTGTTATTAAGAGGCTGCAGGTGGTTAGGATGTGCTCCTCCACGGTAGTCTCTGTCTGTGCAACTTGAAGGACACTGCCACACCCCAGGACCTGCCAAGGTGATTACAGGAACAATATTTTCTTATGATTCTTAGGTTTTTCCTATTATTCCCTTTCTCCTTTGAGTGGGGTTCTCATGAGAAAAGCACGATATTGTCACACTAGCAGCTCGACTACACAAACGGAGAGCTATACAACTTCAGATTTATCACACACAGGTAAACACAAACACATGCAGGAGGGAGCCAAGGTTTACTGCCACACATCCATCCAACTGGCCTCAAGAGGATCATTCATCAAATCTCCCATCCCGGATGTTGTCAAATGAGAAAGGGAGGAACTTGAACCCGGCGCCCATGTAGAACTTGTTCTGAAATTCCACCCTAGTGAGAAACAAAAAAAGGAACACAAGAAGCAAACAACCATCAGCTCAGGAGGCATGTCAAAGAATTTCGAGATTCAAAAGTGGCAGTGACCTTATCCTTTCTATGGCATTCATGTTTTACTACTGCAATGTACCGTTTCAGATATCCCAATTCCCTGTCCAAGTTTAAACCCACAGCCCCCCTCCCGGTTGCCTTTGCAGAAGGTTCAAATTGCAGCAAATGTGAGTGGGTATCAGTGCAAGGACTCAGGCATGCAAGCGATAACAGCACTCTATGCCCAAACGTAGGAATGGGGAACCTCAGGTCTGGTGGCTGAATACAGGCCCCTCTATCCATCCCTCTGGACTCTCACTGGCCCTGCTCCACACCTCTCTCAAGCACTTCTGGGTGGATGGGATGTGTCCTTAAAGTGGATCCGGCTAAAGGCCCATCTAGTCCAGCCCCCTGTTCTCACAGTGGTTAACCCCATTCCCATGCGGAGCCCCAAAGCAGGACCTGGGCGCAACAGCACTCTATCCACTCGTGAGTCCAAGAAGTGGGCATTCAGGGGACACACTACCTCTGACAATGGAGGAAAAACACAATCATTGTGGTTATGTCTATCTCTGCTAAACCATGTGTCTAGGAGGCTCAGGGCAAGGGGCACACCTGGACTGAATGCCCAACACAGCACTACTTTAGACTCTCTCCTCTGCATCTGGTTTAGCATCACAACAGGAAACCAGGCACCGAAGCAGCTTTCATGGATATACCCCAGAAGAACCGTGAGTGACAACCCCTGCAAGGACAGGCTCTTTAGAATTCTGGACTGTCAGCGATGCAGAATCCTATTCCTCATCTCTGAGGTCAGGATGATTTGATGGTTCAGAATTCCAAAGAGCATTCTGCATCCTCCCACAGATGATGATTTTCTTGAAATTCCCAGGGGTGACCAGTTAGACACCCACCTCAGAACCAGCCAAGATTCTAACACACATACAGAGAGAGCAAGAGAGAGAGAGCGCTTCATGTGGTGTATACCGTATTTGTATTCCACCTTCCTCCAAATTGTTCAGGGCAATACATGGAGGTTATCATATTTTATCCTCGCCATTCACTGTGAGGCAGGCTAGGCTGAAATATAGTCACTGATCCTAACGCATCATAGACGAGAGGGGTTTGAACTGAGGTCTCCCAAGGCCTTTTTCAAATAAACCACAGGGGTGTAGCACAACATGGCATAGGTACCCGGATTCCCCCCTCCCAGTTCTTGCAAGGCCTTCGGGGTTGTATCTATGCCAGGGAACTTTGCAAGTATGCCACATTCTCCCAGTAGTGATTTCGTGGAAGGCCATTACCTGGACATCAATCCAAAGTCTTAGGTTCACCCAGCCAAGTCAGGGTCACTGTTATCATGTCTTCCCTAACCTATGATGTTCCCCTCAAAAAGAAAAGGGAAGGGAACGATTCAAGTTGATTAGGCTTCGATACATTTCACAAAGTGGAATGAAAATCTTCCATTTTGGCAAAAAAGGTAAAGATTCAGTACTGGAATACCATACAAAAAGCAAGGTCACAGTTCGTTTCAGCTGCACTCCAAAAACTATTCTAAATGCCCATCTAAGTCACGGCAAATGAGACGTCTTTCTTTTGAACTAGAGCAGTCTGGAGCCCCTCTTCTTCCATCACCAACTTCAGGGTGCCACAGGGAAACACCAGAGAAAGGAACAGAGGCCTGCATTCCAGGATTGGTTTGTTTCTTTTGCTGTTTTGCCGTTTCCACTAATGAACTCAAAATGTAAAGGGAATGGTACTGGAAGGCTGCCCAATCATAAACAGGCACCAAACATGGAAAGAAAAACCCCATGATTCATTAAGAAAACAAACCCCGTGCTCTTCTCTTGGCTCTGTGGTGAGAAACATTTTCCATCCCCTTCATCTGCCAGATACAGAGAAAAACCGAGTACGAGTTGATTTGCTGCCGCTGCTCCTCTAGGGTGGAATGTTTCAAGTGCAGGATTCTTTTTAAAGACTAACATCCATCTTGCAAACCCAAATACACCAGAGAACACAGAGAAACTTCATTTAACTCAGGGGCAGTGAGAAGGCATAATGGATCAAGCAAACTCTCATACACCTTTGCAAGCAAATGCAACACCTTCCCCCAAAAGGCAAAAGGCACAGATGGAATTTGCCAGCTACCAATATGAACTAGCCTTCTCTCCCTTTGCAAAATCTCCAATTTCACAATTCGCCTGCCAAACCCACACGAGCAAAATCCTTGCACACAGAAGACTAGTGCATCAGGGCAAAGGTTATGCTAGAGCTCTTCTTCCTGATACACCACCTTTCTACATGCAGAGATTTGTGCATGTTAAGAAGGAGAGCTCAGTCACATGAGCCGCCCACCCATAGCCTGAAGCGATATACCCCAGATGCAAGCAAAATGCAGCCTCTGATAAGCTAAGAAGGGAAGACCATTGCAGAGCGAAAGGGCAGAGGATTGCAACAGCCCGCCACCACCACCTCCGCTCTCTTTGCCCCCGCCAGCATGCCCACGTCGCTTGGACGGCGAACAGCTCCCCCCTGACTGAGAATACCAGTTGCGCTGCCAGACCGCCAAGCATTCCCAGCATATCCAGGGTGTGCCAGCTGCACTTACAGACTGGAAACAGCTGCGCGCTCTGCTCCTCTCCACTTGTTTCACTAATTGGCAGGGACACGGGGCTAGCGGGAGGGAGGGGCGGCCATATTTCAAGCCTTTTTAAAAAGAAGTTAGCGAGTTTCAAGACTCATGTCTCTGGCGACAGGCATTGCGTGATCAAGAGGCAGGCAAGAAATTTGTGGTTCACATCCAAAGGGGTGGGGTGGGGGAGCTCCTCGGTCTCAGTTTCACTGTTCTCCAATGGGCACGCAGCAATTCAGCCCAGGAACTTTATGAATTGCCAGCCGTTGGGTCCAGGGAACACTGTGTCTGGAAACATTACCTTCCACATGCCCCAAGTAGAGGCGTGGAAAGCGGTTGGAAGGGGCTCCCATTTGCAGGATTAGATGGTGGACGGAGAAATTGCAGGTGGTCAGGAACAAAAAAGTCCCCCTTTCCCACCCTCCCGGGCAAGAGGAGGAGATGGGTAGCACCGAGTCAAAAGATTGCAACCCCAGAAGGCCTTGCATGATTTCAAGAGAGGAGCTGGTGATTGTATCTTACTGCTAGACAAGATCACGCATACTTGGAGGTCCCCTCCCTTCTTTGAAGACTGCAGGAGCAGAGGAACACAATCCCTCTCCCCTTTCGAGTTTAGCTCAGATTCTACTAAGGCCTGTATCAAATTAAGTGTATACACACGGAGACACACACAGTTCCACAGAACATCCTCCCTCAACGGAATGTTCCAATGTTCCGCTCCTTCCAGCCATGGAATGTGTAGCTCCCCACTGGCACCTAATTACCTGAGCCTCCTTCCCCCGCCCCCCAACCTCCTGGCCCAGCCATCTGGAGCTAAGGTGGTTCCTTGCTTTTAGCCAAAGATCTCGCCCTCTCCAACTGGAACAAGTCTCGCCTCCTGTGCATCGTGCAGCGCCGGCCAACTGGATAACTTTCATTCTGCTTTCCTGGCCTCAGTTATCTTTTTTGGAACTCAGTTCCCTAAGGCTGAAGGGTTCTACTGCATGCCAGTTATTAAGACACAGAAAAGCAGAGAGAAGAGGACTGCATTGCCATCGCTCTCTTTTTACGCCCAAGGTGTAGGGAAACTCCCATTCCAGCTGTGCATCAATCCCCGGAGCACATCTCCATCCTGCCCTCCATCTCAGCCCTCCTAAGGTCTCAGGTGGCAAGACAATGAACTCCAACATGCCTTTGGCTGCAAACTAAATGTCAAAAGGGCCCTTTGTGCAGCTAAGGGGGTAGAGCATGATCAGCCAATGGCACTGGCAGCGAAATACACACTTGCTTCCCACACAGCCGCGGAGATAAGGAAGCCCCCGCTTTGCAAAACTATTTGTTTTTCAGCCAAGGCAACCATCTGCTTGGAATGTACTGCTGCCTGAAAAGTTACGAGATAAACCCATCCCAGCCGGGAGTGGCCGGGCTGAGGAAGGAGAGATGGAAAGCATTTTTTCCAGCAGGAAAGAAGATTCACTGTTCTTCCTCTCCAGCAAAAGGTGACACACCTCAGCTTTTGAATTCTAAGAGGAAGCAACAAGGCTCTGCGGTAAAGCAAATCATTTGCATGCAGATGGTTCAAGGTGCAATCCTTGGCATCACCAAATCAGATGGGTTCCAGGTTAACAGAGCTCGACATGGGAGCTTGGGAGGGTTGGTGCCAGTGGAAGAACTGGGCTGGATGAACCAATGGTCTGACTCAGTATAAAGACCATTTGCTGAGGCCAACATAATCTGCAAAGTCTCCTCCCTCCACTCTACCTTCCATATGTGTGTGTCACCACCTTGCAGATTCCACTGCTAAAGGGAAGAGATGCATGAGCTGCAAGTTCCACATCTTAGCACTGAATTTAGGCACCTCAGCAGTCAAACTCCCTAATTTATTCCCCCCCCTTAAAGAACTTTGCCATCTGCCTTTTTTAAAAAAACGCACATGCACAACAGATCGAAAACAGCTCATAGTAATTTTCTAATGGAGTCGTTACCCCCCAATGGAAGTGGATATTGCAATCTGGAAAGGGATTTATATGTGAGGAGCAGAAGGTTCATTATTTTGCACCTCTAAATAACCTATGTGCAATTTTTCACCCTTTGCGAAAACCTTGCTGAGAATGGTTTGGCTGCAGCTCATCACCGGCTATCCAAATTATGATCAACTGATGCAACAGGGAACCTCTCCTCCACCCCCCACCCCCACCCCCACCCCAACACACACTCCAGCCACTTGCTTTGTACTGATTGAAAACAGCACCTTGAAAGAACTCCAAAGTTGTCTCTCTGGCTTTCTCCTCAAAGTTTTCAGTTAAGAGTCACTTAAATCAGCAGTGGGGATTCCTGTACACTCCCAGATATTGACAGCAACTCCTGCCCTACAGCAGAATGACTCAACCGCTCCTATCTCCAGACACAGCTGGCCCCTGCTGGAAGCTTATTTGTTTTGAACTTGGCACAGAGAAGAAAAGGCTGGGCCAGGACAGCAATCCCTGGCCCCTAGCACAAGATCAAGATAACGGCTGATGTCATGATTGCTTGGGGTGCAGCTGCTATTGTTCTGCTAAGATGGGCTTTCCTGACAAGGAATGGAGCCCAGTCAAACCAGCCACTGAAACTTGAAGTAGGGTCATGAAAACAAACGTCACAAGCCAGGCCTACCGAGAGCAGGAGTTAAAGCTGGGTTAGGAAAAATCAAGCTGGATTCTGGAGGCAGCCTACAGCTCTAAAATGTAAGAAAACTGCTACTGCACATGTAAGTGTTGACACAACATGGTCATCATAATTATTCATCAACGGCATACAAACTTACTATATGTGTCCATTCATTTAAGTTTACACTATTCTGCTTCTACAGCAAAATGATTCTAGAGGCTGAAGCACTTTCTGCAAGAATTGGGAATTTTTAGTTTAGAAAAAGGGACAGGGTGGCAAAAGTTTATGAAATCATGGTGTATGGATAGTGAATATTTTTTTTTATAATGCTGAGATATACCAGGCACCCATTAGTTGTTCTTTTTTGTTCTGACAAGCTTTTCCAGCTGGATGTAAAGATATCTGCCTTGGGTTTAAAGAACAAAACAAGATGAACGGCCGGCTTCAGTTTTGTCTACTGTACTGTCCTTAAAACTATTCTAGCTGTTTGCATGTGCCTGCAAATGGATCTTAGTTCTGATCCAGTAGTGCTATGCCTATGATCTTAGTGAACAGCATGGAAGACTTTGCATGCCATCCTTTTTGCAAACTACAGCAGTTTTCTATGGGCAGCTCCTGGGATCCAAAGTGCTGGCTGGGTTTATGCAAGGCCTTGCTTGTAAGTTGACCAAAAAGGGACTCCTTCAGATTTGGTTTGAGACCAGCCAGTTTCAACCCCCAATTGAACCTATCTGCAGGTAAAGAACTCTCTCACTCATTCATGCTTCGCAGTGCACATTGACCACTCTTTAAGATGATGATGTCGGCAGCACAGCTAACCCCAGCCTCAATCTATTCTATATGCACTTGTGTGATTGCCATAAAACTTAGGGAACAAGTTGCGCTATCATAATGATTAAGGTTTTAAATGATAATTTTAGGTTATATGTTAGTGACTAAGTTTTAATTTATATATTTTTAAACTGTTGCTATATCTGTATTGTCCCTGTTATACCTAATTGCAAATTCAAATGTATCCCTATCATGTTTTATGACTTCCTTGATATTGTATGTGGGCTGGAACTGGTCTGTGACCGAAATAATAAAATTCATTCATTCATTCTATATGCACTAGATATTGCACATCTGAGGACTTCCAGGTTTATCCTGCAAGTAGTTAAAATACAGGAGGGACACCCCCTTTGAACTTAGAAAAGCCCCCAGAAAGTAAGCTGATGCTGGACAAGGAAAAAGCACAATCAGAACAAATAACCATGCATCTGAGAAATATGGATATTAGCTTGACTAGACCTGAACAAATAAAGCTGTCCTCTCTCCAGCCTAAACCTGAGTTCATTTGTCCAGCAATGTCTACTCTGACTGCCAGCAGCTCTCCCAGGGTTCAGGCAGGAGCACTTCCCAGCCATGCTTCTTGAGATACTTTAAGTAGAGATGACAGAGATCAAACATGATGCAGACTTTGTACCCACTGTGCTTTTGTTTGTTTGCAGTGCAGAGCTGTACCAGATGACACTTACCAGTGCAAGCGGAGGGCATGCAGGAAAGCAGAGAGGCCCTCCATGATCAGCAAGATGGCGACTGTCAGGGTGGCAAAGGCAGCAAATACGAAGAACATACCGAACCCACCAGCCAAGCTCTTTGCGCTGAGCCCCACACGCATCACCATGGACCAGAGGACCTCAGAAAGTTCTGTGATGAGAAAGACAGGAACAATGATCACCAATCAGCAAGGGCCACAGCTCTGGAGGAGAGGGGATTGCATGCCTGCCTTCACTCTAGCTGCTCCTCTTTGGAGGACAGTGCCCACTGCTCTAATAAAAGTGAGATTTCGGAAGCTGGATGAGTTCCCAAAGTGAGCTGTGCTCCTAAATCACACCCCAGACCAATTTTCCTTTTAAGAAAAAGCAAAGCCTCCTCCTGCTTAGGGTCCAAATTCTGCACTCTGTGGACATTTCGAACTCATTCTCACAAGCTACCCAATGCTCCCCTTCAGAGAATTCAGAAGATTTCAATAAGAATTTTGGGTGGGCAAAAAAAGATACTGGGCAGAGAGGAGACTGCTACATAGTCTTCTAGCCCTCTCTACATGACACGACCTGGAATGAGAGTACACAAAAGTCATTGGCTACTACCACAGGAAAAAGGGCTTGTGACACCTTCCCCCAATTCTCACAGCTCAGATTTCCCCTTCCTCATCCCTGGACTCAAAAGAGCCAGCCATGGTGAAGCTACTCACGTGCATGCGCCAGGCTAAGCGCCCAGAGGCGAAGGTATGACGCTGTGTTGGAGATGCAGCCCAGGCAGTATTCGATGGTATGGATGGCCTGGTGAACAGCAGTGTCCCCAAAGTCAAACTGCAAGAGGAAGTAATAAAGCCAGGTCTGAGCGGGGGGCAGAGTGTGCAGCAACGACTAGATAGCTAGAAAGCAGGAACAGCAGCAGTAGCAGCAACAGCAACTAACTCTATTGCAAGGGCACTCAAAGCTCACAGCTAGAATGCTGGCCGGACTATTTCCCTCTCTGTTCACCAAGACTTGGGAGGATCACTTGCTCAACACAACTCAAAACTGCAGGACACTCAGCGCCATTAAAATGTACAAGTGTTCAATGGCTTGTTCAGATCTAAGACTCAACTTGAATGTTCCTCAGCCCTGCCCTTCTTGGTGGTAAACTGAAAGCTAAGATTTGGTAGCTGGATCAGGCACAGACAGCAGGAGTCACTCTATCCATGTGTCTATGGCAGAATCCTTATTTGCCTGGCATTAATAGGCACTCAAGTGGCCTTGGAATCCAGAAGTGACAGACTGCAAGGGAAATGGACTTAATTAGGAACAACTAATGTCGGCATACAATCAGGCGAGGCTCACATTTCCATTACAAAACTGGGTGCCAGACAGGACCTTGCTTGCCTCTGCTGAGATTTGGTTAAGCCTGCTGTCCCCTCTTGCTTGCCACCCTGTCATCCCCCACCGTCCCCAAATCCTCTTAGGAAATGCTGCTTAAGTCACTGTGGCGAAGGTTTGAATAACAACTAGGAGGAGGAGAAGTGACCAGAGAGAGATTAAGTGTTGCAAAATCAAAGTTGTGAAAAATCCCATCTTAGTATTTTTGTCTGCCACATCTCAGAATCTCTGGAGTCTTCTAGCAATCAAACGGACTACACCCAGCTAAAGCTGCCAAGTTTCAAAACTGTTCCAAGATAAAGGTGAACTGAGCGCTCTCTCATTCCCCTCCAGTATCCAGCACAGCAAACATTTCAGACTGAGGAAGGCAAGCTACTTGTTAACATTTAGGCCTCAAGCTTTGGAACCAAGAAACAAAAATTCTTAGCAAAAGCTGCCCTGATGAGAGTGTGCCAAGCAAGCTATGAAATTACTAGACTCCAGGGATGCACATGCTCTACATCAAAATTTGCTTGGCCTCCTTTTGGCATAATCGAGTCTGATGGGTTCCCACCCCCGTCCCCACTATAATTATATAACTGATCCTGGGGTTTTTTGCTAGTCATGCTGGGGGGGGGGGCAGGCAGGGCAGGACAACAAGAAATGGTAGCAGGCAATGAATCCCCACCTGCAATAAGCAGGGCAGTTTGTTCAGCTACATTCCACCCCCCACCCCAGCTTCTGACATTTCAGTAGGCATTTGCCCATAAACGTTCAGGCATACCATCACAGTGAAGAGGACTAGGAACGTGTAGGGGGCGGGGGGAGAAGAGGAGTGCAAGTGAAAGCTGACTTTTTCAGGCGGCTGAATTCTGTGCCCAAAGCCTCATTCTGCACTCCACCAGAACTGCAGGACACTGTGCCCTGCCAATCTCCAACATGTATTTGAAGGACAAGCAACAAAGCACAATGCTGTAAGAGCCGGCAGGTGATTGAAAGGATGGCTGCAGCAGCAGAAGATGGATAAACCAACATTAAAATTATAAGCAATATTCCAGTTCTTTCGATGCACTGCTTACTAAGTTAATTTCCGTACTTTTGCAGCCTGGCAACAGACCCCTCAGGACTGCACTGCTCAGCATTTCCATGGTTATTGTACAAAGGCAATGGGGACAATTCAAGCGTTGCTCTTTTCCTATGCAGAACCTTCTGGGCCCATCCAGCATTTCCCATCACTGCATTGATATCCATGATCAGAGCCTCTTGTCAACTGACTGTGATGTGGAGGTTGCTGCATTTTCTCTTGGCAGAGGCACAAAGATAAAATGTCTATTTTTAACTTTTGCTATCGTTGGCTGCCAGGGAGGTGGCTCTCCACAAAAGCTAGATGAAGTGATAGGTCATTCATAAAGAAGTCAAAGCAAGGAGCAAATATGCTGTGGAATCCCAATCCACTAACTCCCCCTTTTACTGGTGGATTGTGTCCAGACCTGTTGACTTTGAGTAGGTGGCTAGTGAACATTAACACCCCACCTGAAGACTGGCATCCGTTACTCCTAATCTGAATGTTTATCAACTGATTGGCTCAATTTGCACAGAACAATAAACCAACTTGGGGAGAACGTCATTTTGCACCTTCTCTGCACTGCTGTGAGCTAAGCCACAGTTTGGCTCAGTGTGTCATCTGAACCCAGGCTCGTGGTTTGTCTTCTCTAGAAAAACCACAAGCTGTAAAACCAAGAAACCTTGATGATAGCTTGTGGCTTGTCTAGAGTGGCACGAACCACAAGTCCAGGCTCTGATGACACTCAGGCCAAACCTGCAGTAACAAGAGGATGGGAGCAGAAGCAAAGTGACTGTGATCTCCTCTTCTGGAACCTGCATGCTCAAGTGTTTGTGCTAACCATGGTTCAGCTTAGCTCAACCATAGGTCAATGCCAGGTGGGGTGGGTTTTCCCTCCCAGCAACTGTAAAAAAACTAACCTCAGCGTGTCTGTAGTCAGCTCTCTCAGTGAGATGTTGCATGAACTGTCCAATGAGTGATCCTGTTGTAAAGTCTTGCCAGAATTTTCAGGAAACGGCCATGGGAATAAGCAAAAAGACCCAGGAGAGCAGGCCCCAGGGATATTGGAAATTTGGCAATTAAGGGGCACGCTGGAGTTCAGGGGATGGAGGAAGTTGGCTTTTTAAAATAAAGGTACAAACATGTCCATGTCCCGTTCCAAAGGCTTCTGCTACTTTTGGGATTCTGTTCTACAAATTATTGAGGTGCATAGGTTGTGCACATAACAGTGACGAATATGCAACCCACACCACAAAGGTAAGGCAGTGGGTCCCCATTAAGAACATGCAGCTGTTCAAACAAACATGTCTTTTGTTTTTAAATGAATATGAAGCTGTTTTCTATGGAAATGGGTATTATTGACCTCTGATTACAAGAAGGAGGCATCACAAAATGAGATGCTATGAAAAGATGAAGAAAGAATTTCAAGTCACAGATGCAAATATGCCTAATTCTACAAAATGGTTTACAGTGATGGGAGCAATGATCTGGATAAAGACAGACAGAAAAACTGGCTACAGGCTTACCACCTCCTCCACGGCAGGCTTGAAAACACAAGGGAATATTTGGTTTGGTCATGCATCATTTGATAACACAAGAGCATATCCTCTTTCAGTGCAATATCCTAAAATGCAACTGTGCTCGTATCATTGCTGTTGCTGCATTCCACTTCATTTTGCATTGGTAACAACTGTGACTTCTCCCCAAGGGAGAGAAGGCCAAGACTGATTTGCCAAACCATCAGCTCTCAGTTTCAGCCCTATCATCACAATTTGAGGGATATTAGTCTAGTTTTACAGTGCTTCTTGTGTACCAGTTGTGAAAAACTCTGAAAGCTTGTAGTGTACATTGTGCATTGTAGGGGTGTGTGTGTCAAAGCTCAAAGTTAAGAGCACATACTCTGCATGCATTAAGGACCCGCATTTAATCCCTGGCATCTCTAAGGGATTCTCCAAAGGATCTCAGGAAGTAGAGCTAGGAAAGACTTCCTAACACTCTGGAGAGACACTGTCAATCAAAAGTAGACAGCACTAAGGCTAGGTGGAACAGTCTGATTCAAGATATGGCAGGTTCATACATTTGCACCAATGGCAATGCCTATTCTGAGAACTTAAAACTGCTTTCCAGCAAGGAACCCTGAGAATGCTCATTTTATATGAAGGCTAAAACCTCTGTTAGGACAGCAGCCCTCAGGACAGGACAAGACCCATTACACTGCTCAACTGGCTTACATTTTGAACTGCCACATCACCAACTATAACCAGAGATCCTGTATGCTTGAGTTTTTATTAATGTTTCAGGGGTCTAAGCCATCTCAGTAAGATTGCCTTGTACACAAAGGTAGCGTACAAGGATGCCCTCTTCAAACAGCGGATAACAAGAGCCTGCACAGCTAAGATGCACCTCCCACCACCCTGAGACATAGTGGACTGCCTGGAAAAATCGGAAGACCTTCTCCCATGCAGACAAGGGCAGCAGTGATGCAGCCCATTCAGAGGTTTCCCATGGGGAAGCGAGGAGATTGTAACAGACCCTCAAATCTGACCTGAAGTCTTTACTACCCGCCTTGAAAGGGACCCCCGTCCACCACAAACTATTGAGAACTTAAGACACAGCCTCAGCTTATTACAACCACCTTTTGAAGGGGGCTGCCCACAGGTTTTTCCAAGTGCCAGAGCAAAGACACTACAGGAAGTGTTCCCAAGTGTCAAATTGAGCTTCCCTAGTCTTAAGAAAAACAGTTACTGGGGCAACACAGTTTCCAAGCAGTCTGCTTTGGCTAGTTTGAGTAAATGTCAGCTGCAAGAGAGTGTAAATGGATACAGGCCTGGTCTGATCTGGTAATATATGTAAGGAGGGTCATAAAAGGTCCACCCCTTCTTGTAACATCTCCCAAACGAAAGTTTGTTGTACAAAGAAAGAATGGGAGGTCTTACCTCCTCCCCCTCCTCCGAATGGGTTGAAAGCTGGTCGTGCTGGATTATCTCTGCATCTTCTTCAGTTGGGCCATTGCCCACGCGGATCCCACCAAAATTGAGTGTCCCCTAAAGCAGACAACAGAGGAGAAAACAAGAGGAGACACACAATCGGTTCATGTTTTAGTATGGAATTGGCATGCAGGGCCATTAGCAGAACTGGCCCTACCATATGAGAGAGAGAGAAAAAGAGAGAGAGAGAGAGAGAGAGAGAGAGAGAGAGAGAGAGAGAGAGAGAGGGAGAGAGAGAGAGAGAGAGAGACTTGCCTCAGGCAACAAATTATGGGTACCAGTACAACAAATTATAGGTTTCCAGCACTTTTGAGCATCAAGAACTGAGCAATTTGTTAAAGTGTTTTGGCTACTAAAGCATGCTTTGGTCTGTTTTCCAGGGCTCCTCCTTCTTCGGAACAGCCTAAGATTGCACTGCTACGAATCCAAAGGCAGCAAAAGCTGGCACAACAACATTAGTCTAAAGTAGAGAGCTTACCAGACACTGGACCTCTCAAAATGGGAAACTAGGGGTTAGGGGCTGGAGGGGTGGGGAGAGAGGAGAAGTGAGAGAAGGAGAGCCAGGAATCAAGAATCTCAAATGCTTTTTTTTATTAAAAAAAGCCTGTATGTTTGCAACATCAGCAAGAACTCTCACAATATTCCCTAGAGAAAGATGCAATCAGTGGCCTATGAAATAAATAATCTGTTAGCAAGTGAAGAAATGGACACAAAGCCTCCTGAACTCTGCTGCTGCGTATGGTTGACACTGTCTGGCTCTTCGACAACACAAGCAGGGAAGACCAGACCTGTCCTTACATGGGGAGGCCTGGCCAGGCCAAGTCACTCCTTTTTGGGGCATACATTCAGCCATTTGAGACTCACCAATGTCTGCAGCCTTCATCAGATGCTAGGAAGGAATACATTAATAACTAGATTGTTCTTAAAGGCAACTTACTTTGATAAGTCCATAAGGGATTCTTTGTAATGTAGATTAATCAGTATTATTTTTTTAAAAAAGAACATAGATCTGTCTGTGTGTACACCCTTTGCTTTCAGAAATAGATTTGATATATTCTATAAAAAATTGGCAAAAAGGAAACCCATATTGTTTCTAAGTCTAGGACCTAGGACCCTCGTACCTACGGGACCGCCTCTCCCGGTATGCCCCACGGAGAGCCTCAAGGTCCATAAATAGCAACACCCTAGTGGTCCCGGGCCCTAAGGAAGTTAGATTAGCTTCAACCAGAGCCCAGGGCCTTTTCAACACTGGCTCCGGCCTGGTGGAACGCTCTGCCTCATGAGACCAGGGCCCTGCAGGATCTGATTTCTTTCCGCAGGGCCTGTAAGACAGAGTTGTTCCGCCTGGCCTTTGGCTTGGAGCCAATTTGATTCCCTCCCTCTCTTTCTTTTTTCCTTTCCATCTCCTCCTGCGATGAGGCTACATTTTAATATTTTAATGTTTCAACATTTAAATGTTGTATTTTAATTTTGTTTTTAAGTTGTAATTATTCAACTTGTTTTTATTATTGCTTGTAAGCCGCTCTGAGCCCGGCCTTGGCTGGGGAGGACGGGGTATAAATAAAAATTATTATTATTATTATTATTATTATAAGTCTAACGGGACATACTGTGGAATCTGCAGGCTGCACTAGAAACCCTCGCCCTAGCGATATTCCCATCCCATTGGCTTCCGATTTCACAGATAGTTACTTGAAAGTCAAATGGGACGCCCACACTCAGAGGCAGTATACCTCTGAATACCAGATGTTGAGAAGGTTATCAGCTTCAGGTTCAAGCATGCCAGCTCCAAGAGGCATCTGGAAAGAATGCTGGGCTAATGGGCTTTCTGGTCCTATGTTCTTCAACCCGCCTTTGTAGCCTTGAGGGTTAAAACCATTTCCCACATGAAAGCAAGAAATTCTGACGTTACCAGATTTTTCATGAGCAGCAAATTCCATGTTCTCGCAGCAAGACTGTAGAACACACAACTTTTTTTGCCGGGTTAACTGCTAAATACCACACCCCAATTTCACAGCACTAATCACGTGCTTTGTTCCAAAAACCTGGCATGCCATTCAACTGACTGCAGAAGACTTTCTGGAGTGCAACAGCATACCGAAATGCAAACAGCTGTTTTGCTCTACAGCAATCGTCGGTAGGTAGACTACAACTGTCACAACGGCACAGAGAGTTGTGGGCGCAATTAAGAACAGCACTGAAGTGGGCAGCCAGCAACTCGGTGCACTGCCACAAGGATTCCCAAAGCGACCATTAGCTAGCAGGCAGCAAGAAACTGGTGAAGGCCAGAGACGTGAACTCAGAAAGGATGGCATTGCTGAGGAGACACCACCAGTTATGGCACTCTGAAAACATGGGATGCAAATTAAAAACGTACTCAAGAGACAAAAATCCTGGGGAGGACTGTGAAGAAAGGGAGGGGAGGAAAGCCGCAGAAGTGGCAGCTATGCAAAAGCCAAGGGCCTTGGCATCTGGAAAGAGGGGGTTCCCCCCCACATACACACGCTCGGGCGAAGAATCTCTTTGTGCTGCAACTGTGGTTTTCAAACTGCGCGCCCCAGGAACTGAGGTTCCTTAGACACTTAGCAGGAGTTCCACAATTAACATTTATAATGACAGGGAAGCTGCCCATAAGGCAGCGTTGTCTATCCTTGCCAATTTCCCCTGCAGTGTGCATCCACAGAGGAGAGTTGGGCGCATCCCAAGACATGAGCACATACAACTCAGTTTATGAAGAACGGCGGCTGGCCCCAACAAACCTGGACAGCACTCCAAGGAAATGAGGGCAGCACACCCTTGAGCACTGCCTAGAGTCCTCTGCCAAGCACAACTGCAGGAGACCCTTGGCATACGCACCAAAGTTTGAAATCCAACCACATTATATGGTTGCATTGTGTCCCCTGAGCGCGTGAGTGTAGGGTTTGGAAAGAATGAGATTTCTTGGAACGTATCTTTCCGAGGAAAGGGCCGCTGTGCCGTTCCTCCTCCTCGGGGCAGATACTTTCCAAGGCCCCTGGGCACCTCCCGTTCTCGCCATGTGCATCCTTTTGGCATCTTTTAATCCACTCACTGTTGCAGCCGCCGCTGCCTCTACTGCCTGCGGACTCTGGGCTGGGCTGACAGGGGGTTCCACGGGCTGCCCTTCCTGATAGCAAATGGAAGGAAAGAAAAGGGGAAAAGGAGGAGAAAAACAAAGAGAAAAGAAGGGAGACGAATGGAGGGGTCATGGGGAGATGAGATGGTCAGAGAAGGAAGAGGGAGCGTCTTTAACCGAGCTGCAATTTGAAGGGCTGTTGCATCTTTAACAGCTTGCCACAAGAACACCACAGCCGCCACGTCTCTGGAGAATCACAGCAGCAGGTTGGTGTCCTTAAAAGCTTAACGTCACCAGCTGCACGACGGGTTTCAGGACTAAACCATTCTGAATGTCTCTGCTGATGGAAGGCTATTTTCCTCCAGCAGAACCACACCAGTTCCACACTCCCAAGTGGCTGCTTGAGTTCATGCTGCCTTGAGCAGCAACGTCTCACTCTACATGGGCAAATCTCTTCTGAAACCCCTATTGTGAAATCTCTTCTGAAACCCCTATTGTGAAATAGGGGCCGGATGGTCAAAAGAAAAGGTTTTTTTAAAAATCCCAGTGGGTTGGGGCACACTTAAAGCAACTCTGTGGATCCCAGCCATGGGTGGCAAATGCATGCATATGAACCAGGATTTCGGATGGATCCAGAAAGTGACCAGTGGTCATGAGAGATGCTGCCTGTTTGCTAAATTACAGCTGTGCCTCTGCCTGCAAGCAGGATTTAAACTGCAATCCTAAACCTGAAAGTAAGTCGCAATGATTCCAATACGTTTCATTCTAAGAAAGTATGCTTAGGACTGAAGTGCTAACAGAGCTCCATCTGGATGCAGATCTCCGTCGCAGAAATCCAGACTAAGCCTCTAGTATCTGAACAAATAAGACCTACAAAGGAAAGAGGGAAAAACAGATTCACCCACCAAGTGCTTTCTTCGCAAGTACTGCTGGCGAAGGACCAGAGGTTTGGCAACCAGCATCCACGGCACACACAGCAATGCTACCACAACCAGGAAGCACTGGAGCCCTTTCTGTGGGGAACAGAGATGAGGGAGTGAGATTATCACCAACAGGCAAGCACATCCAGTTCCTTAAGCCCTCCTGCCTGCGTTTGAGTGAAGAACCCTTTCAGATTCTTTCAGGAGAACTTGCCCACACTTCCCTGTTGCCACAGGGTCTAGAAACTTGCTCTTAAATCAAAACTCATATTCTAAATAATTGCATAAATGCTAGCAGATACAGATGTGTGTGCTCCTGCACAAACTTCACAACAAATGGGAGCTTCTGCATGTTTTCATGTGGTTTGCAAAGGAGTAGTTCTTGCTGAAATGCCAAGGTTGCAGGTTCGATCCCCATACGGGACAGCTGCATATTTCTGCACTGAAGGGGGTTGAACTAGATGATCCTCAGGATCCTTTCCAATTCTATGATTCTTTTCCCTCCCAGCTCAGCAGTAGATTCCCCTCCACACTTAAAGCCAGGAAGGCGCTGCTTTCTGCAAAACAGCTCTTGCCCTCACCAAACCACCTACCTGTCCCTTATAAAGCATCTTTTCTTTGGGATCATAGGAGAAGAGAAACATGTTGATGAAGTGGATGAGAAGACTTGGTGCATCCATGGAGTTATTAGCATCGTAGGCTGTCCACTTATAGAAAATGAGGATGACCAGATAGCCAAACAGTGATGTCATGAAGACTATTTCAGGGATAAACCCGAGGTAGATGTTCAGAGGTTTCTTAAAGTAGCTAGAGGATATGGAAAGAAGAAATTTAAGACCCTGCCTTCAATCAACGGATACAAGAGATATGTCTCCAACCCTGGAGAGCTGCTGCCAGTCAGTGCAGACCGTACAGTCCTAGGCACACCAAAGGTCTGGGCTCAGTATAAGGCAGCTTTCTATGGTCCTGCATCTTCTCAGCCTGTCTACTGACTACTAAACTAAAATGAGCACACTCACATGTGATTGAGCAGACTGAGAGAGACGCCAAAGAGCATGTGGATGATGCCCAGAATGACAGACATCTTCATCTTGAAGGAGTTGAGGAAGGTCAGCTTGTTGGTGGCGATATTCCAGATCTAGTGCAAAGACCCAAGGGTGTTCAGAACCAAGGAAGAGGACAAACAGTGAAACAGCTAACTAAGTACACCCAGACCCATAATATCCTCAGTAACACCCAAAATAATCTGCTCTCCGTAGGAACATTCCTTTTACTTTATAAAGCATCCTCGAGACCAAGCATGGCATGGTGTGTCTTTTATTTTTAAAAATGTTAGCCATGTGTTCATGGCTACAGGAACAACTTTAAGACAGTTTCTGTGAAAGGCTTTGAGTGAAAAGGATACTCCAAGGATCTGGGTGGATCTCCCTCCCCTGTGTTCTCCACATAATTGAAGGCCTGCCTGTCCCCACTGTGAACTTTGGTCTCAACCTTACTGCCCACTAATATACCCTGATGTCAGACTACACAATTTGCACTTTAGGGGTGAGTAACTTCAAGGGCACTTCCGTTCTACAGCAATGCCACATTTGACTCTTAGCAAATCTGCCTTTCATGCAGAAGGTCCCAGGCTCTCAACCTGCAGCTTCTCTAGGTAGGGCTAGGAGAAATTCCTGCCTGAAACCCTGGAGAGCTGCTGCCAGTCAGTGTAGGCAGTACTAAGATAGACCGACCAATGGTCTGACTCTGCATGAGGCAGCTTCCTATGTACTTAATTTGTGAGACAGAGATGTTCTATAGAAAGAGGTACTAGAATAATTCAGGACTGTAGTCCTTCAGTCTTTTAAAAAAATACTCTCCTACGTAAAGAGCTCCCTTCATAAAGCAACATCAGAAGGGGAACAGTTCAGCACAGCCTCCTCTCTGGTTTACTCAGCTTACTATATGCAGGGAGTTCTTTCCACGGTGGTTTCCCAAAGAGAGACTTAAGAGGAAGTGGCACAGTTCAGAACTCTACCACCCTGATCAACAATTGCTGTTCAAGAAACAAACAGCTCCACTCGTGAACAGTAGCTGCAAGGAGGTGCTCTTACCGGATCTATGCCAAAGGGGTATGCCCCGCCGAAGACACCCTCAATGGCAGGATTTAGCTGAAGGCTAGGATATTCCTTGAGAAGATCTTCTCTGTGGGCAAGAGAGCAGAAAGCTATAAACAAAGAATGACTGGAGGAGTACAACACAGGCACTATAGTGGAGTGCATCTTTGGCACAGCTGGGGGGGGGCAGGGGAGGCGGGGCGGGAAACAGCTCAGGTTCTTTAGTTCCACACAGAGAATGTGCTAGTCACATAGGAGGTGCTGCTGCATCCCTGCCATGTCCTCTTCCCACCCAGCCCTCCCGCATTAGCACACTGCTCAGAGTGAGCACTTCACAGGCCTTCCTTGTGCCTTTGTGAGCATCTCATCAACTTACGTCCAGTTGGATTTCAAGAACATTGGCCGGACGCTCCAGGATGAGCCAAACATATTGAGAGACTTTGAGAAGCAGTCGTTATAGATCAGGCCAGTATAAATGGAGAAAGAACCCATCAGGAGAATGATGTAGCGGCCGCAGAAAATGGTGCTGAACATCTGGCCAGTAAACAAGTTAAGAGCAAGAGAATTTGGGGGTGGAGGCGGTGGGGGGGGAGAGAGAGAGATAAAAAAATATGAGTTGCATAATCAAGACATTCTTGTCTCCCCACCACTGTTACCCCTCGGAGAAGGACACTGCGACCAAAGACAAGGGAAATCTCTGTCCACCTTATTCCGGGGCTTGAGAGGCCACAGGCCTGATCCAGAAGGACAGAGAACATACTGAAAACGCCTGCCTGCTCTGCCCAGGGAAAGAAGGCAGAAAAACACCAGAAAGTGCAAAGCTTCCTTCTTCAAATTTGAATGCCAAACAAGTTCCCAGTAGATGTGACTAAATTAAGTGAAGCTTATTTGCACCCCTGCCATTCTCCAGACCAAATTCTAGGACCTCTCAAAGCTTACTAGCCTTATGGCAGCATGCGAAGCTTTTCTCTGGACGCTTATTAAAGGCTGCAAAAGTCGCAACTCTGCCAGGAAAGGAACTCGCTAATTCTTGCTATTCTCTAGATTACAATGAATTCTTCATATTGAAGATGGAATCAAATACTTCGCAAGGAGCCGGAGACTGATCTTCCACTTTCACTTTCATCCCAACCCACACCCTGCCCAAATTGGGGTGTGTGTGTGTGTGTTTGCCATCAATACCTCGTTGTCACTCTTCTGTGACAGGATACGGCTCTCCCGGATCACCATCCACACACCAAACAGCGTCATGAGAATTCCGTGGCCGACATCCCCAAACATCACAGCAAACAGGAACGGGAAGGTGATGATAGTGTATGGAGCTGGGGGGAGATGCAAGTGAAGGTAAGTGCATGATGGACAAGGCAGCCCATCTCTTGGGAGAGGCAGCCGTCCCAGGACCAGTTCTGGACCGCTAGCCCTATGGACTCCTTATATGAGCTGGCTTAGTGCATTCTGAAAATCCACTGTCTCACTGGCAATTTGTTTAGGCGGTAAATGCAATGAATACTTGAAATCTGGGCAAATATCAGCCATATCTTTAGATATATCAAAGTGGATGATATTATACTGTGTAGTAGACTGCTAAATGCACCTAACTAAGTAGCCTTAATAAAGTTGTTCTGCTCAGGCTACTACTACGTCTTCTTTTCATACCACTCAGGGCTGTAGGATGCTACTTGGCCATTCTGCTGAACTCTGCGCAACTGACTCGGAAGACTAGACGTTCTCTCTTTCACAAGCCTATGCTGCCCTGAAGAAAAAAGCCACCACATCCAGCTTTACAATATTTCACAGAAGTCCTTGTGTAAGGAAATGAGCTTCACTCTCATTTAAATTGGATTAAAAAGTAAGCCGACATATCAGCTCACTCATTTCCCCTTCTCGGTGCTCAGATCCCTCTCTAACAGAGCCTTCTTTCTCTCTGACCGAAAACCCCCCCAACCCTTGCTTGTCCTTCTGCTCTACAGAAGTTGCTTAGTTTTCATGAAGGAGATGCTGCGTTAAGCTAGCAAAGGAGCAATTCTGCTTCTGAGGTAAGGGAAATTAACTAGCTTGGGATAAGACAATGTATTTCAAACCTAATTATTTTTCAAATGCTAATGTATCCTGTATGAACTAGCACAACTGCCTATTTCCCCAAGAAAGGATTTACTAAATTCATGGAGATGTCATTTAACAATGAATGTTAGACATGGCAAGTGAGAGCTACAACAAAATACTGCAGTGTGAAGTGTTCCTATTCAGGGTTCCAGCCATCCACATCCTTTTCCAATTCTCAGTTCTACCCTGCCAGCCAGCATTATGTACCTATTGTGCATGCTCAGCCCTTAATTAACTGTGGGATGTTTTTTGTGGGGTAGGGGGATCCCCTAAATATTTTTCCTACTTTTACAAATCTCGACTTTCCCATGAGCCTGCTGATACCTCCCTTTCTATTTTATTTATTAATTTATTAATCACATTCTACACATGCCTCAAGAAGATTGACAAGCATACCTTAAAATGCCGTAAAGTTTTGTGTCTTTTTTATTATTCATTATACTTCCCATTCTCCCTCTGAAGGAAGCTGAGAAGCAGTTTACATGGGGTTCGAGGCGGCCTCCCATCCAGACGCATGCCTCCTTGGCTTCCTTAGTTCTATATGGATTTGGTTCACTATGTTCATAAATCTGTTTAGTTTCTGAGGGTGGTGGTGGTGGTGAAGAGATCTATGCTGCAGTCATATTTGCTAAGAGTCAACCCTCCCCCACCCCAAGCAACATCAGTTCCTCTCCACATAGGGTTATGCAGATGCACAAGCCAGAGAGAACAAACAGATCAAGCTTCTTCAACAATTTATCAGGTGCTAGAGGGAAAGGCTGCTTTTAGTAGGCCAGACACCATTACCTGGATTGATCTCACGATAGGTTCCAATGCCATAGGCATCTACGATGTTCTGAAACCCAGCGGTGAACTTGTTTGTCTTGTTGTATGTGGGTGGCGTCTGGTTGGTCTGCATCCTATTCAGGATGGAGGGGACAGTGGATCCGCTGTGCTCCTGTTACACACAAACACACTGGAGGTTAGAGAGATTAGCTTGTTGTGGAGCAGAAACCAAGATCAACTTATCAACACTATTCCTAATCGTTTAGAAAGCTCTTGTAGGTTGCCACTCTGCAGGCTCCCTGCACAGCTGCATTTTGTTTCCGACGGATGCAAATTACATGATCAGGCATGTTTCCGAAGGCAAGAAAGATTGGACTGGATTAGCTTCTGAGCCTCTAACAGCAAATCAATTAATGTATTCCAGTCCCTCTCCCAGTCAAGTGCCTAAAGGCAGGAAGGTGTGTGTGTATTAAAATGTCCTGTGCATTATGTGAAAACAAACAGCGCGTCAGACGAGCTTTTAAAACCCAGTGGAAAAGATCTACTCGTCACCATCCAAACAAGTCCAGAACTAGAAGAATTCAGTTGTCCTAACGCTATGGAGTCAGAAAGGGGATCCAAGCTGTGGGTGTATCTTTCTTATAGGCTAAAAATTCTAGGCGAGTCTCTTCCCTTCAGAAAGAAATGAGGAATCTGGGCCAAAGGCCGTGTTTGTTTTCAAAGTCAGACAGATTTCAAATGAGTGCACTGTGCTCTTCTCCCATTTAGAGGGTGGAGACAAAAAGGGGAAGAAATAGATTGCGACTGAAATATCCACACAAATATCAGGGTTGGAGAAGAAGCATGTTTGTCAAGGCCAGAGCAGTACACGAAAGTGGCCACGGCTATTATGCAGTCCTGTTTAGACTCAAGACACCTGTATCCAAAAACTAAGAGTCTTTTGGGAAAAGCAGCAGATTTTGCTTCCAAGACCAATGAGATTCCCCCCATGTTTTGCCTATAAAGATGCTTTCACTGGAAGTGTGCACCAGCAGTGTTTTCAGGGTATAGCAGTAGAGCCAGAGTGGTATGAATTGTACTTACTGTGCCCCGCCTGAGGGCAAACTGGATGGAGTCAAGGTCAGCAACGGGACACCAGACTTCGGCAATGAGACATTTCTGGGTCACATCAATGTTGCAGAGGTTCAGGGTGTGGTAGATAGCCTTCATCTTGCGCACCTTTATGAACCAGACACGGACGTTTTTGGCAGCAGCCTGCAGGACCCTCTGTCGGTGATCTTCGGTTTGGTTCAGCACCTGAAGGGAAAGAGGGACCGTGTCACATAAGGCCAGGCTCAAGAGATGCTGAACTGCATTCCAACACAGTCTAATTCTGAGAGTTCTGCTGTAACAGAAGATACAGGAAGCCTGGAACAAAGACTGTGGTTGTGGATAGTACAGATTTTGCATCCAGAAAACAGGGAATTACGTGCTCCAATTGAAATAAATGCAATTACCCATAGTCTTAATGTGCAATGTTTATTCTGCTTTGCATTAACCAAGGAAAGATGAGACTCAAATGGGGCGTTTATCATTATCTACCCTATCATTTATGGAAATTTTACTTAGCCCACTCTAGCTTGAGATTTCACATATTTTCAGATCCTATTTTTGCAGCCATACAGGCTACAAACTTTATATCTTCCCTCCCCCCACCTCCCCCAGATGTTTTTTGTTGTGCAGCAGACAACCATGTCCATGCCTCCATGGTACAATCCCACAAATCCCTTCCAGCCCAAGAACAACAAGATGTTTAGCTGAAGGCAGAGGGAGGGAATAACTACGCAGTGGTGAGGAAGACTGAAAAACGGGGGTGAACAGGACCACCCCTGCTCACGAGCTCTGCAGTTCCAACCGTGCTGTTGCAGTTACATATGCTACATATTCCACAGCATCCCTGCCGAGTACGCCAAAAGAACAAATTGCTTGCATTCCCAGTAAGAGAATGTTCACCCCTGCCCCACCTCTGCTGGCATTTGGTAGGAAAAATGCAGCATGGGGTGGGGGGTGGGGAGAGACTGCGTGGGGAGTTTCTCAACTTCTTGTGAAAAAGACCAGATTGCTTCAAAACTTTACATGTGAAAAATGACCATATGCACAGAATAAGTCTATTAAAAAGACTAAAACAATATAACCACTCTGGAAGCTATAGCAAGACCAGCTTCTGACAGTACCCAAAAACCAACAAATGACCACAAATAGCGCTTTACAGGGGGCTAAACAGAGCTGCATTTGTTACCTCCACAAGAAATGCAGTCCATTGCCTCAGGGCAATGGCTGAGCCCAATGTACTGTGACAAATTCTACCTTTTTTTTTTTTTTCTCACGGAAAGGATCTTCAGTAGGGCCTTTGCTAAAGAAAAATATGTTGAGGCAGAAGAGGGGCTCTGCAAGACTAGGGTATCTCAGGTTAAGTTAGCTCCCTGAATTGGGCCAAGAAGCTAGCCAGTAGAGTTAATGGCTAGAGACAAATGCAACCCCTGAATGCAAAATAGCCAGTAAGCAGAAGGCTTGGCATTCTTCAAAGGTTACTGTCTGAAATCATCCAGAGAAACCAAAAGCAACTCAAGGCTGGCATTGAACGCCCGCTAGAAGCTCCAAATCAAGTAATGAGATGTGGTGCCTTACAGTGCCAAAAACCTCCAAGGTCTAAGAGAATCAGCAAGTAGAAATTTGCCCTGCCAATTCCCAGGAGAAGATAGTCTACAAAGGCTACCAAAGTTGCATACCCAGCCAGGGAAGCAGATTGAAATGACTTAGTAAAGGATGTCTCATTCAGGGAAGCTTAGTCAGGTGTCACAAGGAACACTGGAAAAGTATTGGGACCAGGTTACCGAAAGGACCTTCTTCGGCCATATGATCTTGCCTGTGTATTGAGATCAAGTAGGTTGGGCAGGCACACAATAGCATTTTCAGTGACCCCACCTTTATGCATTCTTTACTCACTAAGATCAGTATTAACGTTTTTATGCAGGATTTTTAAAAACCATCTATATCACCTTGCTTTTTTCCTGTTGGTGGTATTACAGTGCTGAAATTGAAATTATTTTGAATCATGTATACCTGGAGCTCCTTAAATAGATGTTTTTATTTTACCTATTTTTATTATTGTTTACCATTGTAAGCAGCCTTGTGAGGGTATCTACCCTGAGATATGGCCTAAAAACACTTCATTAAGGAAATAGTTATAGCCTTAGGGGGTTTTTTTGGACCAGAGCCAACATGTCAAAAGTAGGGAATGGTTGCTTAACTGGACCGTTACTGGGAAGAAGGAATGGTGTGTGTTCTTTGTTTTGCTTGATGCCCAACGCTCACATATAATTCCTGCGGTGCTACTTGAGCATGTGAACTTCACAAGTGCAGCACAGAAGCTTGCTGACAGAAGGAGGGACAGTTTACCCCTCTTGTCCAGTAAAGAAATGTGCACTGACAGCAGCTGCAGCCTAAAAAGACACTGGAAAACAGGCGCAACAGGAGGGTGCTTAAAGCCACACCTGATTCTAGGGACACCTGGCAGTTAGCTTTCACAGCCAAATTATCTGTCCGCTTAGATCAATGAACACCACACCCCCCTATTAGAGTATACAATTGAAGATAAACTTCCCTGAGGATAGCAAACCACAAAAGAGAACAATTCAGAGCTCAGGAGGAGCACCAAGGGGAAAAACCTGATCGTTCCCCACCCCCGCATCATTCATACCATCTGAAGGTCATCGATCCTGGTGTTGACTCCAGCAGCCATTTCCTTCCTTTCCTGTGGTGTTTCTGGACAGGGGTAGAGAGACGCCCGGAATCTGAAAGGCACACAGTCTGCTCAGTGACAAAGTGACAACACAGCTAATATGATGGAGTGCTCACCACTTGAAAGCCAGCTCTGCATGAATTTGGAATGAGCTGCTTGAACTCCAAGACCCTCCCGTATTTCCAACTTGCTTACCCTTCACAGATCTTCTTGACTCGGTTTTTCAGCTGGTCACCTTGGAAGAAAATAATGAACACCGACTTGTGCACATAGTCCCCCTAGAAGAGAGGGGGGGGGAAAACCAATGCAGAGAGAAGCCTTCAAAAAACAGCGGAATAAGCTTCTGGGGTTAGGCCTTCAAAACCTTTAACACTAATATGGAGCCATTTCCTGGGTCTCAACTACACACGCACACACCCAGAGGCCTGCCAACATCTGTAGCATTAGGGAGCCTTTCAAAATGTATCCAGTTCCACCTCAGACCCTGCAAGGCTCTCATACGTGTTCCAGGGAGAGGCTACTGAAACTAAACTCATTGTGCTTTTGCAGAATAATTGAGGGGGACAGGGGAGGAGAAGCAGAGATTAATAACCCTATCTAATTAAGTTTGGCTGGTATAAAGAGGAATTGCAATGTAACCAGAGAACCCAGGCAGATAAGCCTAGCAGCTGAACAAGGACGTGATCTGCAGTAAACAAGCAGAAGGAAAAGGAGTGAATGGAAAGGAACTGATGTATGCGGTGGACTTTAGAGTCCAAACTCTTGAACTCTCCGGGGAGGCCAGAAGTGCATTCTTCAGGCAGCTGGCTGGGCTCAGATAGCGACTTCCCCCCCTTCCTGCATTTGTTCAAGAACAAGACACCGGGCTACCACCATTAGGAAACTTTGTGCAGCCTTGATGAGAATAGGGGCATTGGGTGGGTGCAACCTTGTTGTCCGTTACACTTTCCTCTGATTGCTGTGATTCCGACTGCCTTCTCTAAGACAGACATTCTGAATCCTAAACTGGGACTGTGCTTTAAAAATATATATCCCACCCCACAAACAGCTGGTTTCTGCAGCATATACAGACATGCAAATGAAGGAAAAATAAAAAGATCTGCTTATCTTGGACATTAGTAGACAGGTGGTGGGAACAAAATAAACATTGACTAGGGGCTTCAAACTGTGTTGTGGGGGGATGAGAGACCTCTTTTCTGCCTCTCACACACCCATCTGAACTTTTCACAAATCCTAATTTCACCTTCATTGTAACTGGTGTTTGGTTTCTCAAACAAGACACCCAAGAGTCAAGCCTGCCTGGAAGCATTTACCAAGACTTAGGGTAACCCCTGAGCCCAAACTCTAGAGTAGCTGGCATTATTCAAGCTCCATACTACTTACTATCTCATAATAATAATAATAATTTATTTCTACCCCGCCCATCTGGCTGGGTACCATTATTTGTCCTCACTACTAACCCTGCTGATACCGTTAGTTGTTTAAGTTAACAAAAACAGGTCCATGTGTGTCATTTAACGGTGCGTTTCAGGATCCGTTTTGATTACATTTTAAAACATGTGACAAATTTAATTATTACAGCACACCTACATTAGAATATGCAAACATGTACTCAAATCAAGTCTATCCAATATTTAGAGAGCATTTGGTTTTTGAGCTCATTCATCTAGCTTAATGTTCTTCTTTAGTAGACTAAAACCATACATAGCCAAAACTTCAACTGAGAATATCTTTTTAAGGATATTGATTTAAAACTCTTTTGAGGATGTATTTGAGGGTACTGAGATAAAAGGTAACTTCTATAAGTGAATTGTTAAGCTGTCAAAAGAAAAGACCACTTTTAAAATTTCACAATCTTACACCTCCACATAATGAGGGCATTATCAAATGGCTTCAAAGCAAGCAGGCAGTTATATTTCAGATCCAATTAAAATATGACTTCTCCCTGATCCACAACAGAAGTCAAGCTTTTGTTAAGAAGAACACACTGTAAGAAGTTAGACTGCAAGCTTTCATCTCGACAGCCCACAGCTGCAAAAGCAGTCCTTATACCGTCACAGGGTCCTCCAGCGGATTTTCAATTTCAGCCTGACGCAAAAAGACATTTCCACGACACACCCTCCACAGCATCCGCTCAAAGGTAGGGATCCGCTCACGATTGATGACACCAGCCACAAATCTGAACACAATGGAAGTCACACAAAAATAAAAGAAATTAGTACGCATTCAGCAATGTTCTGTTCACTGCAGGGCCTGGAAGAAACACAGACAGATACTGTAAAGGCAACAGAAAGCAAGAGAGGGACCCAACATGAACGGTTTGGTGAATGTGAAAGGGAAACAAGCCACTGTCTGTGCAATTTTAGTAAAAAAAAGAAGGTGGTAGGATTCAAACTCTGTTTCTTCCAGCATTAAGAACTACCTGACTTTTAGAAAACATCTGAAGGCAGCCCTGTTTAGGGAAGTTTTTAATGCTTGATTCTATTTTTAATATTCTGTTGGGAGCATGATGATGATGATGATGATGAAGCCACTTTAGCTCTTTTGTGCTGTGCCTATAGAAAGGCTTGACACACTGTGGCTAAGGAAGCAGAACTATGGTTTGGCATGACATATAAACTGGTAACCCTTGTTTCACAATTAACCAGCAAAGCAGGATGGGGAACCGTGCTTTGAGGTGGATTTGCGAATCATGGTTTGCGGTGTGGTGTCTGAATTGACCAGCTATAGGTTACAGTCTACTCCCAAAGACTGCTACACCAAGGAGAGAGGCATAATCTTATGGCACTGAGTGTTGAGACAAAGGAAAAACAAAAGCAGCCAAGCACTCTACACACCACATAGTATACCTGCTGTATGTTCGGAACCTCAAACCATTATGGGTTCTAGATAGTTAGTTCAAAGCGTGATTGGCATTAACATCTGAGCTGAGGCAAAAATTAGCAAATGTTATAGAAATAAGACCTAAAGAAGCTACATTCTCAAGGGGCTGGAAATTTGCTGCAGAACACTATTTGTTAAAATGGTCCATATAACACAATTCGTTCTTCAGCAATTATATAAAAAAAACTAAGCTGCACCACAGAAAATAAAGCAAGTGAATATCAAGTACAATACTACATGAAATCAAACATGAGAATGGAAGCTGAACAAAATTCATGCAGACAGAAAAACACACAGGATTGTCATTTTGCCTGAATTTTGTATGCTAATATAAGGACAAATTCAGTAGATCTTTAACTGAAAATATTTCCATGTCAGCCTTTCAGAATCTGAACAAAATCCACTACTGTGTAAATCTAGAACTCTGCTTATCAATTGTTGGTGCACGTAAAAGGCATCCATAGCAGCTGTCAAGGCTATCTAAATATCAAAGCAACACTACAAGGAGATAGAGTGAAGAGTGAAAACTGATAAGCTACAGAAATTCTATATTATCTGCACAGCCTGGGGCCAATATTTATTCAGTTCTTTACATTTCCAAAAACACAAAAATGGAACTGCTGTCAGTTAACTGCTTTTCTGTCAACAATCTGGCACGAGATGCATCCTGTTCAATCAGATCTAGTACTGTGCAACTTAATTCAGATTCAGCTAAATAATATTAACACCAAGAAATAGCTTGCTCTCCTCCAAGGAATCAAGAATAGTACGGAAGAATGCAAACCCAAGTCCTACGGCCTTAACCAATCATGCCTGACGTGCAGAAGAGATCCTATAGAACACAACCGACGCTGCTGAAAAGTGAAAGTTGCACGTACCCTAATCGTAGCGGGGTTCCTCTTCCCAGTTCACTCGGCTCCAGCAGAGACGAAGACTCCTCCAACAGGTCGGGATCCGCCATCTGCTGATGATGCAATTCAGCCTGAATTCACAAATCAATTAACATCTAATGAAACTAGTTAGTGGCATGCAGGGGGATGAGGAACCAGGAGATGGATGGAGAGAAGCAAAGAAATACCAAAGGAGGAAAAAATGAAAGAAGAGAAGGCTCTAGGAGGATGTGAAGAAAAGGTGAGCAAGGCATCTCCACAAAGCCAACAGAGGGAGAGCGACATGATGCTTGCGAAACACAGACCTTCCAAGCTGGACATAAAAACTGCAAGTTAAGCTCCAAAGAAATATGGTGGGAAACGGGCAATCCCTCATTCAAGCCTCTACAGACTTTTGAAAAAGGAGTCCCCCCCCCCTTTAAATGCCACCATGCAACCACTATGCAGCTGCTCTGTACTCTAGTGTATGCTATCAGCCTCAGCAAAGATGCTCCAGGCTCAATAGAGAGAAGGAAACATGTACATAGAAGTTGGAAGAAAGGCAAGAGATTGTCTGGCCAAGAACTGGATAATATATACCAGCTTCCTCAAACTTGGGTTTCCAGCTCTTGTTGGACTACAGTTCCCATCACCCTAGCTAGCAGGACCAGTGGTCGTGGATGATGGGAGTTGTAGTCCAACTGGAGACTCAAGTTTGGGAAACACTGCTATATACACAGGGCTGTGTATACTGTGAACCTTAGGGAGAAGATAACAAAATATCAAAATTCTGCCATAAATTAAACCATATTCTACACTAAACAAAGTTAGGTGTCATTGGTTATGATTAAGCAAACTAAAGTGCCTACCTACTTGTAATTTATTCTGCTTCTGTTACTAACAGGGAATAGCAAGAGTTATGTAGGGCACTGAAGCTCAGTCCTGGGAAGCCTCCCAGCCTCTATTCCATTTTCTGTGATTTCAGCAGGTATTTCCTATGTATTTTTCCTGCCTAGTTTCACGACCAGAGGGGTCTAAACCTTTGCTTGACTTACTTACTTACTTACTTACTAAAATGTATACGCTGCTTGATTGGAAAAAGAAACTTCAAAGTGGTTTGCGAAAGATGAAACAGTAAAGTCAAGAAAAATTTAAACCCTACTTTAAAACATACAAAAGTTTAAAGTAATAAAAAAGATTTAAGATTGCTTTAAGAAATATGTGGATTTTAGGGTGCTTATACCCAACACCAGGCCCTAAAAATTTGAACCAGAATTCTGCAAGCTGAATCAGAACTTAGGCAAATCATCATAATATTCTATTATGAATGATTTATTATGAAATGTGATTGCTCTGTCCAATTTATTCTGCTTTTGCTAGCTGTACGTGGCGAAGAACATGGAGGACCCAGCGACAAATAATAGAAATCTCATTAGCAATCCTCACTGGCTTCCGAGATTTCAGCAGGGTTCGCCCACACACTTCCAAGAATACTCTGCCATTATGGCTAGAAAAGGGCTTTTATTATTTCTTTTTATTTCAATATGTTCAAGAAGCCCGGTTCTGAAGTTACAGCATAATCTTGTCTTATACCAAATTCTGTGCTTGTACAGAACATACACAGCCCCAATTTATTTGACCAGATTGACCTTGCAGAAAGATCTGAAGAGGAACAAGATAATTTTATATCCCCCAAATGCAAATAGCTTGCTACTTCTGCACCTTGGGTGAACCCCACAAAAGGGACTTTTGACACCCTTTTCCCCCAGCATGCTTTATTTCAAACAAAGCATGCATGACTTAGAACATTTGTAGACATTTGTTTATTATTTAATTTCTTTTATGAATTGTTTCCTCTAAAACATCTTTTTAGCTCTTCATCTTTTTAGCCGGAATTCACGACTTAATCACTTCCCCCTGTAACTTGCTGGCTAAGACTTAATGGAAACTTAACTTGCGCAAGCGCTCATGATATAGCTCAGGAAGGATGTTGATGCTACGCCCTCAGAGGCAGCATTAACATGACAAAACAGTCAAAATCATTTCCACCTTGACACAGCCCATACGGTAAAGAAAACACTTGGAGAAAAGAAGCAGATGTAGCTTTAAAATAAGACATCACCTTTCAACATGCATGCAAGGGGCTCCTGCAAATGAGGGGCATGAGAATCCGAAGACACACATATCAGACCAAGCAACTGGCCATGAGAACAGACCACAGTCCAGCAGCACAGGCAGACTGATTTGCTATTCAGAATACAAAGGGGCTCCTAAAATATCCCTGAAATTGTAAAAAGCACAAGCTTTCGGCAACAGGGTAATAAGGTGGGCGCGTGCTGAAATATGCTCCCCTGGTCTTCCAATTCCTTCTCTGATCTATAGCAGGGATGTTGAACTTGTGACCTCTCCCGATGATATTGGATGACAACTCTCATCATCCATGCCCATTGACCATGCTGACTTGGGCTGATGAGAGTCCAACAGCATCTGAAGGGCCACAGGTTCCCCATCCAATCCACAGTTACAATACTTCAAGAAGGAGAGGACAGAGAGTGAAGAAAGAGCAGTGAGTGGAGGGGCCCCCTGTTCCCCATCCTTTGGACCTCCTAGGAAACTCAACAAACTTGATGCACCTGGAACTGGGCTGTGGAGAGGACAGCTGAATGGGTCACAGCTGTGGGCAGCCTGAGGAAGTACTATCCACCTTGGCTCTGCCCATTAAGAGTCTAGAGTGAGAGACTAGGGTGAGATCTTCCCCTATCTATTTCATTCTACATGTAGCAAAACAGATGTGTAGGTAAGTCCCATGTAAGAAATGCATACGCAGGATTCACATGATATCCTGGCAGAAAGAAGTATCATGCCAACCAGCCTTATTTCTTCCATTTTCATCTCTCCTATTCATGATACCGTTTCACAAAAGATAATTTGCTTTCAAGGCCTCTTTGCTCCCTCCTAAATCTCCCCTCGTTGTGCCTACCACCATGCTGAAGTCCCCTGCCTGACTGTTCAAGGAATGCAACAAAGAAAGCAGGAAATAAAATGCCAGCATACTCTATAAAACACAGCTCCTCCAACATACGTACATGGAGAACACAAATGGCTGGGGGTTTTTTAAAGCGAAAGATCTTGAACTGCATTTGAAAGTACAAAAATGTTTATTTCTATTGTACAAGTCCTCAAATTATGTTACAGGGAGCCTCCCTGTGCGAAGGAGGGAAAATGGAAGTCAGCAAGGGGCAGGGAGGTAGAGACTTGCTTCAAACCTTGTGCCACTTCTGCCATCAACTCAATGACAATGTCTTAGCTTTCGTTTGTTGTTTGGGAGGGCCAAGCTCAGGCCCAGTGATAGTTCCTGCTAAAGAGGATTGAAATGTATCAGCATCTCTTATACCAACAAGCAGCAACCATCCCACAACTTGAAGAAGAAAGGCACAGTCAGAAAGCTTTCCTACAAGAGAATCTTTATATGGCATTGTATGTTTTATTGTACTTGCATATTACTTTTACACCACCTTAGTATTTTCTTTAATATGAGAGGCACTCTATAAATACTTTAGCTGTTGTCCAGGGTGTGCAGCTCAAGGTCTTCCTGCAATGGATATACAAAACATCACACACACACACACACACACACACACAAGCCCTTGAGCGAATGACGAGAGTAAACACAGATACAGTTTTCACAGTCCGCAACAACTGCAGCAGGGACCACCAAAAGGAGGAACAGATGACAGATGGAGAATGAGAACTAAGGACTGAAGATGATGACAGAAAAGAAAGAATCCAGAGGAAAGAGATGGAAACTGCATGCCATTAACCATTACTTTTCCAGTCTTCTTCCAGTCTACTCTGGGGCACTTATGGTTAATAGATCCAGAGATATTTCTCCAGTTCTTACTGTTCTTCACAAAGCAAAAATATGAAGACCGAGAAAAGAATCACCATTTTAGCAGAATCAAAACCATTGTGTCCTTTTTCATAGGCAAGAAATGGCTTCGCTGGCATTGTGGTCCCATTCGTTAATTGTCGGGCCCCATCTTCCCTCCTGCAGCTCCCACAACTGAATTCAGGGTCCACAGATCAAAGACTTGCCTTGCAAACCATTTCTTGCTGTCAAGTTATGAATATTTCACAAACTCCCCCAAAGTTTTACAAAGTCTTCAAATGTTGAACTGCAGCAGCAAGTTTCTCAGTGGTTTAGGAAAAAAAAGATGATTGAGCAACAGCTCTGTTGTGCCACCTTAAAAACCGCTCCCTAAATTTGAATCACTGACAGGACCATCATCTATTTATGTGAAGCTCTTTCAAAGAACAAACATGAAGCAACTCATGACTCTGAGGAAACTACATTTCAGTGGAAAGTTACACAGTACATACTATTCACCGTGGCCTGCTTAGTCTAAACAGTTGCTCATATGGGTCCCCAATCCTAAAAACATTAAAAAGAGACTTTGTAGAGGCAACTGCACCATTCAGCAAGCACTACTATTCATTATACCCTGTTTAGATTTTGAAGCTGAAAAGCAGTGAAGGCCTAGCTCTCTTAAGCAGCAGAAGACGTGGCCAAACCGGTGTCTGGAATGTACCACTTCAGACTACAGGTGGAGTTCCAGAGATGGGATGTTCCACCACACAAAATATCCTGTATGCAGAAAATAGGCGTGCTGCTTAGAAGGGATTGTTCTTTTATATGAAGAAGCACACCATCATGTGATCCTGCCGTAAATGTTCACATTTACACTTCGTATTTAGTGCAAGTAAGCACTTGGAAGAACTGCAACTCCAGCAATGCCCAAGTAGGAAAATTTGGAAAAAACATTTGCTGGATAATGTACTGAAAACAAAAGTTCAGCTGTGGTAAATGGCAAAAATCAAAATCATCACGTAACTGACCTAAACTTAATGTTAGGTAGCTGGTGTTGTGCAGTCCAACATAAGGTTGCTCTTCAGCAGGTATGATACTTAAGTTGGCCATACAACAACACAAAGCTCAGCATTTACACACATAGATGCAGGTTGCCGAGCCAAAGTAAAATTAACCAGCACTTGTTGCGCAAAGATTGGATGCTTCCCCAAACACTACATGTTCAAGTGTTTTTCCACAACTGTGAAGGGTCAGGAACTTCATTTTTATTTCAAAGGCGGAAGTTGAGCACATATCCACTTAATCCTAGCTGTCACATTTCTAAGTGCTCCAGCTGCTTCAAGTATTTATTGAGGACCATTAGAGCACTGCCCCTCATATGGAACAAGCTGTCCATGCAGCCCCCTGCCTTAGTGCTAGGGAGATGGTTAATAGCAAAGGATCATATCAGAAACGTTAGAAAGGCCCTATCACCATGGTCAGCAATTAATTTTTACCAGAGGCCACATCCGTAATTAAGCTAGGTTATGGCCATCGATGCTCCTGAGAAAAAAGCAAATTTTTGCTTATATATTTGCTTATCCTGTGCAATTTACTCTCAACATTCTGAGATTTCACTGGACACTGCTTTCAATCCTACCTTGGCACCCTTAACAGGCACTCAGTTTAAAATATACACAAGCCAAGATTCTCAGGATGCTGAATGTCACATCCAATACCAAATTCCACACTTAGATGGCAGCTGCAAAACCCAAGGCACAACTCATGTGTGTGTATGTGTCCAGGAGGCACCACCCCAACCGACCACAGCTTACAAACTGTTTTTCAACATTTGAAGACAAGGAGCTTAGACCCATTATTGATCATATTCCCCAAGCACCCACATTATCACCCACAAAGCAAGAGCAGAGGCAGCAAAAAACTTGTCGTTGTTTTTCAAAGAAGGAAAGCAAGATCCCATTTTGTTTACCTAACAAATCCATTTTTCTCTGAGTGTTGAATTAGAGGGAGGGTAGCACTACTGGACCACAGGTTTCAGGCCTCTACCAGGGCTCCAACTATCCCAAGTTGAACATGACATATCATGATCTGTTGCAAAAAGCCTCTTAATTGAGTCAATAACTCTACCATCTTGGGAACATAAATCTAAACATGTTCAGTGCCATCATATCACCACCTGGAAGCACAGACTTTTTAAAAGCATTTGTTTGGATTTGCTAGTGACATTCTTTTAATGATGTGTCAAAAATAGTTGCTGATCCAGATTTTTTAACTTCTGCCACCTTCTCTACTACCCTTCCTAAATGACTAACAGGACTAGAAAAATCCAAGCCAACTGGCTGCCCAGGTGCCTAGAAATCTGAAGGGCATGAGCAGCAAGTCTGAAACACATCAAGGACTCCCAGCCGGATACCTAGGCACAGCTCAGGTTGTGGAAAGCTCTTGGTGACCTGCTCTAACATTGTGCTATTCAAAAGAGGGAGACAGATCACTGTGCATCCATACTTTTCTTTCTTGTCTAGCTAGCAGAAATGAGGCTGGAAGTATCCTAGCATCCAGTTTTCCTTATTACTGAAACTTTGATCCTAGCAACTGGGAATCTGGATAGGTGGTCTGCTTTCCAAGCCCTTTTCCATCATGCCCCCAGGAATCTTTTGGGGGTTCTACATGATCAAAGGTTTATACACCATTCCGACAGGTGTCAGAGGAATATTTTACCTAGACATGAACACTTAGCAATTGCACATAATGTAAGCCATGGGGTGGCTAGCTCGTATGTTTGCATGAATGATGGAAAACAACTTGTAGAAGTTTCTTGAAATCAAGGGGAGGCACTGCTGCCCAAAACTGCAACTTAAACAAGCATTCTCAAGAAGAAAAGTGGAAGGTTGTGATGAGCTGGCCCAGCTGCATAAGAAGCAAAAACATCCGATATTCTGACCTCATCAAAAAACTGCTGAGTTTTGCGCAGTATAAATTTTAATTCCGTCAGCTCCAGGAAGTTCCTTTTCAGGGCTTCCTGGTTGGTATTAATCTCTTTGAGCTCATTTTCAATCTTCTCAAAGTTTGCCTGCAGAAAAAAGAGAAGTAAAGAGAAAGTGAGTTGATTATTAGCTGTCAACATGCTGTAGTAGACGCATCTTTTCCTCGATGTATAAACTGTCAGTTCCTTTAATCTCTCTATAGCCAAATTCAAATTCTATGCTATAATGGAGATAATCTTCTGCATTAAAGAACTATTATTTTTACCTTTTACAGCCAGAGATGCCCTTGAACAAATTATATAAATCAGTAACTAAACTGTCATTGGCTGATGCATTTATGATTCCCTTTATTGGAAAACTAGAGACCTATAAAAGCTGGGCTCCCATCAAGGCTGTTTGGATGATTGCTTATGAAGTCATAAACAAGTGCTGGAGCAAAACACTTTATTCCCTCATCCCCTATTGTGCACCACCTACAGAACAAAGACAGTGACTAGTATTAAACCAGTGCTCTTTGTTAATGTCTGGACTAAGGAACTCTGGCTGAACCATGGTTAACAAACCAGGAAAATATGTCAGGGTATTCCCCCAGACTTTTCTGTAAAACTCTATTCAGCATCCAGTTCTAGCTATTTCTTCTGCAATCTGACTTTCCCACTCAATATTCACTTTTCACAGCCCTGTATCAAGAGAAATAAGCCTTGCAAAACCCCAAGGTGCTATGATTTTACAAGACACAGTGTTATTTACCTCCAAATCAATCATGTCTCGGGGGAACGGCACCTCTGGATTCTCGCCGGTGTCTGTGATGGGAATGTTGGCCTTCTTAATCTCCTTTTCCACAAACCCTAAAAAGGGGGAGAACTGTAATGAGGGGATGATTTAAGACGAGCATGTAATATCATATACGTGAGAGAAGGCCTCATGGATCTGCATACCTCCCTTGTGCAACTGATCATCTGATGCCCCATTCCACCAGACCACACAAACACCTCCACTATGAACATATCTTCTCATTTAAATAATCTACAAAATGATAGTTTAAAAATCACAGGTCAAAGAAAGTAGATTACTACCATATAATTTTTTTGTTCTGATTTCATGATAGTAGAATGGATGCAGTGTGTCTTAATAAGTAACAATTGCATGATGACTAGATAATCACATGTCACTTCTCCAGACCTATACTAAGGAATTTTGACCTTATGGGTTCATTTCCACACTATAAGGACATCTTAGACTTTTGCTAGCTGCTATTGGAATCTATTTTCCTTCTATTTTATCTGTTATGCTGCTAACTATCATGTCACGTTCTATATCATATTCTCGTGGTTTGGATCCTGTTCTAATTTCTGCAACAATGTACAACATGCAGATTATTTAGCATAGCCACAGAAATCTGGGGAGAGGTTTAAAGGAACCCAGACTGATTTAGCCCCAACAACCTATGCCAGGCATAGGCAAACTCAGCCCTCCAGATGTTTTGGGACTACAACTCCCGTCATCCCTTGCTAACAGGAACAGTGGTCAGGGATGATGGGAACTGTCGTCCCAAAACATCTGGAGGGCCGAGTCTGCCTTTGCCTGGCCTATGCACATGCAAGAGAAAGCAATGACATACTAAGTTTCCTGTCCATCTCTTCACACCTCCGGACTTCATTGACAAATTTACGCTGGAACACATTCACATCAGGGTTTAGCTGTCAATAAGAACAAAACATAATTTCTATCACATGTGTGCAGTGACTGAAAACCAGTTGCTGCTCATCTCCAAACCCTTCTGTACCATAAACTATATTCGTATATTGGTGTCACAGAAAGCTCATGAGCATTTTAACTGTTCAAAGAGAAAACGCAAAGGATTGCTACCTGATCAATAAAAGATCTATAAAGAGCCCATTTGTTAGTTCCAGCACCCTCAGAAGTTCAGAGAGCAGTGGCAGCCCAGGAGAGCGCATTCTCTGCAGCAGCCCCTTTGTTATAGAATTACCTATCTACAGTGGTGAACCTGGCACCTTCACTGCATGATTTTTGTTGTATGCTGCAGACGTACCTCTTTCACCTGCCCTTTGACACTTGAGATATCTTTTCAGGACCCATCCTATTCTTGCGCTTGTAATTTGTTTCACACTGTTTCTAATACTTTATTTTTAAATTGCTGTAACCTGTACTAGGACCTTATGACGAAGGCAAGCATGAAATTTAATACTTGATCATTGTAGGGCACGGAACAATCACTCACAACAAAAGGCAGCAACATTGATAGTTAACACCTTCAAAGAATCTAAAGATGCTTCAGTTATATCCTAGTATAAGGGGGAAATCCTTGAGCATAGGTAACAGTTGTCACAAACAAGAACACAATAAATTGTGTGGACCAACAGGGCCAGATACATACATCTCGAAACTGGACCTTCCCAAGTTCTCCCAGCTCACTGACACAGCAATACGCTGCTTCAGACTGAAGGAAAAGTTGCGCAAGGGTCATTTCTTCACTCCGAAAGAGCTCCCCCATAGTGAGAGAGAAGAGCCAGACGAACTAGGGTGAGAATCCTTTTGCCTTTAAGAGAAAGAAAAAGAAGGATAAATGTAAGACTCACCAGAAAGGTATCAATTCTGTTATCTACCTTTTGGGGTACATGGAAGGCATATACAGTGGTGCCTCGCAAGACGAAATTAATTCGTTCCGCGAGTTTTTTCGTCTTGCGAATTTTTCGTCTTGCGAATCACGAATTCCCATAGGAATGCATTGAAAATCAATTAATGCGTTCCTATGGTCAAAAAAGTCCAAACAAAGCCAAATTTGGTACAACAACCTCCCCCACTGTTGCAACCCCCTACCCACCTGGTCCCCCAGCCCCTCCCCAACTGTTGCAAACCCCTCCCCAACTGTTCCCCCAGTCACCCAGCACACAGAAATTCAAATCCAGAATTTTTTTTAGAAAACAGCAGAGTGGCCCAATGGTCACAGAAAATCATAAAAATGCAGAAAAAAACCACACAAGCTTCCAGATTGTTGCAGACCCCTCCCCAACTGTTCCCCCAGCCACCCAGCACACAGAAATTCAAATCCAGAAATTTTTTTTAAAAACAGCAGAGTGGCCCAATGGTCACAGAAAATCATAAAAATGCAGAAAAAAACCACACAAGCTTCCAGATTGTTGCAGACCCCTCCCCAACTGTTCCCCCAGCCACCCAGCACACAGAAATTCAAATCCAGAAATTTTTTTTAAAAACAGCAGAGTGGCCCAATGGTCACAGAAAATCATAAAAAATGCCGAAAAAAGACACACAAGCTTCCAGATTATTGCAAACCCCTCCCCAACACCAAGTCCTTGAATTCCAAACACCCCAACCCAAAATCCAAAAACCCAAAAAGTTTTAAAAGCTTAACTTGGCTGCAAAAGAAGTTTTGGAAAAGCTTCAAAAATCACCAAAGTCTTTAAAAACCTCAAAAAAGGCTACTATGTACACTGCGTTCTATGAGTTGCTCCTCGAAGTCAAGTCGCAACTGTATTAATGGTGTTAAGAAAAGGAAACAACCTTGCAAGACGTTTTCGTCTTGCGAAGCAAGCCCATAGGGAAATTCGTCTTGCGAAGCAGCTCAAAAACGGAAAACCCTTTCGTCTAGCGAGTTTTCCGTCTTGCGAGGCATTCGTCTTGCGGGGCACCACTGTATTGTAGATTAATTTATATCTCTCTCACGGAGATTGAAAACTAGGACTGGAACATCTCAAACTGAATAAGGGCATAAAAATTCTGAAAATATTATTTAAGGATTGTAAAAAAGGAAAGCCTATTCCATGGTTCCACATTTTTATGTGCCACGCACAACTAACCCCTACTATGCAGCACTCAAAGACTGCTGTTGCCTCTGAATTTCACCTCTCAGTTCCAGCTAATGCTTCATGACCAGCTGCCCATCATGTGGCACCTCTGCAAGCTGCTGCCCCAGAAACACAAGCAGCAGCCTATCAGCTGACAGCCATCTCCAGGGAAAACTGTTACATAGCACTGCAGCAGATTTAGCTGGTCGCATAGGGATTCAGAGTTTATTTTCACTAAGGGATGGGAGAACATCCGGATGTCATAGTCCACAGGGATTATCCAGTGAAAGTAAAGTCTGGTTGGTTTTGCAGTCTCCTCAGTCATGCTGATAAAACAAAGTGAGCCACTAATGTCAGGCTTGAGACATAAGAAAGGCCACATCAGAATGATATGGGCCTAATCAGAGTCCAGAAATATTTCAACTTATTAACATATAAATGCAGATTTTTTTAAAAAAGTGAATCATTTTTTGTTCTGCTTGGAAAGTCTTTTTCAGTTGAGGCAAAACACTGTAGAGATTTATCCAGTCCATACTTTTGTCTTGCTTGCTACTGATGCTATAGTATAGATCAGAGCCTTCCAAACTGTGTGTCGGTTGAGGTGTGTAGGTGTGTTGCGCAAACGGTCCCCACACTCCAACCAGGGCTGGAAAGGGGTTAGTTTAATCTCCAGTTTGCTAGTAAAACTGAGTTACTGTGTTGTGAAATGATGCATGTCTAAAAAGTGTGTCACCAACATGAAAAGTTTTGAAAGCTCTGACATAATTAATTCAATGAAAATAACGAATGGACATTACTGCTCACTGATGGCTGAGCAGCAAGAGTTAAAAAGCAACAGACATTATCCATGCTGAATGCTAACAATTACTGAGACTAGGAGCCTTTCCAAAAAATAAACTACAAATTAACTCTGGCATCTTACTCCAATAAGCCACTCAACAAGAGATGGGGGCATTGCAAGGGCACCACAGCAGCAGTATGACTGAACTTTGAGCTTATCTGCCCAAATGCCTGACAAATTTGTAAGGCCCAACTCCAAGAAAAGTTGCAATTATTATTTTATACAAGCTAAGGTGCAGCAACCGAATCAAATGTCATGCTCGATCACATGCTTTTACTTCAGAAGGATAGCATTAATGCATTAATAAAGTTAATAAGTGCTGGATGACAGGCATCTAAAGAATCCTTAAGACTAGAATCCCCATTTCAATTTATTGTCTCTTGAGCTCCCCCACCTCAGTTGTTTTTTTTAAGTGAAGTACATTCCTTCCCCTTTGCAGAACTCTCCATGAAGGAGAAGGAGTTACATTCTTGTAACTGACTTTAATGCATCTACTCTCTCTGTGCCAGAGCCCATGTTCACTCAACCCCATCAAAACTGGGGCAATTTCTCTTTATTTCACCCCCTTGGCAAGCAGGAATGTGCCTTCCATCTTCTTATACCTAACACAAAGGCAGGAAGCTGCTGTCACCCCACATTATAACATGAACAGCAACCCCCATCCCTCCCCAAAGAGGGAACAGATGACAAACAGCAGGAGACATCTACTTCTCAGAAACAAATGGGTTAGCAAGTGGCTCCTCCATCACCATCCCATCATCTTATCCATCCAGCGCCGCCTGCCCACAAGAAGGCAACGCCCCAGGTATCACTCCCAGCATGAAACCGGCCTCCTCCCCACATTCTTAAATGTCCCCACAGGTTCTGGAGAGATCCCTCTCCTCCTTCTCAAAGGCACCCATGGGAGAAACCAGCTCGCCCCCTGGGGCGCCCCTGAAACCCAATGACACCCCCACACATTCAAATATAATACCTTCTGCTTCTCCCTCCCACCAGGGGACCTTGGATTAGGCGACCTACCCGCCTAAATTGACCCACCGACGCAGCCAGGCTGTCCCTTGTCTCCCCTCACTGGCCCTCAGCGGAGTATCACGCGCCCCACTCCCACAACCGCAGAGGACAGGGCAGACCCTTCCCCTCCTCCACTAGGCCCCGCGCTCTCCCATGACGCATTGCGTTGCTTCCCCGTATTAACCGCCTTTCAACGCCCCTTGCCCCGCCGCGCCGCCTCCCCCCTCCCCCCGCACCTTGGAAAGGGCTTCGCCGCCGCAGACCTTTAAACGCCGCACCAAAAACAAGCCGCAGCACCTGCTCCGACAAAGCGGCAACCAACCCACCCCCCACCAGCTTCCGCTGATGACGCCACTGCGTAGGTGCGCGGCGCCCGCCTTCCCTTCTTCCGCCCGGCCTTGTGGCGTTGCTTAGCAACAGGGCCAGCGCCGGCGTGGTGCGTTCGGGCAAGGTTCGCTGGATTGCCTGCCTTAAGTGGCCGCCATTTTGGCGACAGCTTTCGTAAGTCGCGGCGGCGTGCCATGGCCGGTGACGTCACGCCCTGGGTTTTTTGTGATCGTGGCGGTTGAAAGGGTTCGCCTCAGAAAATGGTTTCTTTACCCCACCCTGCTCCAGTGACTGATGTATCTCGAAGGGTGTGTACCTGGAAGAACACAAATGGATTCAAGTTACAAGAAAGGAGATTCCGAGTCAGCATCAGGACGTGCTTTCTGAGAATAAGAGCTGTTCGACAGTGGAACAGACTTCCACGAGAGATGGTGGACACACTCCTTCCTTCCTTCCTTCATGGGAGGTTTTAAATCAGAGGTCGGATGGCTGTCTGTCATGTATGTTCTAGTTGAGATTCCTGCATTGCAGGGAGTTAGACTTGCAGTATCCTTCCCAACTTTACAATCCTATGATTATCATTGATTCATAATTATCAGGGCTGTTACCTGATAAGAGATTAGTTGTACTGAGTTTCAGCTGATGAATTAGAGATCCAAGCTTCTTTAAATTTTATTTTATTTTTGCATTAACTAAGTGGCCAATTCACTAAACATTGCTGTCCTACTAAGTTCTTTATAGCATAAAGAAAAGTAGGCAAGTCCCAAAAACATGTGCATCATTGTAAATTGCACTGGGGCTCTGAGGTGGGGGGAAAAGGAGAGGGCACAGGAAAACGACTGCCACAGTGTTTAGGGAGATCTGGAGTAATTTCCCTGTGAGGAAAAGCTACAATGTTCTTGAGCTTTTTCGGTTTAGAAAATAGCAGATTAGAAGGGTGGCTTATGCTGTGGAGAAAGTGTTCAGGGAGAAAATCTCATACCAGAATGTAGAGTTTTAGCAACAGAATCCAATGAAACGGAGCGGTGGGAGCTTTGGGACAGAGAAAGGCACACTTCTTGACCGCAAGGTATAGTGATTGCTGCTGACTTGGGTGGTTTTAAAGGGGGGACTGGACAAGCTAAGGCTATACATTGCCTACTAGTCATGATGGCTATATTGCTCCCAGAATTGGAGGCAGTATTCCACTAAACACCAGTTCATGGGAAGAATTCATATTCTTGTGGATTTCCCATAGGCAGGGCCGGCCCACTCATGAGGCAAGGCAAGGTGACCACGTTATGCAGCAGGATTCACTGGAGCAGCAGATCCCACTGTTGATCTTTCTCCCCCCTCCTTCCTGCCCTTCTTCTTTATATGGACCTTCTTCCCTCACTCCTTCCTTGGCAGGGAATTTTGGGATCTGCCTTGGGTGCCAAAATGTATTGAGTCAGCCGTGCCCATAGGTCTACAGTGGTTCCTTGGTTCTCGAATGGCTTAGTTGTCGAACAAATCGGCTCCCCAACACCGCAAACCCAGAATTAAGTGTTCCAGTTTGCAAATGTTTTTCGGAAGCTGAACATCCACTTGAGTGGAGGAAGCTCCTGCAGCCAATCGGAAGTCGCGCCTTGGTTTTCAAACGGTTTCGGGAGTCGAACCGACTCCCGTAACGGATTAAGTTCTAGAACCAAGGTACCACTGTATTGGTAGTTTTACGATAAGCGAAGAGAGCAATTAACATGATAAAGCGTTTGGTCTGCTGCAGCAAGTATCTTCCTAATTATAAGTTTAACTCCGTCTCTTGATGCTGTAGGGGATGGGGGTGGCGCTGTGGGTTAAACCACAGAGCCTAGGACTTGCCGATCAGAAGGTTGGCGGTTCGAATCCCCGCAACGGGGTGAGCTCCCATTGCTCAGTCCCAGCTCCTGCCAACCTAGCAGTTTGAAAGCACGTCAAAGTGCAAGTAGATAAATAGGTACCGCTCCGGCGGGAAGATAAACGGCGTTTCTTTGTGCTGCTCTGGTTCGCCAGAAGCAGCTTAGTCATGCTGGCCACATGACCCGGAAGCTGTACACCGGCTCCCTCGGCCAATAAAGCAAGATGAGCGCCGCAACCTCAAAGTCGGTCACGACTGGACCTAATGGTCAGGGCTCCCTTTACCTTTACCTTGATGCTGTACAGTTCAGGTTATAATTCCACCCCCACCCCACCCCATTTTGCCACCATGTCCTTCTCCTGGTGAATCCGTACAGGCCCCCAGCCTGAAATAATATTTATATAGCATGGCTCAGATGCAAAGCTATTGCACAATCATCTGGTTAGTCTCCTTCATGAAATCTCTTGTTTCCTATGGGGAATTGGGTAACATAGGCCTTGTTAAGGTGCAGGACAGAAATCCCCATAGGAGAAACTATGGAAGCTGTAAAAGTGAGGGAAGTCCACAGAGACAGAATGCGATACAGAAAGGAACAAAAGATCCCTTAATTTTCTGTGCATTTGGAGATGCCTGAAGACCTGTAGGCAAAAGGACTTATTTGTGCCGTTAGTAGAATTTATTTTTATTACTCTTTTTGTCCTCATGATTACTTTTGTTCATTGGGGGCACTGTGCCTAACAGCAATATAGTGAGGAGAAATTAGTAGGTGCAGCCTCTCCAGCCCTTCCTCATGAGCAAAGTTTTGTAGGCTGAATTTCTGCCTGTCATGTACCTGTAAAGAGTACAGTATAGAGTTTCTGTCAAGGAAAAGCTTTAAATGTTTTTTTTTGTATCTTAGATTTTTATCCAGCTGCTTCCCAGAGGAGTTTATGGCAATAATGTGCACTGTGTGTGTGTTTCTCCCCAAACCTGTGAAATAGGTTAGGTTGAAAGTATTACGAGGTCTAGATTACTCAATGAGCTTTGGGGTTTAGCAGACTTTAAACCCAATTCTCTCCAGACCTAGTTGTATACTTACTACACTATAACCTTTGGAGAGGGAAGATTTTTTTTTTTCTAACGCTTGCACATTAAGGCATAAACATCTAAAGTTCTCATCCAACAGTGTTTTGTGGTGTGTGTGTTTTTGTAAAAATACTGCAGCCTTCTAATCAGCAATGAGACTTCTAGAGCTTTTTGTAAACATTCTGTACTTTGACAAACATTTTAAAGTCCATACATCTTCTTCATATAGTGGCTCATGTCCAAAACAGCACAAAACTTTAACCGTTTTGGAGCATTTCTGAAACAGATGTCATATGAGTAACACGGGCAAATGCCCTTGCTCTGCTCCTGCTTGAAATAGAGACCCTTCATGCAAAACTGACTCATCACCCTCAAACACTGGAAACATTTGTTTTTCCTCTGCTCAGGCGTGCCTTGGGAAATATTTTTCTATAAAATGGTCAGCTATTTTCAACATATGGCAAAATAACCCCCAAACAAACAGGAGGGGCCATTGTTTCCACTTTATGAGCGATGTGTGGGATAACGTGATAAAAATGAAATTGTTCACTTGAGGGTGGGGGATGCTGGTCGATTGACTGCCAGCAAATCTCCTGCATAGTTAAGAATGCTCTTGGGTATGGAAGCAGCTCTCCTGGCTCAGGCAGGTTTTAATTGGAGTTTCCGAGGACTGAATTTGAGACTGCCTGCTTGCAAATGCAACTGAAGTACCCATGAGCTGTGGTCAGGAGGTTGGCGAATGCTGCTGAGTTATCTGGGTACACGAGGATAGCGACTGAATTTCTAATGTATTCCTCTGCATGCTTGATGAAAGCATTGTGATCGAAAAACAAAGGCATGCAGACTATGCTGCTCCCTACATCTCCACCCCTGAATAAGAATAATCCAGGAAGTTTTGCCAAATCACCTTGCAAAATGTTGGTGTGTTTGTGTGCATGCTTTTCTGTTTGTCTCCAATGTCATGCCAGTCAGGCAATCTTTATTTGTATACAACCATAGGTCATTAAAAAGCAAAGCCTGAATTAGACAACCAGCAACAGAGATATATAAATAACCTTCCTAAAAATATTCGTGCATTATTTTACGGTTCAAGAAAACAAGGCATCATTGTTAGAAATATGAACAGATTTGCCAAAGAGCAGCAAAATGATCAGCTTATGTTCAGTGACCTTGCTCGCATTGGTATCGCAAGAGATGTGACAGTCTGGAAAAAAAGTGGTGGTGGAGGGTTTGTTCCATTGTTTCTGGGTCTCCACATCTCGAGGCCTGGCTACTCAAATAATGCCAACTTATAGGTAACTTATTTGTCTAGTTCTGATAGCAAAAGCAACTTTATTAAAGCTTCTGTTAATCTAGGTGTACTTTTTAATGATCTACCTGTATGATTTTATCCAGTAATGGATAAAAATGTGGAAGGATCATAATTCAGGGATAGAGCCCATGTTTCACATTCAGAAGGTTCTAGAGTCGGTCCCTGGCATTTTCAGGTAGGGTTATTGTTTCAGTGCAAACAATATTGAGCTAGATGGATCAATAAACTTACTCCATATTAGGCAGTATTCTCTGTTCACAAAGGATATATGGAACAGTGTTCACCTAAACTGTAGTTAGGCCATGTACACATAACTGTTGATTGATTAAGGCTTAAGAATCTTCTATCAAGATGTCCCACTGCTTGAAAACACAATTGCATGAGAATAGAAAACTGCCCAGTATTAATACATGAAACTACTTTTACTGAATGATTATATGCAAGCAGATAATACCATTTGGCAAAGCAAATAGTTTTAATGGTTCTCAGTTTTAAACAGGAGCATTTAACAGAAGGATTTTATTTTCTTAGCACTTTAGTCCACAGTTTTCTACACCTCAGGAGACAATCGTACTCCAAAATTAATGCTGTTGGAGTTCAATCTATTTCTTGAAATGCTGACAACTGCAGCATATGAAAGCTGTTTATGTCAACTTCAAGCAAGTAAACGTTCCACTGAGAATTTGAGGGAGGGGGTAATTATCTGGCAATTTCTGTAATTGCAGCCAATAAGGAATGAATGCCAGGCCTGCCTCCATTCTCAGTACAGCAGCTCGTACACTGCCTGGTAAACATAAGAGTTGTTGGAAATTTATTCTGGATTACGTCTAGAGTACATAGATTCTGTAGACGCAACATCTGTAGCATATATATAATTGGAACTGTAGTCGATCTCAGAAATCTCAATACTTGAGAGCACCAAATTTATTCCATTTCTTTTTGAAAAAGCCAGATGCCATGTAAGCAAACCAGCAAGCCCAAATGAAAGCTCAAATTTCTCTCCTGTCAAATGACTGCACATCATATGACTCCCTCGGGCCTCATCATTGCCATCCCCATGCAGGGCACCAGATTGCAGGGCACTAGATAATTGAGGAGGCATTGGATCAGGCATAGGCAAACTCCGGCCCTCCAGATGTTTGGGACTACAATTCCCATCATCCCTGACCACTGGTCCTGTTAGCTAGGGATGATGGGAATTGTAGTCCCAAAAATCTGGAGGGCCAGAGTTTGCCCATGCCTGCATAGGATGCACAAAGGAAAAGCACTCTATATGAGATCAGAAGCTCTTCCGTCTTAGTTATGTTTTGGAAAGTATTTTTTCCTTGTGAGAGGGTGCAAGAGAAGAGTGCATACTTGGAGCTACTCAGTCCTACATGCTGGAATATTTATAAAGAAAAGGTCACAAGTATTCAGCAGTTACGACTTGTACAGTAGTTACATTTTCTGCGGGGGAGTGGGGAGTTGGCATGGAGTTCTGTAAAACTTCAAGGACCTAGAGGCAGTAATTTCTGCAAATAGCATAACTTCCTCTGACTTTAGTTACCATTCCAAAGTGTGTGTGGGTCTTTGGTCAGATGCCAGCCATAGGTGAGGTGCATCATTCTGCTGAGATGTGCAGCAGAAACATTGATTCTGAAGTTCTTTGCTTTGAACATGGTGCCTGGGGTGTTTTGTCCAGATTTAAAATCAAATGAGGCTGTGTTGAAATATTCCCCAGTAGGGTTGTTCTCACCATTGTGGTGGCCAGAGGACTGACCCATGCTAGGGTTTGTTGACAGCAGCAGTTCATTCTCTCTGATATCCATTGTGGAGCTGGGATGCGGACCTGGAGCCAGATGTGCAGTGGGTAGGTGCTTGCTATATTGTACTTATGCTGTCCTGTGCTACACTGACTGTGCACATAGCAGTTTACATAAGGGAACCCAGCAAGCTTCATAGCAGCTGACTAAGGATGTGAACTTTGGATTCCCCACATCCAAGCCCTATGCTGTGGCACTGCACTGCCACCAGCTCTCACATTTTGTTGTCTCCTAAGGAGAGGCTAAGGTGCAGAACACCAAGATATGTAGATAGGACCAAAAAAAACCCCAGCTTTTTCAGACTCACTTGCAAAACAGCTAATATTGTTATTTTGCTTCACACTGGGAGACTATTACTGTATATGCTAGAAGATAGGTCTTTCCCCATGAAAGGACCTACCCCTTTCTTGATTATTTGGAACAGACATTGTTATTTTCTTCCCTTTGGTTATACCACAGAAAGGCAAAATTAGAAGCTGATGCCAGGAAGATGTCGCCCTTTCGTCAAGCCTATCGCATGTGCCTACTGCTGTTCCTTTAAAAAAAAAAATTTACTTTGCTGATATATTTTTATTATTTTATTTTATGCCCCTTCGGAGGCTTTTGCCAAAAGGCAAACTGTCTCAAACTTTATGGAACAAAGGTGGTTTATGAATGTAATTAATACATAATAATCTACATTTTAAAATAAAAACAGGGCCTGTCGCCTTCATTGACTGCACCAGAAAACAGCCAGAATCATCCTCAGATAGGCCCTTTGCATCAGATTCACAATCAGGATTTGATTTTTCACACTGCATAATATGGCAACTGTTGCTTATGGGCATGGGTAGGCCAGAACCGGCCCAATTGCCTTCTAAATCCGGCCCACGGGCGGTCTGGGAATCGGCTGTTTTTACATGAGTAGAATGTGTGCTTTTATTTAAAATGCATCTCTGGGTTATTTGTGGGGCATAGGAATTTGTTCATTCCCACCCCCCAAAAAAAATATAGTCCAGCCCCCCACAAGGTCTGAGGGAGAGTGGACCAGCTCCCTGCTGAAAAAGTTTGCTGACCCCTGCTTATGGGCATGGTTGCCATCTGCAGCAGATAGTGTTCTCATGATCTTCCCTTGCCTACTCCCTCCGCATTATATACCAAATAACTCTCCTTTTAATTCAGATTGGGTTTCTGAAGTGCATCTGAGCTGAATGTGCCTGCTCTTGCGATCACATCTCTGCAGTATAAATGTGCTCACTAACACAGCCAGTTGCGCTTGGTGAGTGATCCAAGCCACACGTGCCCTAAACTGTCACTCTGTGACTTTAAAAGGAAACGCTCAACTTTGTGCAGGTCTGGCTGAAGACAGGGATCCCTTTGGGTTTGTCCCAGCCACGCTTAAACATTTGCAGTTCTGTTCAGGGCTGTCGGTTTCTCATCAGCAGCTTTGCACAGAGCTTGTTTTGTTTTGTCCCCTGCCGCCACCGCCCTGGATTCCCCAGAAATCTTGCTAGGAATCCCTGCCTTCGTCCTGTCTATTAAAATCAGAGGCTGTTGAAGTTTGGAGCGCTGCATTCCTCTGTGAGTGAGTGAGTGAGTGAGCGAGCGAACCCTGCCTGTGCTCGCATGCTAAAGCCGTTGCCTCCTCTCCAACTATTTTAATCATTTCAGAAAAAAAGGGGTGGGTCTGCCAGGCATTTGGCAAGAGGCTCCTTTCCTCCAGTTGAGGTGGAGTCAGCCAATGGCCTGGAAGCTTGGAAAATTTTGCAGGACAGTTTCTCCGGACAGCTTTGCAAGGGTTGTGCCATTTCAATTGAAGCACACATCCACACACTGCGCTCTTGGCTTCTGGCTCGCCTCCCAGATCTGAGAGATCTCAGATTCAGCCTCGCCTTCTCTCTCTTGTCCCTGCAGTGTCAAACCTCTCCAGGCTCTGCTAGTCAGGACTCCTGAGCAACCATGGCAGACACCACCCTCCAGATCGTCGAGCAGCCAACAGTCTCTGAGGCCTCAGAGGAGCCAGCAGGTGAGACCGAAGAACCCATCAAATCTGACCAGATCAATGGTGTTATGGTTCTTACCCTTCTGGACAAGATCATCGGAGCTGTTGATCAGATTCAGCTGACCCAGAGTCAGCTGGAGGAAAGGCAGCAGGAGATGGATGGGGTGGTGTCCAGCATCCAAGGGGAGCTCGCTAAGCTCACGAAGGCCCACTCCACCACCAGTAATACGGTCAACAAGATGTTGGAGAAGGTCCGCAAGGTCAGTGTCAACGTCAAAACTGTTCGGCAGAACCTGGAGAAGCAAGCTGGCCAAATCAAGAAGCTGGAATCTAATGAGGCAGAGCTGCTGAAGCGCAGGAACTTTAAAGTCATGATCTACCAGGTAAGGCACCTTTTGATCTCTCCTGCTTGTGTCTTTTTCGGTTGGTGCATAAGACCGTCCAGCATGAGGGCGCCTCTTGCCTTCTATATGGGGCTTCCCAAAATTCCCATGCTACAGCTCGCCATATATAGGAAATTCAGGACTTGTGTCATCACTGGAATCCTAAAGAGAACAAATGTATTGCCCAATTATTTTGCGAAGATTCCAGAGTTCGCCTTAAATGCTACACCAGTGCAAACTTTGCAGGAATTTGCCAAAGAACCGTAGAGGGAGCTGGGGGGGGGGGAATAACCTGTTGTCTCGTGGCAGTAGAAAGCCATCCAGTGTCCTTAAAGCTACAAAGCCTGGAAATCCCTTTTTCGGTTTGTAAAATGTGCTTATTGGGGCAATCATTTGGGAAAGCAATCTACACATTTTCACAGGTATCTGTTAGAGAAGTAGCATTGCAGGGAGCACACTCCGACTGCAGGTTTGGTGCTAAGTCAGAGCTCTCTGTCCCTTGGGTCTGTGCTTTCTACTTTCCCTGCAAAACTAAATCTGATGCAGTGTGGGTTACAGATTCTTTTGGCCCTGACCTTTCAGGCCCTGGAGCTTTTTCACCACTTCAGTGAGAGGTTGCTTTGTTCTGCTGTTTGCAGTCCTCTTTCTAACACGTTTGCTGGCTAGCCTTACAGACCTCCTAATATCAAACAGTTCAAAATAGGCAGCTCTGAACCATGCTTCCTATTCTGTGGCGGTCTGGCCTTTAATACCTGTGTTGGAGGAGAAGTAGGACATTATGAGATAGGTTGCCCTGTCCTGTAAGGACAAACACACACACACACACACACACACACACACACACACACACACGGCTTAGGACAGAAAACCTACAAAAATGTAGCTGCGTTTCTTACTATCGCAACATGAAAGGGGATCTAGTTATGTCTGGTTGAGGAATCCGGCAAGTAGCTGACGGATATAGCCCTCTGATTCACGGCTTGAGCATTCTCAATTATATCATGCCTCAAAGGCGGGAATACTCCAGTATATAAGGGTTATGAACACCACCAAACCAGATTTATAAATACACTTTATCGGAAGCCTTGTAGATTATGTTGAGGGAATTTCAGGCCCCACCAGTAGGAAAATTGTGCAGGAGTGAGGAGAGAGAAATGGAACATGCAGCAGCCAACGGAGGAGGGAATAGAAAGGAAAATCTGTCTGTGCTGTTTTATTTTTCAGGGCATTTTACAAATATGAACACAGATACTATTTTGGATGAGATATTTCCTCTCCCTTTTCACTGGAGTCTAAACAGTTATGAGGTGGTGGCAAAATGCTCTTGGGTTTTTGTGGAAACCAGATCCGCAACCTGATCTTGAATAGGTTCTTGAACAGTGGAGCCTGGGGTTCCAAGTTGTGAAGGTGCAGGGATAGTAAACTTTGGACTCCGTAAAGCACCTTCAGGGTCTGGTTCCCCTAGAATGAACTCAATAGGGAACATGGGTGTGGTTCTGTTAGATGTTGGGTTACTGTGGTGCAGTATAGCGGTTAAGGGAATGAGCCAGGAGCTAGTTCAAATTGCAGCTCATCCCTGGGGGAACTAGGTGACAATGCACAGGTAACAAACCTTAAAACCTGTCTCTGTCATATGGGAATAATAATATTAACTTGTAGTACAGGATGGTTCTTAAGAATTTCTCAGAGAGCCCTGTGTGCAATAGAGAATTCCCATCAAAAGTGCTATATATACTATATATATACTAAGGCTGCAGCCCTATGTGTCCTTACCTGGAACTTGAAGTGAATTACCTTAAACTCAGTGGCAGTTGTTTCTGACTAAGCCTGCATAGAATTGGTTTAGCATTGGCATTATAATGTTATTTTCTCAGTGAATACCAGATATTGATCAGATATACAGGAGGTAAATTTCTCAGGCCATGCAGATAATGGGTTTTCCACCCACCTTGCCATTTTTCCTTTGGCCATTCAAGATATTCAAGGACATCCCAGTAAGCTGACATGTCTTGAATCGCAAAAAAGATAAATAAAATATAAGGGGTCCTACCCATGTTGGCCCATAAGAAAAATCCCAAAATCCACACTTACTGAAGTGATTATTCAGTGATCCTGGTATCACACCACTAGACCAAATGGTATCTTCATTTTTTATGATGATCATGTTATTTTCTCATTTCTACCTCATGGTTGGAGACAACAGGGATTTTCTTGTTTTTGGGGACAATGGGAGGCAGGATAAGGATAGAACCACTGGAAAGCCATAAGCCATGCACATGGAAGCCATTAGTGCCTTTCCTTGTACCTCCACAAAGCAGCATTCCTTATATGCAGTTGCAATGCTGCCTACTATTTCTATTTGATATGTATTAGATTTTATATCTCACTTTTCCTACAATGGGTTCAGAGCAGCATGTTAACCTCACAACAATCTTGTGATATAAGAGAGGCTCGCAGTGGAAACCTGCTGGCATATTCTGATGTCTCATTGAGTTCCACAGGGCTTACTCTGAGGACAGCTTGTATAGGATTGCAGCGTGAGGGATGGTGACTTGCTGCAGCCACTCAGAGAGCTTCATGACTGAGCTAAGGACCTGAATCCAGGATTTCCATTTCCAGATATCACACTCTAGCCAGTGCCCCACCATGTTGGCTTTAGTAGGAGTAGCCACCTCATAGTTGCCCATTGTGGAGTGTTGGCATTTTCCAGCGGCTGAACCGTTGGCTGAAATATTGTGAGTCTGGAGTTCATATCCCAGCATTGCCCTTAAGAGTCACATGCATATAGTCTCACGTAAACATCCTTTGTTAACTTATCTTTGAAATGGGAATAATGATGGCCAACCCTGCAGGCCTACAATAATAATGAAGGAAATGTAGTGATGGCACAGGGTTGTGGTGGTGCGAAAATGAAATTAGAATCACGAAGGACTTCTGTACGCCATAAAGGGCTGCAGGAACAATGATTAAATGCTGCCCTTTGAAGCAAATAGAGAGCAAGCGCTTCCCTCACACGTAGCCCCATAACACAGTGATTAATCACAATGGACTGTAGGGGGCCTAGGAAAAGCTGGCGGTGTATATACCAGAACCTTGCCCTGTTGCAACAACTTTTCAAACAATGGGAGAAAATAGATTTGCTTTCAAAGGGGGATTTTTTCTCACTGAGGTCAGCCTGTACTGTTGCTGTGGATGCTTCTGGCACTGTTTGTTTTGTTTCAGAATTACTCTTGTCTTGCACGCTGAACAGAGCTTGCCATCTGGGGCGAAAATTGGGTTGCGCTGCTAAAATACTAACATTCCCTGTCCTGCAGCTATAGGACTAACACTCTGAAAACTCTAGGCAGCAGAGTTTGCAGCCTTCAATCTATGCTTTTGATTCGAGCTTTCAGAGAATCCCATCTAGGATGACTTAGTGGGGTGGAGGTGGGGCACTATATGAATACTGGGGAGTGGGGTGGCAGAGCAAGTTTGGTGCCATGATCTAGGTGAATTATTACTATCAACCACATCAGAGGCGGATGATTTCCTCAGAACTTATTAAAGCAGCTGCTTGCACGGGTGTGACTGTGAACACTTTAGGACGCACTTTCGTTGTTGCTTCATGCCCTCGTCAGAATTAGCAAATCAACATGCACCAAGCTCATGCGGCCTTGAGTATGGCCTGGTGTTTGCTAAGGCTACTTGAGTACAGGGAGTGAGGACTGGCAGGTAGGAGTGCCAAGGTCTGCCCTCTACTTCTACTGTGTTCTGTCACCATCACTTTGGTTGTCTCTAAGGCCCAGGCCACCTGACCTTGCCTACACAACTCACACTGCAACTGACAATGATTCTGTTAAAAAAATAAGAGTCTGAAGCATGTTAGGCAATACCTAGAGCACAGTAGACAGTCCTGAGGAGCCCTTCTTTAAAAACTTTGAAATAACTGCTGTCTGCATTTGGGCATTTTAATGCATTACACACACAGGCCTGAGAGTCAAGCTGAGTCTTCGAATTCTCCTTAGGCCACAGCCCTCACTGGATCTGTTTTGCACCCCAAATATTTTTGCCTGGCTGTAACATGCCCTTCAACTCTGATAATGCCTCTTGCTGGCCTGGATGGAGGATAGAGAAGATTGTGTGATGGTATGTAGAAACCAGCCTAGCATACGAAGGTGAAATGTAAATTTGTTCTTCTGCCACTTTTGCTTCTGATACCACCCACCATTGCCATCTGGCCCTTGTTCAGAAGGGAGTGTGGCCCTCATGTTGAAAGTGTTTCCCCCACCTCTGCAATTACCCAATAGCAAACCCTGGTTTATCACTGAACACAGGTTTGGCATTCATGATTTTGGTACAATACGTCTGCAGAATCTTTACAGTTTGAAGGGTGCACACTTAAAACATTGTAGATAATACTCCAAAATGCAATGTGTGAATTGCTCCTTTGTGAAAATAGAATCAGGGTGTGGCATTTGTTCTGGATTTATTCAATCTGGAATGAGTAGGTGGTGTTATGAGTACCTCTTGTGCTGACTCCTTGGAAATGCTGCTTGTTTTCCTGCCTGGATCATTTGGAATTCCAGATCATTCACAGTCTTTGACTCCTGTCTTTGGTAGTGCTGTTTAGATGCCAATGAGATGGAATTATTTTTCCACATCTTTCCATTATTCCTTGCTTCTCTTCCCTGCATTGTGATGGTGGTAGTAGCATCCTTGGCTTACAGTAAAACAGAGGGGCTGACCCCTTCTCACTTTTAAAGGCAGCGGTGGGAGCTTGAGGCAAATGGGAGAAAGAGTTTGTCTTTCTAGATCTCTGTCTACATGTCCTATTTGTTCTGGCCACACGTAATCTGACAGTTGTACTTACAAACATTCCTATGATTTTGGCAAGAATGCCAAAGAAGCTTTCTTTGGTGTAAACACAAAAGTGTAGGTGGGTGAGGGAATGACTTTCTCTGCAAGACGATTGCCATGAATCAAGAGGAAGAGAGAACAATATGGGCTGCCGAAAACCCATCCTTGATCATCAGAAGCTGCACCCCAAGTCTCCCTTTGGCTGTGAACTACTGTCGGGCTGCCGGCACCTCTTCAAACTTTCCAGCAGAACCACAAGGCAGACAAAATTCTTGGAGATTTTCAGGGTTCTCTTACCTACACCGTGTATTGAATTCACACACACAACCTTGATGACAGTCATTCATTACTCCTGTATGCAAACCCTTCATCTGTTCTGATATATTTACTTCCACACCAATTCCACAAGAGAAGAAGATGGTTCTTCATTTGTCCTATATGCAACAGGAGCAAAACTGCAGAGAGAATCCATGATTTGGCCCAACCTGCATATGGACTCTGTGATATACATGTGCACCCATGCTCACACACTCGGGCATGTGGTTTGCAGTGTCAAAGGCAACCTCACCCCACCTGTTCTCCTCTCCTCACTTTGGAGTTTACTGTAACACAGCAGCCTCTCTTTGTCAGAAGAACAACTGCAACTCCTGGATGCTGCAATGTGCTTTTGACGAATGAGTTCTTGTCCTTCGGTCGTAAAAATCCATCCCAGTTAGAGCCGCAGAAGGCCCTATAAGGCCATGCCTGCGCCCTCTCATGGGAGCCAGCCCTGGGATTGTTCTATCTATTTTCGGACTCACTCGTGGCCTCAAAGCTGCAGTTCCCCAGTGACACCCAGAGAATTCAGCTTCATGGTTCCCATCGGCACCATTTAAACAGCAGTATCTCATGATAATCCTTGGCTGCTAGCAAAAAAGGTTACTTTTTCAAATTTCTAAATGAAGAAAAAGCTCTGTATCTAGATGCATAGCGTTGTTTCTCTGCCCACGTAGAATGCAGAATCTGAAGGATTTATTATTAACATGTTGCTGCTCTTGCTGTTTATTTTAAAGCAACAGAGGCTGGAAACATGGCCTTGTTGGAATGCTGTTTGCATTGTCGAAACAGATTGTGCGGTGCAGCAATAAATTGGCTCAGAACAAGGCAGCTTGATGGAAGGAAGCAACATTTCCCATTGGTATTCAAGATAAGATAAAGTTGGGAAGAGGATAAAAGTGGGGCATGGTGCCATAGTGGTACCTAAGTTATAACGACAGCTACAACAATAATAGTACTTGCGGGCCTACAGAAATAAATGCAGCACACTTTTCAATTGGAAGTAATTACATCTCATTCCAGCCATGAACAAAGTTGTATCTTTTGCCAGACTTTAGACATCAAAAGAGCTTGCTATCAATCTCAATGAAATATTTATGGAGCCATTTTATTTCTATCCTCTCAATCAGCATTGTTTATCGAGTTGTAAATTCAGCAGCCCTTCCTTGGGAACAGGGCAAGTCAGGGAAGCCTTTACATGAAGGATGGGGGCACTGTGGCCCTCCAAATGTTGTTTGACAACATCTCCCATAATCCTTGACAACTGTCCATGGAGCCTGAGGCAGATGGGACCTGGAGTCTAGCAACATCTTGAGGGCCACAGGTTCCATAGCCGTGTTTTACTGAACCAGTTTCCTTTGGAGTCCAGAGCACTGGGACCATACGGTAGCTTCGTACACTTTTTCTCTTTCAACAAATGTACAAGCTGAGTAGGCTTTGCATAGGCACAGGTAATCAGTGCTAATTCCAAAGCAATAGAAGTCTAGCACCCCTAAACCCTGGAGGAAAGAGCACAGCACAGTAATAGTGTATTTTGCATGTTCAGTCCCCAGCATATGCAAGCAGAGCTGGGAAAGATTCCTGTCTCCATCCCCAGAGAGTTGCTAAGGCAGTTCCCTGTGTCCCTGAAAACAGCTCTTTCACCAAATCAAAAAGTTATTTTACTTTGCCATGCCTTTTGCAACCACTGCCATGCAAAACTGATTTTCAGCCCCACCACAATTTTAGAATTGGGTGTGACATGACTTTAGACAAAGAGCAGCTGCACTATCCATTAAGCAGGCACCTATTGTTTGACATCAACTGACAGGTTATAACAAGAGAAAGGGGAGCAAGAGAGAGCACCCACATGCACACGCTCTTCGCTGTGCTCTCTGGCTATAATACAGTTTGGGACAGTGAGAATTCATCACACTGAGGCTGTACTCAGGGGTTTAGCTCCATGATTTATGTGAGATGGAGAAACGAGGAAGCAAAATGCACCAAAAGTAGAGAAAAGAACAAGTGAAGAAAAGCCATTTGGGGAAGACATTTGTTACCGGAGGAAATGGGCAGTCTAAAAAGTACTTCTGCATAAAAACAGACTTCCCTGAAAAGTTTTATTCTAGGTGCATTTGTTACAAAAGGGAACCAAGCCTACCTGTGGTCCCTTTTCAGGCTCCTGGAGTAAATTCCAAACCTGACAATGCCTGCAAAACAGAACAAAGACCAGAGCAGGAGGCTTTTGTTGATTTTGTATCATGTCGGGGGAAGGAAAAGCAGATTAAACATTTAGAACAGAATGCCACAGGATGTTTAGTCTGCACCTTGAGGTAGATATGGCTTAGGTTGGGGCGTGTGTGTCTTACTCCACCTTCTACAGGCTGTCTTGTGAGTTATGGATAGCTTCAGGGAGAAGGAGAAAGAAACTCCGGAATCAGTCAACTGACCGGTTTGCATTGAAAGATGGGATAGGCATTTGAAGCAGAAAGTGCATTAATTTTCAGAAGGAAATAAAAGTTATTTTTCGGTTGCAAGTTTTTAGGGTTGCAGCACAACCTCTTTCCTTTTTATCCCCAAGACCCTCCCTGCCCCTCCAAACAACCTTCAGTATCTGACAGATAAAAGCAGGCACAAATGTGGTCAGGTGAAATGAGAAAAAAGACTAGCATTTACTTCAGTAATGAGGAAGGAAGGCACTTAGTAGCGGAACATAGGAAATTCTGAAAAATATCAAATCACAGGAAGGGAAGCCTCCTGTTTTTGCAGCCTGCAAAAATCAGGGTGGGGTTCTTAAGCACCCAACACGCCATAACTCATTGGTGGTGGGTTTGTGGTTACCTTGGGTGAATCACAAGTTGTTCAGACCTGGAATAGCAAGTCACCTGTGGCGAGTAAAAACGGTCCACAGCGAGACAAGAAAGGAAGCTTTCATTTCTTTGTGGGCTGAAAATGCCTATTAACATAGGTGTGTGAGAGCAGGGGCCTGTTACTTTTTTGGGGGGATGAGGGAATTCTTTGCCCAGCTGCTATGGGCACCTTTGCTTGCGCAACATCCCTGCTGCCGTGATAATGACTTGGCCTGCGCCTGGCGGCTGTGGCTGTGCTTACCAAGAAGCCTTTGGAACCCTCGATGGTGCCCACTGATCATTCCTTTTCCTCATCTTAGCCCAAGAGCATCCGTGGACCGTCGCCGGAGAGCATGCCCTTTGGCCTTTCACCGGAGAGCATGCCCTTTTTGGAAGACAGTGAGCCTTCTGAGCCTTCGGAAGAGACTTTGCCTTCTGAGAATGGGCCCTGGCCCCAACCAGCGCAGGATGAGAAGGGAGGCAGCCACTCTAACCCAATGGCAAAGCCATCCACAGATCATACTGAGCCCCTTCTCCTGAGACTCTGAAAGCAGCTGACCAGGCCCCTGCGTAATGGCTGCTGGCCTCATTGAGACCCAGGGCCCTGCTCCTTCTGCTTGCAGAGAGGTCCTGGTTCATTTTTGCTTCTTGGTAGACCAGAGGGCGGGGCAGGAGGCTTCTGCTTTAACCATTGTGTGTCTTTTTGCTGTGTTTGCATAGTCGCCTCTGGAAGGGAAGGAGAAAAGGAGAGCAGGATACTCGGAGCTCTTGGGTGCTATGCACTGTTCAGTTTGTAATGCAGCTTATTGGGAAAAAGGGGGGAAGAGAGGAGGGCCACAAGCCCCACCCTTGGCCCCCACCAACTTTAGCCAAATCATGGCTTCCCATAGCCTTCTCTTAACAATTATAGGGCTCTCACAAAAGATCCCTCTGGTACACCCCCCCCCATTTTTCTTACTATAAAGCAGTATAAATATGAAATTATTATTATTATTATTTATTAATTAATTTTGAGCACTGTTTGATAGTCTTGAACAAGGTACAGCTTCTCTCGTTGCTTTAGCTTATCTTTCCGTGAAAATGGGAGGGAGTCTGCAGCCATTTTGAAGCTCAGTGGGAGCGGATTTCAGGCATGAGGAATTCAGAGCAAGATCCAAAGGGCTGCTCATGGATACAGTCAAAGATTGCATTGCTCCTTCTTTTTATGATGATTATTTTTATTCCTCATACTCACTGTAGAAATGATAACGATCAAAACAATGCAACTAAAGAACTAGGTTTCAATCAATAAAAGCCGGACACACCCTCTTTCCTCAAATGAATATGTGCTTTTTCTTGCATGCATAGCCTATAGTTGGCTACAAATGTAGATGCTCCTGAGAAATAATTCTATGTGGTCTAAAACCCAGGGTGGAGATTCCCCTCTCTCCACGCCACCTGACTGCCACCATTCCTTTGAGGAATTGTTGTGCTTTTCATCCCACTGAGCTGAACACAAGGATATATTATATCTTCTTGTCCTCCAGAAACACCCTCTCAGGTCCTCTAGAGCAGTGTTCCCCAACCTTGGGCCTCCAGCTGTTTTTGGACTACAACTCCCATCATCCCTCACCAGTGGTCAAGGATGATGGGAATTGTAGTCCAAAAACAGCTGGAGGCCCAAGGTTGGGGAACACTGCTCTAGAGCTTCTTTTCTCCTTTTCCCCCTAACATGTTCCTGAACATCACCATCTGCTTAACTGCTTGGTTTGGCTACTGCAATCTTAGGGAGCTGGCAGAAGATGAACTAACAGGTACAAGCAGTTTGAGAATGGCCACAAGCTCTGGACACTCCAAGTAGACATTTCCCCGAGGTCAATGCATGGGAAGGGGTCTGAGTGTTGGTGCCACCTTGCTTCATGTGTGCTTTGAGCCTGGCAACAGGATCTACCTGCTGTATGTTAGCTGGCAAGTGACATTTTCAAATCTCCCTCACTGTCGTGCAAACTAGCTTGCCCTGGCAAGGTGGCACATCTCGGCAGAGTCCTGCCCAAAGCAATGTGTGTGCCAAGGGGTCACGTAAATGGAAATCAGCTCCTCTAAGTTTTTGGACAGCATCAAATTCAAGAGGTAGCAAAATTAAAACTGGACAAATCATGGGTCTTCTGAAAATCTAAAGTGCATTCTTCAGGGATTGTTTTGGGTCCTGAGTATGAAATAATAATGTATATTTGGCAGCCTTTGTACTTGAGCAAAAGGTTTGAATGAAAGTAATGCTCCTCTTTAACTCAGCTCCACAAAATAAATATTTCATGGGATTTTGAGAGACATCTCTACAAGGTTTTTTTCTTGTTTCTAATCCACGGATGGGTAATCCCACCCCAGATCTATTCTGGTTCCCTAAGAATACCATATTTGAAATACTGTGGGTTGGAGTTGGACTGCTAGTTCCTATTGAAATCATTGGGACAGATTGGGCATGTCTTAATGTAAGGCTATTGATTTCAGTGAGAACTAAGGTAACGAACTTTATCTGGAACGTGCTATGTGTGTATGTGTGTGTGCATCAGCCTTCCCTACCTTGGTGCCCACCATAAATTTTGGACTGCAAATCTGAGCCATCCAGCTGTCAAAATTTAAACTGTTGGCTCCTAAGAGCAGAGGCCTGTCTCCTATAGCTTAGGTTGCCTTGCACAATAACAGTGACTGGAACCATAATAGTAATCCACCTGGAAGTTCTCCTGAGCAAGCTTTTGTGAAGCTCCCGAGCTTATGCAGGAGAATATTCTGCATTGTACCTTTTATCTTTGCTATGCAGAAGTCAGCTACTGTAAGGTTTTGCTTTTGTTTGTCTTTTTTAAAAAGAATGTTCTGTTCAAAGCTCAAAATAGGCCCAGTTTCTTGTCTGAAGAAAAGTTTGGGGGCCCTAGATCTCTTGCATCATTTTAACAAACTCCTATTATTAAATCAGCTCTGTAAGCAAACCCACAAAAATTACTAGTCTGTTTTTATTTATTTTAAAAACCCCTTACTAGCCTGCTGGGGACTCACAGAGGAAGTTGAAAAGAGCTCTGCCCCTCCTGCAGCTGTCCACTGCATTTTTATGGGGTGTATGGAAAAGGAGGGCATCTCCCATTTGCCAGCCTGCTTGGTTTCTGTGCTGAGCCCAGAGGAGGGAAAGGGTGTGCCATTCTGCCTCAGCCAGCCCACTCATTGTGCTTCATCGAATTCCATGCCTTTGTCTGTATGCAGCTCCTTCTCACTTATCGCTAGCAGCCAGCAAGTGTTTAAATACAAGGCTGCATTAAATGTAGGTGTGGCCTGCTGTTTTCACACTCAACGACTAGGAATCCTTGTGTTAGCATTTGCGTTCCCTGAAAGCAGGGCCCAGACTGAGGCTGACCCCATACAGGTAGATGAGTGGGCTGTTCTTCAGGGGCGTGACGCCACTGTGATTTTTGACAGATGCATATCAAGCAGAAATTCACCCAGATAGGGTTTTTTTCAGCCTTGAGGTCTAGCAATGGGAAAAGGAGGATCCTGTTGAACCTCAAGCCTGCTGTGCAGCTGTTAAAGGCATATAGAGCCCACGTCAGGTGCAGCAAAGCTGGCAACTGTGTGCTGGATGGACATCCCACATTCCATTTGGCGAAAAGAATGAGCAACCTCATATATGCTGTTTCTGGGCAGGTCATCTTGGTAAACTGGAGCGTTTCCTGACCTACGGCTACATTTGCTGCTAGGAAATAAATTTATCATCTGCCTGATCCCAGTTGTAGGCTTGTTCCAGTTTGGAATTTTAGCTGTCCAACCACACCCTCACTGAGAGAGGAACACAGATTTCAGATGCTTCTGTAGAGTGAAGAGCCTCATTATTTTCCTGGCTGGGCATAGGAGGCCCCCTCCTGGCGTATGTGTTTCAAATTCCTGCCTTAATCTCTCCCTCCTGAAGCCGCACCTAGCGGGCAAGGCCAGGGAAAGAGGAGGGAGGATGTGGAACAATGAAGTGCTTTGCTGTGACTAAGAAGTACAGAATTCACACTCGGCTCCTTTGGAGCCAGGCTCCCAAGCAGATTTCTGTTGCTTCCAAATGCACATTTAAGAAGTCTCCCATACTCTGCTGGTCTGGGATGGGCAAGAGAAGAGGTAGGCAGATGGATAGCTAGATTGTACAGGTGATGAGATCTGTGTCTGTCTAATCTTCATCAAGATTTTAATCTGGAGAAGAGATTGGCCAATGAGGAGCTTGCTTTGGTCCCAGAAAATTGTTTTTTGTGTAGTATTCACCCTTGGGTTGGATAAAAATGCCTACTATTTATCACTGTTGTTGTTCTTGTAGAGAATTTATGGGCTGCCCAAGCTTCCAAGGCAGCACATAGATAAAAGAATAAAACATTACAATAACATTATCTCTCCAGTATGTGTTTCTGTTTCTAGGGGTGATACCTTTCTCCTGCACTGCATGTACTTTATTTTCTTTCTGGGAAAATCAACTTTCCGTTTGGATGAAAGAATGGATAGCAAACTATAAATAAAGTGGTTTTCTTTCCTGCACCCTCCAGAGAACAGCACATCTGTTGTTGCTGTGATTGTAGTGTAGAACCTGGTTGTATCAAATGTCACAGGCATAAGTTTGATATTTGTGGCAGCAAGCAATGTCACTCTCCCACAGTCCCATCTGCAAACCTTGTGCCATTTTTTTTAAAAAAAGTTTGTATTTTCATTCATTCATAATGCAATTAGGGATGCAGTCATATGCCTACTAATTTAGTAGGCATTACCCAACAGCATTTCTGAGTAAACATTGAGAGAATTGAACTACAATACTGTGCATGCTTACTTGGACTAAGCCCAAGTGAGCTCTATGTAACTTGATTAAAACTACATAAGGAAAAGTAATGCAGCCGAGGTGGAATCCTAAACATGCTTCCTAGGAAGTAAAGGCCAAAGTTGAATTTGCACAGTAGATGTAACAGTGCCCTGATTTTCTTTTTAAAATTAAAAGCATCTATAGAAAGTTGCAAATTTGATATGAGTAATATAGGATGGGAAAAGGTGCATAACATTTAACCCTCCAGCTGTTTTTGCACTCAGAATACCCTCTCCCCCAGCTGCTGTTCCCACAAAGGATATACAGTATTTGGCATACCAATTTACACTTTGTGTAGTTTTCGTTTACTAATGAAATAGGGATGAAAGTAGGGAAAGGTTGGTTTTTCATTGGAAAAATGGATAATAGCTTTTGCTTATTACGGTAAATTTTAAGTTATCTTAAACTTCAGGTTTGGGGAAATGCATATTGATTTATTAATTGGGTCAAAGTCAAGCAATGGGTGGTATTCAACTAAGTTTCACTCTGAGTAGACCCATTGAAATTAGTCATATTCATTAATTTCAGAGCAAAACCTAGCTGGATACCATCCAATAAATAAAACCCTTTTGATCAGTTGACAGCTCATTTTACAGGTCAAGCAGTACAGCAATGCACCAGTCCAGCACAGGAGCTTTTTTTTTTTTTTTTTTTTTTTTAAAAAAAAAAAAAAAAAGGACGGAAGGAAGGAAGGAAGGAATGGTGAACACAAGCAATGTTACTTCTCCACCAAATCTGTGCCATGCCATTCTTTGACCCTTTTCTTTCCCATCCATTATTATTTGGAAGCTGAACACTCCCCCTCTTCAGTGCCAGAGTGCACAACAACCCTGTTTGTTTTTTCCCCTTTCTTTCCCTCTCTCTCTTTCTCTCTCTCTCTCATAATAAATGGCAATACAACCATATCCCCCCTCTCAGCTCCACACAAAACTATTACAGGTAGATGACAGACAAAAAACAGCATCCCACAGCTGTGGTACAAGTCTGGCTTTGCAACTAAAACGACAGATGTGAATACAGTCGAACCTCGATTTACGTAACCCTCTGGCTACGTAAACTTCAAGATGCGTGCATGGCAATCTTGCAAGTATTTTACCAGGTTTCGCCCACGCATGCATGCGCAGAAGCTGTCCTCAGGTTGCGGAAACCTCGGGATCCGAATGGACCTCCGGAACAGATCCTGTCCGCAACCGGAGGTACCACTGTATACAGTTCAGGCAACTCTTTGCTTTTTATTTTATATTTAAAGTTCAGGCATTTACCTATTCATTCATTGCATTGACTCTTTATTTTTCAAAAAGGAAACTTCTTTTTAAAGCACAAAAAATGGGTGGCGAGGGAGTTTCTTGGTGGCATCACTGAAGGTCCAGGTTTGCAGAGCTGCGACATCCCCCCCCCCCCGACCATGATACTGTAGGAGAATATGCACATTTGGCTCGATCTCATTGAGGACCCAAGTGCTTTGAAAACATCATTTTCTTGACCCAAAGATTAAAATATGGTAGTGATGTAAGTTTACTGGCTGTCTGGATAAGCCCATATTTATTTGGAGTTTGAAACCATGCCCCTTCCCTTCTCTTGAAGCCTGAATTGGGCTGACGGTGCCGCTGTTTTTGCTTCTCTCATGCAACCGCACTCTCAGGCCTTTAGCTGTTCCCTACGCCCCCGCCACCCCCAGTTTCATAACGCCAGGCCCCACCAGGCTGGGAACATCACTCGTCTTTGTGTCTTGTTGGCCTTTTATACATGAAGGGGAGTGTTTATATGTGTTGTAGCAACCAGGCGGTTTGAGTGTGCCCATAAAGACTGCTGGATCAGTGACTCACTGCTCAGGAACGTGGACTTGGAGGGGGAACACATGGAGGGGGAAGCAGGAAGGAAAGCTGTCCTGTGGAGCTCGCAAGTTGGGAGGGAGCAATACACAGCTGAGCCCTTCTACTTTGCCTCCTTGCAGCTCCCATAAAGGTGTACCCAGCCTTCCCAGGACCTGGAAATCAAGGACTTTGGAGTGCACAAGCCAGACTCCCCTCTTTCCTTTCTGTGTGCAGCCGAAAGCAGAGGTGGGGTACTGAGGGTCAGCAACAGCACTCCCTTTTGAGTCTATATTGCTTCCAGGACAAAGGAGCCAATTTGCTCTTCCTTGTTCCTCCCAGTAGATTCCAGTCCCCTTTTGTGCCTTTGGTTGTGTACGCACACAAACAGCAGCTGAGGAATTAATGGTGTACTAGCATCCTTGCTTCCTAATTTTCAAAGTGTGCTCTTGCCAGGGAATCCTGGGTTCCTCTTCCTCAGGAGCGAATAAGTTTCCTCAGTGGGGACATCACTATCAGCAGGTAAGCTTCCCTAAAAGGCTCATCTACTCCTGAGCTTCATCTCAATGCACAGCCACATGGGGAATGTTGGATGCATTCCAGGGCACAGTCTCAGTTCACACAAGGTAACGGCTATGAGACCCAATCCAGGCCCCATGTGAACTAAGTACAAGCCCTGGAACAGGCCCCAATTTCCTTTTGCAGTGCGCTGAGGGTTTCATGGCATACATGCAGAGGTTCCTCATGTGGAAAGGGTACCCTCATGGCAAAACATTTATTGTTTCCAAGTGGCAGGCTGTGTGTCTTACTCACAAGTTGTTGGTGGACTGACTGGGAGGGTTCCAGACTGCCACTTTGCAGGCCATGCCATGCTAGACCCTTTGCCTGGCAAACCCATCCTTTTTTTGGTCAAATTTACTGCTAAAGGACAAGGAGTCGTTTTGAAACCTCAGAACTGAAATGGACTATGCCAGGAATTGCTTGACCAAAACTAGCTAGAGCCTCTCTTCAACAGATCTGCTTGTCATTTGTATCATCATCATCATCATTAAATTTGCATCCTTATATCTCAGGGTGGTTCACAGCATAAGAATACAAGATAAAACACAGTCTAGGGTGCACATGGATGCGCTCATGTCAAGTGTGCTCTAGCTTAGCAGTTTCAGTCACAAATTTCTCCACTCAGAATCCAGTGTGGACTGTACCAACTGTTCCCAGAGCATATTGGGGAGGGGGCGTGGCAGGGGGGCCAGACTATTTCAAACATACCATCAGAGGTGTGTTTTTTTGAGAGAAAATTCTCTCAAAATCCCCACCCAAGACTGTGCTGCTTCCAGTCATCCATTCCTTTTCCTTCCCCTTCTACCACAAATTTAAATGTGGTAGTACAGTGAGCCCCACTTGTTCATGCCAGTTTTGAGAATACTTTCGTTGCGTTGTTGTGTTAGAATCATAGAACTGTAGAGTTGGAAGGGACTATGAGGGTCATCTAGTCCAACCCCCTGCAATGCAAATATTTTGTCCAACATGGGGCTTGAACACATGACCCTGAGATTAAGAGTTTCGTGCTCTGCTATGTGCCCTCTCCAGTTTTTGTTTGTATGCACACTGGCAGTGGGATAAGTCTGTATATTCTTGCATACTTTGTTGAATGCTGAGTACTGTAGCTGCTGTTGGTCATAGCTCACTTCCATTTAAGTTTAAACAGTAGAGCTTGACAGATGGATGGTCTTGAAACTTGCAGGTTTGAAACCTTGAGGACTTGAAACCTGCAGCTCTTTAAAAGAACAAAAGCTCAGAATCAGGATTCTGCTCTGCATGGCAGACCATGTTCCATGATTTGTGGTGTAGTAGTTCATCATGTGTGCCATAAGCCGGGGGGCAGTCAAGACGGGACCTACGTGCAACAGAGGGGGTGTTTGGAACTCGCCCTTCCTTGCACAAATTTTGTGAAGCCAAGGAGCCGATAAGGATCAGAGCTGTCCGGATATGGCCAGCTTCCAGGTGTAGCTATGCCACTCTGGAGAGGGGGGCAGCTTTTGTTCAGGCTGTCATTGTGTGACTTCCGGGGGAAGGAAGTGATTCCTGGTGTTGCTGGTCCAGCGGTGGCCGGAGTCTCTGGGAGATGAGGAATTGCCCTCGCAGGTGTTGTTGTGGAGAAAATGACTGCCCTTGCTGGATTTGGGGGCTGGGGGGTGGTGGGATATCCTGATTCCGAAGAACCACCCTTTCCCCCCAGAGGCCACATGTGAAGTTTGTCCCAGATTTGCAGACTTTATTACTAAAGCAGATGTTGGCGCTGCATAGCCAGTAAAAGATTGGAAAACCAGGGCAGCTTGTGTGAGTAAACAGCAGAGGGTTTGGGTTAGAAAAATCACTTCTGCTCTGTTTGATTGTAGAATGGGTACTCTCAGTGCCAGAAACTGAGAATCCAAGATTCAAAATCCCACTAAATAACTATTTCTAAAGTTTCCGTTGTTGTTGTATGATGGGGTTTTTCTTTACCAGCCTTTGCTAACCTGGTACTCTCCGGTGGTTTTGGAATACAACTTCCATCAGCCGCAGCCAGCACAGCCATTCTGTACAGTTCAGCACTGGACCTGGTTTTTCTCAGGCATTGCACTGCTTGTCTGGCAAACACAGGGCACCTGCAAACCTTAAAACAGTAATATCTGCCTGATACCTGACGAGGACAACACTAAAAGTACCACCATATCCAAAAACAGTTTGTCAGAGCATGTTGACCTGGGTAAGAAGGACTGCTGTAGTCATTTGATTACATGCCAGATAGATTATTTGAGATGTTATCGCAATAACAACAGCCCTATGAGGTAGACAAGTGTTTTTATCGCTGTGTTGGGGCTGAAAGTTCATGGCTTACTTACAGCCACCAGCTGAACCCATGCATAAGAGAAAAAAGGTCTAAACTCCTAGTTCAACACATTCTGTTATCACTATGCTACTTAAATAGCCAAAGTCCATGTTAGAACCAGATTCTGTTCTCATTGGGAAAGCAACCAGCCCAATCCTCTGGATGCCTGTAAAATAGGTGTCACTGTAGCCACATACACACTGTTGAAAGTTACTCTAGGTCTAGGATATTTGACCAGTGATGCTAATGCCCCACCGTGACTCTTTTCTTCCAGCGAAGATCCTCAGGCTTCTACCATGGCTGCCCCTTTAAGGAAGCCCCAGTCCTCCTTTCCAGGAGACAGTCAGGCCAGCTGAAAAGAAGAGCAGAGTAGGGAGCAGCTGGCACCACCAAGACCTAATGAAGGGCTCTTGGAGCTCAGAAGTTTAAATAGCCAAGAGGTAGTAATCAGGAGAGGAAGAAGTCTGACTTGACGGAGAAGGAAAGAGAGGAGCAGAGACCTGAGAGACAGCCATCTCTAGTTTCCAGTGCAATTTCTTTCTCAGCCAGGGCATGGGGGACCTGACAAGAGGCTCTCCCTACCACCCTAGTACTCTTGGTAGAGGATATTGGGGAACCTAGCCATTTGAGTGCCCATTGGGAGTCCTTAGAAGGCACCAACAAGAGGACTGATCCCTCCCTATATCCCATAGATGTGGGGAAAGGGCTATTGGGGTGCCCCACACCCCACAAGCTAGAAATAACCCATTGTGAACCACCCAAGATGATTGGGGCTGGAGTGAACACCTGGTGTCTACAGCAGATATCATTGGAGAGGACCCAGGCATGGAGAAATGTGAGAGAACTTTCTGAGAAGGTATTGCTATTGCTTTGATAGTTTGTAAAAAATTGGGACTGTATTACCCAGGAAAAGGTGTGTGAGATTGGGGGCCTTAGCTTGCAGCGAGGGCCGTAGCTCAGTCCATCTGGAGCTGCTGCACATTGCCTGCCTTGCCTTGAATTAGGACTCATGTTTGAGCATATTCACCCATAGACTGTGGGACAGTCAGTGTGCTGGTCCCTTTGGGCAATGTAGCTCTGTCCCAGCTTAACACCTGCAGGGCCTTGTATAATATATCCTCCATGTGGCACCTCAGTTGCATTGCCTGCCACACCAGTGCAGCTCTCTGGACATTTTGCTGTATTGATGCAACCCCACAAATCGTAAGCTTTTCTTTGTCATGTTTGGACCCTTTCCTTCCTTTGAGGAGCTCAAGGTGGCTACCTAGGGCTATCTCATTTTATTATTGTAACCAACGTGTGAGGTTGTGAGAAATGACTTGCCCCATGCAAGCCAGTGGTCTTCACAGATACGTGAGGATTTTCAGCTTGGTCTTTTTCTCACATGTCAAGCCTGCATTCTAGCTACTGCTGCAAAACAAAGAAGCCAAAACCAGTCTGTTGAAACGCTGCCGTTAGTCACATTGCTTGAAAGGGTGGTGACCAGAAATGACTTCTTAAAAAATCATTTATAAAACAATCATAGCAGCATTACTTTGTAATAGCACTACACTTCTCTTTCATTTAAAAACAGTATTGCACTGATTAAAAGAATAAATTTTTGCACTGTTTAAAAGAATTGGTTTAAAAATAAACGGGATCATAAAGTGGCCTAAACCACAAGGCCTATAGTGGATGTGTGCTGAACTTCAATTGTGAACCGCCCTGTGATCTTTTGATGAAGGGTGGTATACAAATTTAATAAAGAAATAAAATGGTCTCACCCACCACTGCTATATTGTACCCACTGTGTTCCAAATAGCATGGCAACTGAAAACTCAGTTGCTGCTCTGATAGTAGCTTACAGCAAAGGAGAAGTTTGGGGTCAGTATTTAGGAGTCATAACACCCTTCAACTGCTTGAATTAGGTTGCCAGAGAAGACCATAATACACCAGTTTTTAAAATTTGTAATATCCTAATTCATTATTTTCGGCATTATAGCAATCAGATAGTGTGAATGCCTGACAGCTTAAAGAATGAAACAGACAAATTACCAGCGCCTAACTAGGAATTCCAAGCAGGATAGAGTTTGCTTCGTTCAAGAATTCCTTCTGCAAAAGGCAGGGACAAAGGACAGTTTGGGCTTTTGCTGGACAGACTTGAGGAGGGACTTAAAAATGTTCAAGTTTCCCGAAATCACAAGGTTCTTCATCAGGCAGAAAAGTTTTCTGCGTGGGAACCTGGACTTGTCAACGTTCTGTCGCCTTTCCTCCTGTGCCTTGTTCCTCGTTTTCCCTTGGGCTTGGCTCGTGACTTTTCCCAGCAATTCCCTGCCTCCCCCCTCCCCCCGTTCCTCTACTTTTCAAATAGTACCATTCCAGGAGTCATAAATCTGCCTATCTTTCAGCCCCAGTCCCAACGCTGTGTACGGCGGTGGCTATTTACAGCGTGTCCCAAGAATGCCAAGCGGGGGATGCACGCTATGTGCTGCTTGGGTGAAAACCAATATCGGTTCCAATCTGCCCCCTCCTCACCCACATGCCTGGCTGCACGCTTTCCTTCTGCATGCAGGCACACCATGGCTGGGCCGGGCTCTGTTCAGAGAAGAACAAGAAGTTGAATTAACAGCAGAAGGCTTGGTCTAATTCTGATCTGAGGTGGCATCCCAATATCTAGGAGGCACCACTTCAAACTGCCTTGGGGGGGGGCAGCAGAGGATAACATAATTGTGAGTTGCTTCATGCAAAAAAATCTTCCCATCTAGAAGATTGGCATGTCCAGGAGACCAAGCTAGAACCTTTCCCCCTGAGTTTACTGCATAAAAGGATTATTATTCTTTGCATGATAGCGTGTACATGTCATGGGAGCCCCCACCCTAAATGGTACAGTCCTGACTTAGGATGACCAATGCAGTGAGAACTAGGTCTGTCTGCAGCTAGAAAAGTGATGGGGAAATGCACTGGAAAGCGTGGATTGAACAGATGGTTAATGGGAAGATGTGTATACTCCACAACAAGCAAATCAGGGTGAATGCTTATTGTCCTATAAATGTCCCGCAAACAAATCAGAACAAGTGCAAGCAAATCAGAGTGAATGCCCAATAAACAGGTTGTCTGGAGGAGCCCATTACTATTCAGGGCCTATTACTGAATTATTTCCTAATCATAGCATCTCACTTTCCTTTTTTGCTGCTTTGGGCAAGTGCCATATCAGACTATATGCACCAGAGGGCAGCCTTGACTTTCAGCATTTTTTTCAGGCAAGTGCCACAAACTTAATATATTAGTCATGCTGTCATTCTCCACTATGAACAAATTTTCTGACAATAGCAATAACTTAGTGTAACTTAAAGCAAAGTACATATGCTTTGAAATAGTCACATACTCTTCTCCTGCATAGGCCTGCCACTATTTCACCTCCTTTCTCTGTTGTTTCCCTGTGCTTATTATGGATTGTAACTTCCATGATACAGGGACCTGTTGTGCCCATTTTCTTAAAGTGTCAAGGACATAGATGGTGATAGACAGATTTAACAATAATGCGGAGGAGGTGGAAGAGGCTTACGGGGTGTGTGTGTGTAGTTTTGCTGCTCTTAGCCACTCTCAAAAGTTGATTATAGTTCCTTATTTTAACAATTTCCCCCTAACTTTACTGCACCTTAGTATCTCATAATCCAATTATAGGCTGTCTGCCCACACTGTGAACTATCAGTCCTCATGCAGCACATCAGCCACGAATTATAGTCCAATCAGGATTATGAAAGTGTCTGCTTTTGCAGCATGCCTGAGAAAACAACAATATAAACTGGTGAGGGTTTATGTCTAGCAGGGCACACAACGCAATATAAATTGGCTTGGTATAGCTTGTGCCCCCCAAAATTGTACATTGGAAATAAAGGAAGCTCTAAAAAATGTTCACAAAATGTCACATGATGAGATGGATGTTTTCCCAAATGCTGCCACAAACAATAAGCAGAAAGTAGCCACAAAACTTGTGCAATCACATTCTTCATAGCTCTGAACAGTAACAATATATGTGGGAGAGATAATTATAGTTTTGCCATGGTCAAAATACTGCATTGGACTGCTCTGAAAAATGTGGTGTCTTAAAGGGAGAAAGTCCTTTAGTGGTGGGGCCAGTGCTGGGTTGGAGAAGGTTTCTGCAAGGTGGGCTTCTTCCACATAGGCAGGCCCTACAATTAGGCAGCGAGAAACAGCTTCAGGCAGCAGCAGTCCCTCCAGTATTCTCAGTGAATCTCCTAAACCAGGTTTAGGGGACTCTTGGCCTTCCAGATGTTGCTGAACTAAAAGTCCCATCAGCCCCAACAAGCATGGCCAACAGCCAAGAATGATGGGAGTTGTAAGTTCAACAACATCTGGAGGGCCAAAGGTTCCCCACATCTGCCCTAAACTAGCCTGCCACCATTAGGTTCAGTGGAGGCTGTTGTCCCATCACCAGTGTTGAAATGATTCAATTGCCAGTGCAGGACATGGAATGAGGGGCATCACCGACTCCTTTGTCCCATTCAAGGTGTGCACTCTGCAGCCCAAGAAAGCAGCAGTTGCCCTAGCCACCTGCCAGAATTGGCCCAGAAAAACTTCTGGTCACAGGAGCTAAAAGGTTTCCGTACCCCTGGTCTACACTGATCGGCAATAGCTCTACAGAGTTTCAGGTAGGAGATGTTCCCAGCTTTAGCTAGAGATGCTGGGAATTGAACCTGGGACCTTCTGAGCTTCAGCCCTTCCTCAAAAGAGAAGAGACACTTGTTAGGTGATGTAGGGAAGAATTAAAGACTCCTTCAGTGGGGATTGTTTTCTCCACACAGCACAGGGAATGGGGCAGCCAGCATTAAGAATCTCATGATTTCATTCTTGTGTCTTGCAGGATGAGGTGAAGCTGCCAACCAAGCTGAGCATTAGTAAGTCTTTGAAAGAGACAGAAAAAGAAGGGGAAGAGGTCGTGGTGGATGAGGAGCACCCTGAAGAGGAACATATTGAGCTCTCCTCAGATGAAGAGGTGGAGGTGGAAGAGATTATTGAGGAGTCACGGGCAGAACGCATTAAGAGGAGCGGCATGAGGAAAGTGGATGACTTCAAGAAGGCCTTCTCCAAAGAGAAGATGGAGAAGACCAAGCTGAAGACCAGAGAGAACCTGGAAAAGACCAAGGTGAAGACAAGAGAAAACCTGGAGAAGACCAAGCAGAACCTGGAGAAGACCCGACACAACCTGGAGAAGAGGATGAACAAGTTGGGCACCAAGATTGTCACCAATGAGCGCAGGGAGAAGATGAAGACCTCCCGGGAGAAGCTGAAGAAGTCCTTCACCCCTGACCATGTGGTCTATGCACGCTCCAAGACAGCTGTCTACAAAGTACCACCTTTCACGTTCCATGTCAAGAAGATCCGAGAGGGGGAGGTGGAAGTGAAGGCCACTGAGATGGTGGAGGTTGGTGGGGATGAGGCAGAGAACACAGATCTGATGAGGGGTGAGAGCCCTGAGATGAGCACCCTCTTGCATATTAAAGAAGAGGCGGACACGATGCTGGCAGACAAGAGTGACAGCGAGTGAGGCTAGAGTGGCATTGGAAGACCATCAAGAGCTGACCATGTAATCTTTCACGTTTCCCCTTTTTGGCCTCACATGAGTGTGCACTCACACACACACAATATATATATATAGATCTTGCAGCCCCGCCCCCCAAATGCGGCACGAAGGTGCATTTTTGTATATTTCTGTTTCAGCATATAGAGCACAGGACTTCATAGCAATCCATCAAACACCATTCCTACGACCAAGAGCTTGCTTTGCCTGCCAGCCTGCTGTGGCAACACCCCTCGCCCGCCCACCCCAAGGTGCTATCAGCAAAGCAATCCATTTGCATGCCCAAGAAGCATGCTGCCTCTTAACTATTCTCCTTGGGGCTCAAGAATGCTTCCAGGGACCAGAAGACAAGATTAGATGGACAGAAGGAAGAGCAGCGTGGTGCAGAACTGAAAGAAGAAAGGGTTTGGCACAGTACTTTACTGAACTGGGGGAGGAAAAGTGACTGAGGAGGGATGCAAATGTAATGCCATGCGATGGTGCAAGAGGGAGGTCTGTGCACCCTGCAAACCATTTTTCAAGAGATTATTTTTTATGCAGTCACACTCTAAGGGCCTTATATTTGCACACATGAAAGAACAGCAGCTGCCACTGTGCACGCTGGAAGGAGGAGAGGAGAGGAAAGGTGTTGAGGCAAGGTCCCCTCCAAGCTATTTGGGCTGTTCGCTGGGTCTGGCCAGGAGCCATGCTTGCAACATGGCTCCAGTGGTCAGTGCTCATTTCCTGGGTTAGGGCATGGTGGGGAGTGGCAGACCAGTAGGTGTGGCTGTGAAAGAGAACAGAGAGCACAGAGAAAAGGTGGATTGGCTGCAAGCAAAGTGTTAATAGCAAGAGCCAAGAGGAAACTCTTGTTCGGTTAGCCAGCCACCTTAACCCCTGTCCCTGAGCTGGATCCTGCGCACTGAAGATGGCTTTCTACAGTGCCTGGGTTCCAGGTCAACATCTGTGCCTTCCTGCTAGACTGACTTGCAGCAGCCCATTTTTAACTCGGGCACTGCTATTTGGGTGCTCTCCAATGGGGTACCCATATGGGTTTGCTGTCACTATAGTGACTGAACTTGTTGCTTGGGGAGGGCTGTGGGGAGGGGGCGTTCAGTGACCCAAGACATCTTCATTGTGTGGGTAAGGTGCTTGTCAGCAAACTCCCCACACTTCCTTATAGCTACCTCTTTGGGCTTTTCTTTTTTTAAAAGTTTGTGGGTGAGTCTGAAGCCTCACTTTTTCCCCAAGCACCACCAAAAAGAGGCTTCTTTCCATGGTGTTCAACACATGCAGCTGCCTACACACACATCTCTGGTCCACCAGTTTAATGAAGTGGTTGAGCAGCCCCCTCTTCCCCACCTCCTGCTGTGATTCTCCCACGCTCCCCTGTGGGATTAAGGAGGGAAAGTCGGCAGCATGCTCGGTCCCAGCAGCGAACTCTGCCAGGGTTTCCTTGGCAGTGGTGCCAACAGGGCAAGATTTTGGGGCAGATTTTGGAGCAGGTGGGCCCCCAAACCTAGCAAAGGCAGCTTTACCATATTTTGAAACAAGTAATGCACATTGCCACCTGCAGCAATGAAGTAGTAATGCATTGCCATATAAGCTAAAAGGCCAAAAAAGGCCATTAAGTCCAGAGCCTAAAACAACCTACTAGTGACACTGTACCTCCACCATTCCATGCCCAGCATTTCCACCACAACCTATACCAATGCTGCCTGCTCTAGCAACTCAGCCAGTAGCTTGGCTGAGCATCCATAGACCGGTAAGGAGGTAGAGGGGTGTGTGTGTGTGTGTGTGTGTATATAGGGATGTTCTTACTCAACCATGGAGTGTGCAAGCTCCCACTACACTAGAGTTTCCAGTGAGCCTTTCTGTTCTTGTTACGTTGCTGTGGATCTTGCGTCCGGGAGAAGACAGGAGTGCCCAGAGTACCAGATATGCTTGGACTTTTCTTAAGGCCATCACACATAGGGCAGAGACCACACACCACTCTGGGGAGAGAGCAAGGGGCAGGGGGAGGGTTGTGCCAAGCTGCTGCATTGTTCCTTTTCTAAGACTGCATCCTGGTGAGCAGCATGACTAATAAACTTCCTTTTCTAAAAGAACAGGTGTGAGGTGTTTGCAAGGGGCAGGGGGGAGAGCGGCATCAGGCAGGTCACTCGGGCAGGTGCAACGCAGCACCAAGCCACACACATTAAGGGGACTTCCAGGCTCGCTTTGTTTCAGGTGGGATTCAGTCACTGCCAAATTCAGGTTGTGTAGCAAAAGCCAACCTGCTGCTCTTGCTAACCATACTTTCTGTGCCGTAAGGAAAGCGACGGGGAAAACACACTGGAAAGTGGGACAGTGGTTTCTTGACACAATATTGTACAACGTCACTGCAAACAAATTAGAATGAATGCTCAATAAATAGCCAACATCGTCTGACCTCCCTGCAGACTTTGTGCACACAAATGCTCAATAATTGGGGTGTCTGGAAGAAAGCATCATCATTATTATTTATTCTTTACTTAAAGGACACATTAAGGCAATACCTTTAACAGGCCAAACTTGCAGAGTAGGTGTGCAAGGTTTAAAGTTCTCCAGAACTCTTCATAGCAAGCAAAACTGGGGGATGGGCACTATTGCTGAAACCATGGAACCTGTATTTAGCATGTGAATTGGGGGGTGGGGGTCAAGTGTTCTTAACAGTGCCATTTTTTTTATTTTGAAGGGAAAGCAGCCAGTTGGAAGCTGTTGCTAGGGAGGACAGGCAGACTAAATCGCAACCTCGCCTCCCTTTCTGTGTCCTGAGAAGAGGCTGGATAGGGGGAAGAGACCTTCTAGGTAAGAAGACACAGAGGGTGGCACTGCTTTCCAGCTTGCTCCTCGTTCCTCTTAGCATCACCCTTTAGGAACTTGTTTGGGAGGAATATGGAGGCAAAACTAGAATTAGCTGGCTCTAACTCTACTTCCTGTTGTCTCTGCCTTCTGCCCTACTGGTCCAAATGGACACCTATCAGCGCTGGATGAGAGCTGAAGTCCAGCAACACCTGGAGGGCACCACGTTGGCTAACCTTGTCCAGGGCAGTGCAGCATAGATAGCTGGTTGCAGATGGAGCAGCCACGTTGTCCTCTCACTTGCTCACCTGCATTCTCCTGGGTGAAGCAATGATGGAAATTCACTGCTGCGAGCCTAACACCTCCTGTTTTGCCACTCGAAGGAGGATAGGTAAGAGGAGAAAGCAGTTGTTCCTGCCTCAGCATGATGGCACCAAGATTGGTTGCTATCACCCCACTGCCTGTGATTGCAACGCTTTACCTGTTTGTGCACATTCTCTTTGGGTGGCACAACAGGGTCATGAAGAGGGAGCAGGCAAAAGGAGCAGCCTCTGAATGCTCACTTACCCTCTCTCACTCCGTGGCATGATGGAGACAATTGAATTCACTGGGCTCAGTCCCCGTGCCACCTAGTAAGGTAAAGGCTCCCTGGACGGTTAAGTCCAGTCAAAGGCAACTATGGGGTGTGGCGCTCATCTCGCTTCCGGCTGAGGGAGCCGGCATTTGTCTACAGACAGCTTTCTGGGTCGCAACCAGCAGGACTAAACCACTTCTGGCACAATGGGACGCCGTGATGAGTGCCAGAGTACATGGAAACGCCATTTACTTCCCAGCACAACAGTGCCTATTTGTCTACTTGCACTGGTGTGCTTTCGATCTGAGCACCTCTTTTTACACCACCACCAACTGCAGATTGGCTGCTTTTCTTTCAAACAAAAAGCATCACTTTTACGTATCCCCTTTTAAAATAGTGTTGTTTGTCCCTCCACAAGACAAGCCAGGAGACACCACTCAGAACTATTTCCACCCGAGTAGTTCCTTAGCCAGGCTCTGAAAGTGTGACTTCCATTTTCCCCTCCAGGTGGCAGCAGCTCCCCTTCAGGTAGGAGCATTAAAAAAAACAAAAACAGAAGGGCACGGCCATTGCTGGAACACTGATACAGTCCATGTTTGTCAGCCATCTAGGTTCATAGAGCCCCCAGACATCAGTGGAAGATTAAGGCCTCTGCTCACAAACTGGATAGGAAAGAAGCCTAGCTGGATGTCATCAGCATCATCCTTCCCCTCCTGGGGAATCTTTGCCTACCCATTTGATACCATTGGGGAGCATCCAGTGCTAATCCTACTCAGAGTAGACCCGCTGAAATGAATGAGCACGACCAACTTAGGGCCATTCATTCCAATGGGTCTACTTTGAGTAAGACTGGCACTGGATACGCTTTACGCAGAAGAAGTCGGGTTTAGAACCAGGTAAGTTTGAAACATCCCACTCAGTAAGACTTGCACAGCTGCCTCCTTCAACAACCAGGGGGGTTATGTACACCCTTTCGAGGTGATAAGGTACGGGACCAGTGCTTTGACCTGTGAAGCAAATAGTACCTTGGGGTGGGGCAATTCCAATCAGGAGAATGGCAGAGGGGAAAAGGTTAAACTACTCATCCATTAGCATCACGACACCAGTTCAAATTTGAAGGGTGGGGAACCAGCATTTAGCTCTTTAAAAATTGCCAATCAGATTATGGATCTCCTACTGTTCTGCCTAGTTGTGCCTTTATTTGTGCCAGTGGTGCAGCCTTAAAATCACCCCTCCCATCACAGCCAAACAGCTGGCCTTGGCTTAGACCTAGCTGAATCTCTGGAAGTAGCAGGGCCAGCCCAGGGTGTTTTGTCACTTGAGGCAAAACAGGAAAAGCCCTCCTCTGCCCACAGCCCCACAGTTGCTGAGTGGAGGCAGCTTACAGAAGCCCTGGCAGGCTGAAGGTGGCAGGAGAAGAAAAAATAGGAGGCCGGAGAGGAGCAGGTAGAGGAAGAGGTGGGAACCAAGCACAGGAGGAGGTGGGTGGCATGCTCCCCAGGGCCTGGATCTGCTGCCCCTCCCAGCTGTCCCCAGCCTGCCGCCCAAGACGATTGCCTCATCAAACCTCCTGGGTGGGCCAGTCCTGGGAAGTAGCCAGCGACTAATTCCCCGCTGGATGCAACATTCAACAGGAGGTTCTTGGCGAAGCCATCACTGATCCCACAGCACATCATCATCTGTTGGGACTTGCTGGGAAGAGGTGAAGAGGCTTTTCCAGAGTTGGCCCCTCCTCGCTCTGTTAAGTGGCCCCCATGACGTGGAACACAGATGATGGTGACAGAATGAGTGGGTGGGTAATTGATACATTACTTTGGAACTCCAGAATGGAATCCTCCGTTGAGCAATGAATAAGGACAAAACGATAATGCCAAAATTCCACAGCTGCTCGCTTCCATCTGTAAATATGGATTTCCCATTCTTCTGACTTTGTGCATTTCACTTCCTTCAAAAAAGAAAGAAAGAAAGGGGTGTCCTTATCCTGGAGTTTCCTTTGATGTTACTGAACATGATGGGAAATGGTAAGGGACTGGGCTGATTTACCCACCCATATCAAGGCTGAGTCAGAAGTACCACAAGAGACTCCACTGATCTTTGGCAGCTGGAAAGGACAGATAACTACAAGCAAGTCCTCACTGGAAAAGAGAGAAAGGGAAAGGAAAGGAAAATCTGGGTGGTATACAACCAGCTTTTACTCAGAGTAGACTCAATGAAACATGTCCACGACTAACTTAAGTCCATTAATTTAAGTGGGTCTGCTTTCAGTGAAAATTAGTTGAATATAGCCGTCTGCATAGATAAGCATTTGCGTGGGATTCGCAGGGAAGAAGACAAAAGGGCAAGACACACCACAGCAGAAGACCTTTTATAAGATCAAAGCCAAAGCACAATAACCACAAGTTTCAACTGTCACTGCGGCATTTATTGACTTGAAAGCAAAGGTCATCATCGCCCAGTGACATCACAGCGTATGTGGGTAACTCCGAAAAGATTTCAGATTACCACAAAAGGCATGTTAAGAAATAAATAAAGACATTTCACAAAATGGTTTGCTCAAAATAGGTGGGTACCACAACAAGGTGTTGCAACAGACCATACTTGCTTCCCCCCCCCCACTCCCCAGCCACAACACCTAACAATGCTGTCATATCCTTTACATATCTAAGCCAACCCCAGGAGCACCAGATCTTACCCAAGTCTGTAAAGCCTCTGAAACCACTAACAAGGTCTGACCGGAATCCTTCTTGGGGTGGCTCATTAAGTGCAACTGGGGGAAAATGTTGCAGGGCAGAGTGAGCCTGATCCAAATTTCTGCCAGCCAGTCAGCTAGTCATGCTCTTTCCCAGGAAACTACATTCCATCCCCCTCCCCCTCCCCCAAAAGCAAGGTGGTATTCTCTGTCTATAGAGCATGCTCAGTCTTCATTGGTCTGTTTTGGGTCCCCCTCCTTTTTAGGGGTTTTGTCCCCAGTTGTTTCGTTTGTTTATTGGGGGGATAGTTCTGCAAATCTTGGCTTTTCTGTGAACCTGCTGATACCTCCCCTTCTGTGCAGATGGAGCCATTTTGACCACACAAGGATCCATAAATGATAATAAAACATATTGGCTGCCCACAACTATGAGTCCCCTGGAATTCAATTCTACCTGCCATTCAGATATGCCATAGGCATGAACTTAAAGCATAGTTGCATTAAAGCATTCCTCAATGAGTGGCTTGCTAAGGTTTTCGAAAAGATCATTGCTGGCTGTGGGTTCATACGATTACCACTGCAAGCTCCCCAAAAATGATACAGCCCCCATGTCCAACTGAGAATCCTTGCCACAGGTGGTCTCTATCAAAACATTTCACAGTCTGGCTGGTCCACATTCAGCTGTTAATCCACTTTCCCTACATTCACATTTAGACTGGAATAGTCCATGCCTGCAGCTATTTGATTTGGCATATGCGAAGCAGCTTCAGTACCCATCCCCTTTTGTGTGTGTCCCTGCCTTCTAATTTATTAACTCTGTTATGCCAATTAGGTACTGTGCCCAGGGCCAGATTTAGGTTTGATGAGGCCCAAAGCTACTGAAGGAAATGGGGCCCTTTATATGTCCAGCTGTCCTTTGTCAACAACAAATTGTCACTGTTTTTTGTGTTGAATATATGTTATATGGTAATTTATGGACCTAATAAGTATCTAAAGCCATTTGCACATGTTGCCATGCAGGCACCCTATATATAGAAATGAGCAAACCAGTGATATTTTAGGGAGCAGGCTAGCACTGGGGCCCATTACTGTACTTACATCATAGGAGCCTACACAGCACAAGCACTGTTGCAGTATATATAGGATTTATTTTATTAGTTTTTTATCTAATATTTTGGAAATGTACATCCAGGTTTCTTTTTTCCTTTAAATTTTTTGGGGGGCCCCAAGAGAGTGGGGCCCTAAGCTATGGCTTGTTTAGCTTATACGTAAATCCGGCACTGACTGTACCAACAGGGCATGCACACAGATAGCTTTTTAAATTTAAAAAAACACACACACAAAATTCTCACCTAAGAAGTGTGCAAAAGTGCAGTCAGTCAACTGTAAATTTGCTTGTGCGGTTTTCTGGTTTCATGCAAATCTGAGGGTCAAAGGAAAGCTGGATAAGAAATGAACACAGTGATGAAGCAGTGGGTGTGGAAAGCAGAGTAGCAGAAAGTGGTAATTTATCTATCCACCCCCACAAAAAAAACACACCAAAAATTGTATGTAACCCTGAGTAGAGAGGTTTGGAGCCCCAACTTATTGGATTAGAATTGACAGGGGTCTGCATTCAGATGGGTGTTGCTTGATGGTAATGTCATTTAGACAATGCAAATTAAATGGAAATGCAAACAGCTGCCAATACACAGTAAACTCCAGTGTGGACGAGCCCTCAGACTCTACTCTGGTTAACATGTCTACACTCACTTCATATTAATCAGGTCTTAAATTGCATAACCCAGCTGAGCAGCCCACCAAGAAAAAACTAGCATAGCCAGTGCACTTCACGGCTGTAGAATGATTTCTTCCAGGGTCTGCTGCTACCTATAGGATTGTGCCCCACCCACCCATGCAACAGAGTCACTGTGTCCCCAACAGCTGCAGGAGTTGCAGCACTTCAAAAAAGTGCCATTTTGCAGCATGAAGTTGCCACAATGGTGAATACATTTATTCTTTCCTATCATCTATCTATCAACTATAAACGTAAGGCTGTCATCACGCAAACCCATTGGAAGACTTGCATCACAATCCTGGATTTGTATGAAGCTCGAGTACACATATGATCTGGCTGTTGGAACCAGCTGTGAACTATTTTGACCAACTGTCACTGTCAAACTATACAGGATACTGGAAAATGAGTGATCAAATCTTGCACTGTTAATTTTTTTTGGTCAAAACACAAAACAACTGTGTGGTGTGTGCGTGTTTGTGTGTACATGAGAGAACTGAATCGAATAATCCAGTTGGGGCAGCAGTACCCAGCCCTTTCCACCATGCTGTTTTCCTGATCTTAAAGAGCCTCCTCCCCTACCTTGGATACCTGTCCAACGCTGGAAATCATATAGGTACCTGTGCAGTTGCTGGTAGTTTGTGAGAGGTTTAGAGAAGGGAAGCATCACAGTACAATGGGTTAATTGCTCCATCCCTCAGCATCATGTCTTAATCCAATTCGTACTTCTCTCCAAAACTTTTCCAAACTAAAACTTTTATTCCTGGATTTCCCAGCAGCTCACTGGTTTATCTCTCAGTGGGCTGCTAAACCCGGGCCTGTGGATTCTTATATACAAATAATAATAATCCTGCACATTGATCCGTAGCATGTCAGGGCTAGGCTGGCAGTTAACCCAGTTAGTTTTGTCACAGCCTGATCATTGACTTGAGGTAACATGGAGTCAGTTATTTTCACTGGTGGTACCAGTGTTAGGGAATGCCCTCCCTGGTGAAATACAAGAGGTTCCATAAGTATTGGCATTCTGCTGGCTCTTTAAAACATGCCTCTTGAAGTAAGCCTTCCTCTGATTTCCTGGTCTGTGGTTTTAACAGACTTGTTTATGATATATTTTAATTAGGGATGTTTTTCTACTTTGATCTTACTGTTTTACTATGATTGACAGCTTGTTATTTTGCTGCTGGCTTTTTCTGCTTGGGAAATGAATTGGCACTTCTTCTCAAGATGAAGGGCGGTGTATGTAGGAGGAAAATTGACCTGACCTGTGTGTGAGTAATTAACAAAATAATCAGCTGGGTACCTAAATTCCAAACATAGGGCTTTGCACACCCCTCCAGCAGGAGAGAGCCCCCAACAGAATTAAGAACAATCTCAGAGTTAAACAGCAGTATTGCTGGTAGGTTGCTAAACCTTTTTGCATATCCCATTTAGTGTACTTTAAAACGCCTGCCCCCTCTCTCTACCCCTGTAGCAATGAACAGACCACATACAGTTCAGTAAGTTTTAAATGCTTAACTTACTAAATCCAAAGGTCCAATTCATGTGTTATTTCATGCAGCAGCAAAAAGAACACAGGCAGATTACTTTTGGGGGCAAAATACAGCATATAGTTTCAAACATTAGTCCTGGTTGATTACATGGCACGGAGAGAGGTGAGGAACAGAAAGAGAAGCAGCTTCACTTCCTTCCTCATGGAGGTAAGGGGCATGACCTAGCTGAGTCTAGGAACTCTGTGGTTTTAAGCCCTTCATGCACCAACTAGTATGTATGCATAGATATGTTTGACTGCAATTTCCCACAGTATATAAATTATTTTAATAACAACAATCCGGTTTCCTTTGTTGTTTTTGTGTCATGTATGAAAAGACTTCAGTACATGTAACAAAAACAGGTTTCAGAAATTGTTGGTTTGTAAGCCAATCAATAAAATGAGTTTCACAAAACAGAGAAACACACAAAAAATAGGAAATTGGCACAACAGGGACAGAGGTGAACAAGTGAGCTTTCCAACATCCTCTGTTGCGCAATGTAGAACTCATTAATCCAGACCAGGGGTAGGCAAGGGCTAAGGCCCGTGGGCCGGATGCAGCCCAATCGCCTTCTCAATCTGGCCCACAGACGGTCCGGGAATCAACGTTTTTACATGAGTAGAATGTGTCCTTTTATTTAAAACGCATCTCTGGGTTATTTGTGGGGCACAGGAATTCATTTATTTTTTTTCAAAAATAGTCCCACATGGTCTGAGGTACAGTGGAACAGCCCACGGCGGAAAAAGGTTGCTGACCCCTGACCCAGACCAAACGTGTTTTTCCTTCTGCTGTACGCACCACCTGTGCACTAACAGGAGCCTTCCCTTCCCAGGGTCAGCTGCAGAGGTCACACAGCACCTTGGGAGGACTGGCTAATGCCAACCACTAACAAACCTCAAGGAGGTTTGGGACTTTCTGCTTCGTGCCATACCACCTGCAACTCATGTCTGAGGGACAGACTCAAAGGGCAAGGTAGCTCAGGTCAGAAGCTAAACTCTCATTTTCCCATGAAAGTCAAAGGGTGATGGTTATCGTTATATAACAAAAAACAAAACAAAACAAAACTACTACTACAACAACACATTACCGGGCCCAGTTCAAATTGCTGGTTTTGACTTTTAAAGTCCTAACCAGCTTGGACCCGAGCTATTTACTGGACCACCCACACCTATACTAACCAGCCCACACCTTACGATCTGCTTCGGAGGCTCTCCTGGTATGCCCACTACATAAATCAGTAATGAGGGTAGCCATGAGAAGTCCTTTTGGTGGCCTGCCTCATCTCTATGGAACAATGTCCTATAGGACTGACACCAAACCTCCATGCTGCAGGCTTTTCAGGAGCCCTGATGACTTACCTGATTGGTTTTCAGGAATGATATTCAATATGCAGAGTACACTGAGGTCCATCTCTCTGTCCCATTTGACTCAGGAAAGGCTATAGAGGTGTTAGACCGACACCTGGAGGTGGCAATGGGGCTGGGGGAAAAAACCTAGGAGGGGAATAAAAATTTCCCCTTACCAGCCGAATGAGCAAGGCAGACAGGACAGAGCCTTCCACTGCACCTGTGGGCAGCAGGTTAGCTTAGAGCATGGTTGGCCAATATGGTATCCTCCAGATGATGTGGGACTACAACTCCCATCAACCCCAACCAGTATGGCTAATAGTAAGGAAAGATGGTAGTCTGAGTGCAACAACATCTACAGGACAACACACTGACTACTCCTGACAGATGCATTCACTGTATTCTTTCTGGTGCTTGCTGAAGACATTATTATTTAGGCAAGCCTTACTCAGATGTTTGCAAAGTTTATATGGGTTTTAATTTGTTTTCGGTCTATTATGGTTTTAACTTTGTGTATGGCGTAAATTATAGCTGTAAAAGTTTTTAGTGATGGTTTTGTTGTTTAGTCTTTTTTTGTAAGCCACTTTGTTTTTTCCTACAACCAAGGGGTATATAAAATTTATGAAATAAATATAAATATATAAGGAAGGGCGCAGAGAACACCACAGCTGTGTTCTCTCACCACCTCACCCCCACTTCCTGCCTCCCAGGATCTGCCGCCTAAGGCAACCACCTCACTCTATCCAATGGTAGAACCAGCTGTGGCAGCTACTCATGCAAACACCAGCCTCCTCCTCCTCCTTCTTGCTCACTTGCCATTTCCTTCTGGGTGCCACACACAGTGGAGGGGCTGGGTCCCAGTAACTCCTATCCTCTCCCCCGCCCCAATACCTACTGCTCCAACAAGAGAGAAGGCAAGCAAAGAGGTAGGGGAGAGTCTGGGCCAAAGGACCAGCCGATGGAGGCTCCTTGCAACTAGGCACTCGCCCAGTGCTTCCTGGCAGGAGTAGGCAGAGACAGCAGCTGCTGTGGCTTCCTCCTGTCAAGACCCTCTGTCAGAACTAGGAGAGGAAAGGCAGGCTCGACTTCTCTTTGCTGAGCAGGGCAGGCGAGAGGGCTGAGCCCACTAGAAGGAGGTGACCCAGCAACCCCCCACCCCCCCCTACAAGCAGCCCTGCAGCATCCCCGCTGAGAGCTCCTTCCCCCGCCCACTGGGGCTGAAGCGAAGCCTCCCTCCCGCTCAGGAGAAAGACAACAGCGGCGGCAGCGGCGGCGGCGGCTACGTCACGCGCTGCCCGGAACTCAGCTGGGTTTCCAGCAGAGCAGCGGGAGGAGGAAGCCAGGCGTGGAACAGCCGGATGAATAATGAAAGCCGAGGCCCGCGCTGATTGGCTACCAGAGGCACCTCCCGGCGAAGGGACCCGCAGAGCTCGCCGGCGATTGGTCGGCGGCGGAGAATGTCGACAACTCGGGGCGCGCGGGCGAGAGGGAGGGGGCGGGGTCAGGCTCGCAGCCAGCAGCTGGGGCAGGGCTAAGAGCGCGGCGACGGGAAGAGGCCGGATCGGTCCCAGCGGTGGGCAAGGGGCGCCGGGCGGTCTGCAAGGTAGGCCGGGAGGCACCGGGGGCAGGGGCCGCCGGGAGTGCCGGAGCCTTGCTTTGGGGCGGGAGGGCTCAGCCGCGGCTCAGGTAGAGGCTACCTCTAAGCATGTGCAGAGTGCCCGCTCCACCCGCCGCTTGAAGGGTGACAGCTGGGGGCGAGGCGCTGCTCCGAGGAACAACTGCTTCCCCTGGGGAATCAAGGGCCAAGTGGGCAGGAATTCTTTAGTCAGGATGGGGTCGGAGAGCGGCTAGGAAAGAGCAGGTTGTGGGAAGGAAGAGGCTGAGAAGTGCCTCATCTTGGGGTGCTGGTGGAGGTCTGCTTTATCCTGCCAGCTATGAGCCTTGGAAGGAGGTGGTGGGTCATGGGAGCGAACGTTGCCTCTTGAAGGATCCGGGAAGTCTGCCGTCATGTATATAATTTTTTTGGAGGGGGTGTGCGTGTGTATATGTTAATGCGCGTTCTGTTTCCTTGACTTCGGATTAACTCAACGTGTTGGGTCTGTCGGCGGAGGAGGGAGATGTTTGCTCTCCGTGCTCCCTCCAAAAAGTGTGAGGGGTCTGCGCGCGCCCCTGATATAGGTTATTGCCCCCGAAGTATTTATTAGGTACACTTTGCGGGCCCTCCCCCAATGGCGGGGAGCGTCTGGAGAGACGCGGAAAGGGGAATAATTGTAGGGCTGTTGCAGGTGGGTTGGAAACCCCATGCTGTTACCTCAACTACAAGGAAAACGGCTGCTGAAAGTGAGGGTCCCATCTACACTATGAATTTAAAGCGGTTTTGTACCGCTTTAAACAGTCATGCCCCCCCTCCCGCCCAAGCATCCTGGGAAGTGTAAGAGGACTGAAAGTTGTGAGGAGAGTTGAGCGTCAATTCCGGGAATTTCCTGGGAAGAAGGATTGATTGTTAAACCTCTCTGAGACTGTGAGCTGAATGTGTATGTGAGGGGGGAGGGGTGTCTCATGACAACTCTTCGCACTCTTATAAACTACAGTTCCCAGGATGCTTTGGGGGGAAACAGAGGATGGTTTAAGGCTTTTTAAAAAACTGCTTTGAGGTTTTGTTTTGTTTTAATCAAGCCGTGTATTTATTTTATGAAATAAGTAAAATAAAGTGCTGTGATACTGCTTTAAAAGATGGGGGTCTAGGGCAGTATGGCAGCTGTCACCTATGCAGAGCTAGCTGATATGGTGTTATCTAGGGTGCATTGTTCTTGGTTCTTCCTATCATTCAACAAGGAAGGGTTGGGGCCTGGCTTGACATCCACATGCCTCTTTTTTGTGGGGGTGTTATCCCTGTTGCTGGAAGTTATCCATTGGGAAATCCCCCTTTTTATCTCTCTCTTCTCTCACCCCACCCTGGCATCACTTCTTTATCTGGCTATACACACACAGTGTCCCTGAACGTGAGTCTTCATAAAAATTAGATTTAAAAACAAAGCAGAACTGGAGCCAGCCTCCCAAACGGCTGTGGGAGATTCTGACCTGGTTTCGTAGTGAAGTGATGATTTGCGAGGTTGACCTCCCCTTCTCACTGACTTGTTCTGTTGCCTGCTAAATTGGGCGCTGTTGTGTAGCAAAAAAACCCCCCACTAAACTTCGAAAAAAGGCTGACAGGAAGCTTCTGTTTGCACAAGTGTCTCAATAGGCCAAGTGTGGGGGAGGTTGCGTTATGGTGCAAAAACAGCTCTGCTGCAAAGCTGGCCAGTCCAAGGGTTAAGATCTGGCAGTGAGGCCTTGAAACCGCAGTCGATGTTTACCTTTCTGTTTCAGAAGGAAGGCCTTTGCTACTTTCGAGGTACTTCAGCTTTTGCTCTGGATTGCGTTGCCAGGTTTCAATGGGGATAGGAGGTACTTGGCTGCTTCCAAGGTTGCCTGGGATGCCTGCTGGAACTTGCAAATTCCCAAATTGTCCGTAAGAAGCTTCTGGCAATAATTTAAGAATGTGTTCCTTCACCAGATCATTCAGATCTCTCAGGGGGGTTCTTGCATGGCTAGGGAAGTGGCTGAAGAAGGAGCTTGCTCTTTTGACTGTGGGTTGCATAGGCAGGTTTTTTCCCATGACAGTGGTACCTCGGGTTAAGTACTTAATTCGTTCTGGAGGTCCGTACTTAACCTGAAACTGTTCTTAACCTGAAGCACCACTTTAGCTAATGGGGCCTCCTGCTGCCGCCGCGCCGCCAGAGCACAATTTCTGTTCTCGTCCTGAAGCAAAGTTCTTAACCTGAAGCACTATTTCTGGGTTAGTGGAGTCTGTAACCTGAAGCGTATGTAACCTGAGGTACCACTGTAGTTTATCTGACCCAGGGATTCATTGTATAGACATTACAATGGCTATTTAATTGAGGGAGCAGGGTAAGCGATGATCACTTTCTCCTGCCTACAGCAAGGTGCTTGCTTTCTTAACAAGGGCTGGGGAACCTGTAGTTTTTAAGAAGTCGGTTGGCTCCAAGCTCTATCATCATCCTGGACCGTTGACCATGCTAGCTGGGGCTGATGGGAGTTGTAGTCCAACAGACCCTGGAGGGCCACTGTCCCTGGTTTAGGCATTGGGACATATTTCTGCTCCTGTCCTCCAGGATAACCACAGGGAAATGGAAGTGAAGAGTAGCAGCATAGACTAAGATCTTTCAAAGAAGCAGGAATAATGTCCTGCTGTTTTCAACTGAACTGGGCACTTAAAAGATGCAGTAATGTTGTATACCCCCCAACATTTTCCCAATGAAAATACGGACACCCTATTCCATAATAATAATAATAGTAATAATTTATTATTTATACCCCACCCATCTGACTGGGTTGCCCCAGCCACTCTGCGCGACTTCCAACATATATATAAATGTTTTAAAACTTCCCTATACAGGGCTGCCTTCAGATGTCTTGTAAATAGGTTGTATAGTTACTTATCTCCTTGACTTAGGGGTCGCATACCCTCCAACATTTCTCCTATGAAAATAGGAACGCCCTAAGGAAAAGTGGAACATTCCAGGATCAAATAAAAAACCAGGTCGGCTTCTGTAAATCTGGGACTGTCCCCGGAAAAAAGGGACACTTGGAGGGTCTGATATTGATGTTCCAGTGCCCTGACTTCCATGATGTTGACTGTGAGGTGTTTGCTGAGAACCAGTATTCTTTCTCTGTCTCTTTCTCCCCCGCTTCCCCACCCCCCTCTGGTTTGCAGTAAGTCAGTTTTATGATTCCTGGCTGACTCCTGCTGCTGCTGCTGTTCTCCCAGCTGGCGTCTCCAATGTCAAAACCACAGTGCAGTGTTTGTCTCTGGCCTGTGTTTATAGAAGCAAGGTGCGAAAGAAGAGACATCTTATACAGGAGCTTGGTTATAAAGATCAGAACAGCTATTCTGTAAGCGTAATAATCCATCATGATCCAGCACAAAGCCCTTGGCTACGTGGAACAAATGAAACTTGTTAAAGGTCACACATGCAAAACAAATTTGCTTTCATTTTAATTCTTTCCCCAAAATAAATGGAAATGGGAGCATTTATTCGACTGGGGGTGGGGGGACTACACTCATTGTGTCAAATCTGGCTTTTAATAGTCTGACACAGTCTGCCAGCTATTAAGAACTGGTCCTGCTTGGAAGTCGGGATTTCTGATGAGTCCTTTGTCAGAGGCATATATGTTGTAGTAAAGTGAGGCCCTTAGTTAAACCAAAAGCTTTTGCTCCATATGTCTTGTGATAATCCTGCAAACAGGTATTGAAATGAAATTTTGTGCCTATGTTCAGGACATACTTCTGCATTTTAAGTTTTAATCCCATGCTGTTTTGTCTTTTTTTAAATGCACATGTATAAAATCCAGCAAAATAACATATCTTTACAATAATTAAATTTATCTTAGACCAGTGGTTCCGAGGACCCATAGAATGCATCCAGGGAGTCCATAGCCCCATCCCTTACCTACCCCCAACTATTTTTTTGTATTTTTTGCATAGTAATATCACAAATTTTATTGTCTGTTTTAGTGCTGTATGATTTTTGTTTTGTAATACATTTTTATTAGTTTTCAATTACAGTCCAATAATAGCCTCATTATAACAATAGCAATTTTAATACAATTATTAATACAAATAATTAAAATACTGAATTACCGGTATATAATTTAGTTAAAGTGGCTCTCCGCGTGCTAGATTTGATGGTTTGATAATTTTCTTTATTTCGGTGTTCCAAAATCTTATCAGGTTAAATTACATTCTGGTCACAATAAAAATCCCTTATACAACAACGGCAATATTAATAACTTTTATTCGTGTTGGCACATTAAATGATTTATAAAACTGCAAGTGAGGAACTCAAACTATAGCCTTGTTCTTCCTGTGTGTGGCAATTATTTTGTCCATGGTGTTTCTTCCTGTCCTTGTAAGATGTTATGTCTTTCTTTCCCCTGGTTGTTGCTGTTATCCGTCATGCCTTTGGCAGAGCTGATATCCAATTGTCGTTTCAGTAATTTCTCCATCGCTCTGTCCCATGCGTTGTTGTTTTATACCGAGAACTTTAACAACATCTGCAAAAGTCACTCTGTCCCAGTAAATAAACTGTTGTCACCATTTTCCTTCTCAGCCTGGGAAGAAGAGCGGTCTGTCGAACTGCAGATGATTCAATAAAGAACCTTAGCAGCTACTTGGCAGTTCACAGACTCCTCATCTGTAGAACTTCCTTCCCCACAGAGGTGTGTCTGGCACCTTCAACATGGAGCTTTTGGTGAATGCTGAAGACATGCCTCCTCACTGTGGCTTTTGACACTTGATGTCTTATTTTTTGGGACGTGGATGGCGCTGTGGTCTAAACCACTGAGCCTGGGGATTGCCGATCGGAAGATCGGCGGTTTGAATCCCTGCGACAGGGTGAGCTCCCGTTGCTCGGTCCCAGCTCCTGCCAACCTAGCAGTTCGAAAGCACGTCAAAGTTCAAGTAGATAAATAGGTACCACTCCGGCAGGAAGGTAAACGGCTTTTCCGTGCGCTGCTCTGGTTTCGCCAGAAGTGGCTTAGTCATGCTGGCCAGATGACCTGGAAAAACTGTCTGCGGACAGACGTCGGCTCCCTCGGCCAGTAAAGCGAGATGAGCACCCCAACCCAAGAGTCATTCGCAACTGGACTTAACTGTCAGGGGTCCTTTACCTTTACCCTTTTATGTCTTATTTTTAGGACCCAGCTTGTTTCTGCGATTGTTGGTGGTTTTGAACTGCTTTTAATAATAATAATAATAATAATAATAACAATAATAATAATACCCCACCCATCTGGCTGAGTTTCCCCAGCCACTCTGGGCGGCTCCCAATTGAGTGTTAAAACAATACAGCATTAAATATTAAAAACTTCCCTAAGCAGGGCTGCCTTCAGATGTCTTTTAAAGATAAGATAGCTGCTTATTTCCATCACATCTGATGGGAGAGCGTTCCACAGGGCGGGCGCCACTACCAAGAAGGCCCTCTGTCTGGTTCCCTGTAACCTCATTTCTTGCAAAGAGGGAACCGCCAGAAGGCCCTCAATGCTGGATCTCAATGTTGTGCAATACTGTGTTTTAACATCAGTATTGCATTTTAATTGTTGTACCTTGGCCTGGCACCTTAGGGTGAAAGGTGGGTAATAAAATGTAATATTTGTAATATTTATGATAATATCTCCAGAGAGAGAGAGAGAGAGAGCCAGCCCACCTGCCAGGCAACAGTTTCCAGCATCAAACTGATCTTATCATGAAGAACCTTTTAATGTTCATCCAAAATCTAATCCTGCCCTTTGGGGCAGAGAGAACAAGGCTTTGTCATAGCACTCCTTCATTACCTGAAGGGATTTCACGCTGCAGCCACCACACCCCTCAAGTGTTGGCTTCTCCAGAATAGATATCCAGGTCTGTAGCATCTTCTTTGACAATATGTTAGTATTTAGTTTGCATTCTGAGTTTCCCAGGGTGCTTAGAAAGGTGTGTCATAATGTTTCTCACAGAAACGGTGAGAATCCCAGAGTCCATCCCTTCAAATGAGTAGAGAAGTGTCATTCAACTAGGAGAGGCAGAAAGTTCAGTGGCTGTCTTTATTTCGAAACAAATGCTTTGAGTTTTCTTTGCTTGTTGTGTCTCTCCCAGCACTTTGCTTTTAGTGGTTCCCTAGCCATGTGCACAGGAAACGTTTCTCAAAGTGAGAAGTGGCCAGTGCATTCAAAGCTGCATTATCTTCCTCCACGTGCAGAAGTGCTTTCAATTGTTTCTTGGTGTATCTGGTTTCTGTTCTGCCTCTCTCTCTCTCTCTCTCTCTCTCTCTCTCTCTCTCTGTTTTAAGCCAATGAAGAGTCCTGCTGCAGCAGGCCAATGGCCCATCTTATCGAACAGCCTATTGTATCTCAGAGGACATTTATCAGCACCCTGCCTCATCCTGCTCCTTCAACCGCATGAAGAAAGCATGGGGCAAGTTGACAGATGAGATCCCTGCAGATTCAGATTATTAACAACCGTGTGCAGAAAGTTCACAGGGCCTGTAACCACTGTTAGAAGTGGTGTTTCTCTTGGGGACCCCATCTTTATGGACACCTTCTAGCTCACTGGCCTCGTTTGCTTATACAGTGGTACCTTGGAAGTTGAACGGAATCGGTTCCAGAAGTCTCTTTGACTTCCAGAACATTCAGAAACCAAGGCGCGGCTCCTGCAGCCAATCGGAAGCCCCGTCGGACATTGGGTTCCAAAGAACGTTTGCAAACTGGAACACTCACTTCCGGGTTTGTAGCGTTCAGGAGCCAAAACATTCGACTCGCAAGGCATTTGGGATCCAAGGTATAACTGTAATGCTAAGCCCAAACCATAGCTTAGTGAACAATTGCAGCCACTTCACTACCTTCCACCCCACAATCCTGCCGCTGAACTACCTGGCTGGACTAAACAGACCATGGGCAGTTAACTAAGTACAGACCTTGGAGCCACTTGGGTTCACATAGAGCTCTGAGCCAAATCACGGCTTTGCTCTGGGTAGCCTGACAGCATCAGAACTGGGGGAGGAGTGAAGCAGTCAGCTTTTTCCCTAGGCACCTGTACCTATGTGCATGTTCTTGCTGTGTTACATCCAAACCAGACAAGGCACAAATTTCATGCATATATTTTAAAACAAAAAACAAAACATGGCAAGTCAAGTGTCTTAATTGCGCTTTTAGATTTTAATAGTTTTTGTTTGATACAGTATTTTAATAGTTGTATTTGTATTGTGAGCCACTCGGAGAATTTATATTATGGATTGGCTATATGCCACCAGCCTTTCCCCAACCTCCCAGTACTTTGCCCTACAAATCGCATCAGCCTCAGCCTCAGCCAGCTGGGGAAATCCTGCTGCTTTAAAATCTTTCTCTCGGCCCAGCTTGGCTTTTGTGCAAGCATGATGAGTCTGCTGTTTGCAATGGGGAATCAAAAGCATTTCCTGATCCACTGTGCAGACTGCTGGCTTCTTTCACTTTCCATTCATGGTTTGAAAAAAGAAGACAGCTCTGAATTGTGCCATGGTGGTGGTGGTTCTTTGAGACTGAAATGTCTACCCTCTCCCTTGCCTGCTGACGACTTATTTCAAATGATTCTTGACCCTCAGGAAACTGAAAGATCGGAACAGACAAATAACAGTTCTTTCCTCCCGGGCTTCATAGCTAGCTTCCAAATGACCTGTGCGTGGAACAAATCCGAAGGCAACTTCCTTGTCTCTGGGGCAGTTCCCAGCAGAGTCTGCCTCCTGTGTTTCCCGTAAGCCCCTTTCCTGCTTTCCAAGGGAGTTGCTGGAGGCTGGCTTTGGGGGCGAATGAGAACAGAGATTGAGAATTCATCCTGTGCTTACCCGTCAAGACTGTAAAGGTACAGTGTTGTTGGGGGGGTGGGGGTGGCGTGTCCTGTTAGTTTTGTTTCATTTCGTGCTCTGAGGGGGCTTTTTGAATGTGGGTGAAAGTAAACGTGACTTGGTAAATGTGGAAGGTTTGCCAAAAGTCCGTCTGTTCTGCAGATGTGACGGAATGAGGTGCTGGCGTGAATCGCACCACAGCAAAGAGCTGGTGGGGAATTACTTTTTTTTAAAAAAGCTACAGTATCTCATTTTAATTCTGGACAACCTGTTGTCCATTATAAAGGCCTTTGGCTATATACAATAAAATTTATTTAAATGGAAATATTTTAATTCCGTAACTAGAAAACTAGAACTGAAAAATGGATGTGCTAGTTTGTTTACTTCCTAGGAGGTACGCGTGGAGGAGCATCTGTTTGGTGTAATGGTGAGAGTGTCTGACTAAGACTTGGGAGACCAGGGTTCGAACCTCCACTCAGCTATGAAGCTCACTGGGGAACTTTGGGCAAACACACCCTTTTAGTCTAACCTACCTCACAGGGTTGTTGTGCAGTTTAAATGAAGAGGATGAAAACTTAGGGTTGCCATACGTCCAGAATATCCCGGACTTATCCAGAATACTGCAGTCGAAAGCAGTGTCTGGGTGGAAATCACTAAAAATGCTCGGGAAAATCCAGACATATGGCAACCTGTGTTGGCAGTGTCATTTTTTTGCTATTTTCCTTAAAAAATAGGGCAAAAACTTGTTTGTTTGTTTGCCAAAAAAGCTCAACAAACGATGTATGCCACCTAGAACTCTTTGGAGGAAAGGTGGGATAGAAATGCAGTAAGATAAACAAACAGCAGCAAAACCCAGCAAAAAGAGCTTTTAAGCACTCTGCCTTGCTTACCAGGCTCTGGGAGACACTCACCTGCAGGCCTTTGTGAGATGTCACAAAGGCCTCCAGAGTTTACACAAGACCTTTCCAGGGCCTGGTAAACACCTTGCATGTGTTCACCGTATTTTTCGCTCTATAAGACGCACCAGACCACAAGACGCACCTAGTTTTTGGAGGAGGAGAACAAGAAAAAAAATATTCTGAATCTCAGAAGCCAGAACAGCAAGAGGGATCGCTATGCAGTGAAAGCAGCGATCCCTCTTGCTGTTCTGGCTTCTGGGATAGCTGCGCAGCCTGCATTCGCTCCATAAGACGCACACACATTTCCCCTTACTTTTTAGGAGGGAAAAGTGAGTCTTATAGAGCAAAAAATACGGTAATTTGTGTGATGGGTATGCTGGCCAGCCGCCAAGTGCATAAAACTGTGATCACGCAACTTTCGAGTCAACTGTATTTATTTAGAAGATTTATAAGCCGCTTAATCTAAGAGCTCCCCAAAGTGGTGTACAAATAAAATGTAGCTAACCCAGCTAAAACCTGCAAAACAATTAAAAAACAAACACACATAAAATAATTATTAAAGCACAGATAAAGCCAGACAAACTTTTAAAGCAAATACATTATGGGTAACTGAAATAATATATCTTGTTAAACAGCAAAGGCCAGCCAAAATCTGTTGGCATCTTAATACAAACAAACAAATGAAGTTACTTGTTATTTGCATAGCATCTTTTTTTGCAATTCAGCAGATTAATTAGTTTATGGGGGTTGACTATGGCTTCTGTCCGTAACAGATGCAAGCAATTTACTCTGTGGCTGATACTTGCAAATTAGGCAAGAATTATTTTGTCACTCCAGACCCACAAATGCAAAATGTGGCCTTTCACGAGCGTTTGAGAATAGCAGCTCTTTTTAAGTCAGTTACCTGCATAAATTGAAACCAGAGGACACTTACCGAAACCATGACCTGTCAAATAATTTTCCAAGCAATGCTGCCGTTTTACGAATGCGGATGTGTTAAGGGCATTTTGTCACTTGAATACGTGCCAAGTGATCCTGTATCTTCCTATCTTGTCACCTCTGCTCATTTTAATTTGTAATTTGACAGGAGGAGCAGGCTAGCCAAAATGAGATCATCACTGCAAAAAACTGCTGTACTGGAGGAAGTAATTGTATAATTGCCTTATGTTGCGCTTTTTTACAAGTATTCAAAATGCCACACACACACATTGTTTCTCTACAATCCTGTGGGTTTTTTTTAATGTATTTTGGCCTCTCTCTTTTTCTTTTCTCCCCTGTGTTACTCTGAAAAGCAAGAGGTTGAGGTGTTGGCTCAGTCCCAAATGTGATTTATTTGAGCCAATAATCGTTAGTGCTACTATGAACTCTTAATAGCATCTTAAAACTCCTCCCTGTTCTTGTAACTCTGGACTTTTTGCATATATTCTATACAGTAATTAGTAATTCCTTGGGTTTGGATACAACCACACACAGGCTGGGTTTTTCAGATTTTTTGATGCTGCAGAGAGAGAAAGAGAACAGGAATCAAGACTTTTCTATGAAAGAAAAATATTTATATATATGTTTATGTATATAAGATAGGATGTGTGTGTGTGTATTTATATGTGTGCTTGTATATGTCTCCTGTGTGTACACACACACAATGTCCTATCAATTGCTCCCTTACATTCTCTATATCTGTGACACTTTATTCCTATCCTGTATTTACTCAAAGTCAGAGCCTGGAAGGACCACAGACCAGCGGCAACCACTGCCCCTGTTTCTTAGCCTGGCATCACTCAAGCTGGAGTAGTGTAATTGTTAGTATTGGACTAGGACCTGGGAGACCAGGGTTCAAATCCCCACAGAGTCATGGAACTCACTGGGTGACCTTGGGTCAATCACCGCCTCTCAGCCTAACCTACCTCACAGGGTTGTTGTGGGAATTAAATGAGGGACCCTCGTGTGTCCCCTTGAGCTCCTTGGAGAGCTTTCTGACTGCAACAATAAAATACGGTAAATATGCTCCAGCCTGCCACATTTTTTTATCGAAGCGTATTTTATTCATTAATAAATTTTAAAATCTGAAAAAACCTACATTGGGCAGCTGAGATTTCCTCCCCTCCCCCAACTGCCAATTTAGGAAGGAATATCTGATGGAACAAAATATCAGAACAGACTTTAAAATGATCTCAGAATTCTCAGCTTTTTAAAAAGCCCTTTGCATGCTAGCTCTTTTGTGACTGTCCCCTGCACATCCTCTAACCCAATCACAGGCTTTTGTGAACCAGGTGGTTCATTATACTTCATTACCACCTCCTTAAAAAACATTTTTTAAGAGTGTCACAGCAGAATATTTCCCCCTTCTTTCCCCATATGGTTCTGCCCTACCCCAGGACTTCCAGCATGTGGCCTCCATGAATCTCTCCCACCCCCAAAAAATCCCACAAGCTTCTATTATGTCCTGCATTTACCATGCTCCTCTGCCTGTTTCCACAGTGGGCTGTTGCAACAACATACAGCTGCACAATGGAGGCTGTTCCATGAGGGCATTGCCCCGCCCCAACTTCTCAGCTGGCCCTCACCTGCCTGTCTTCCTACCTGCAGTCAGTGGGTGGCTGTGCTTGACGTTGGCTATGTCAGGCATAGGCATAGGCAAACTCCGGCCCTCCACATGTTTGGGACTACAGTTCCCACCATCCCTAGCTAACAGGACCAGTGGTCAGGGATGATGGGAATTGTAGTCCCAAACATGTGGAGGGCCGGAGTTTGCCCATGCCTGGGCTGTGTCTACTGCTGGTCTCCCTGCCTTCCAGCTTACCAGTCCCAGTGGGCAGTAATACCCACCACGGGACCCAGACTTCGTGGGAATGTTACCAGGACAAGGTCCGCCTCCCCTTTCCAGGCTGACTTTAACTGCCACAGAGGAGAAAGACGTCTTTAGAAATCTGAACTCGGGAGAACTCTGGCTGGCATCCTTTTGTGAGATTCTCCATGTGGGGAATGTGAATGGTACAGAGACTATATATATATATTCCTGGGGAGGAAGGATTGTGGCTTCCTCGGTAGTGCATCTGCTTGGCCTTTACAAGGTGTCAGGTTGAATCCCTGGCATTTCCAGTTAAAAAGGGGGAAACAGGTGCCCTGGAAGGCTGCTGCCAGTCAGAGTGGACTATACCAGGCTAGATCCACAGGTATTCTGAACTAGAATTAGGCACAGAAAACCCTGCCCCCTCCCTTTTCTCTTCTTTCATGGAACTCAAGGCGGCATACGTGGGGCTCCTCAGTTGTCTCCCATCCAGGCACAGGCTCAAAATTTGCTTAGCTTCAGCAAGGCAGCTGTATCATTTGCCCTCAAGCCATGCCCTAAGACCTGCCTGTGTTTTCCCTCTACAGAGAAGCTTTGGTATGGGCTGCCCACCTAACGCGGCCTCTCTTTGAAAACAAGACGAGGTTTGTTACCTCACCAAATTTTGCGCCGTTATTCTGAAGTGTGAGGTAAAAAGAGTTAAATACACACACTTGGAACATTTTATGTCTTTTTGGGTAAGGACCAGGGGCACAAGCCTGTTGGCTTAGCTCCTGGGAAATCTCCGGTCCAGATTTCACCTCGACCATCTAGCTTTCAGAAATAATAACGCTGACCTAACTTGTTGAGAAACTGAGAGAAAATATGTTGGGCTCTTTGAACACTTGAAGTGAGCGCCATAAATGCTAAATATAGAGCGTAGCGGTTAAGAGTGTGGTACTTGGACCTGGGGGACTTGGGTTCAAATCCCCGCTCTGCCACGAAGCTCACTGAGTGACCTTGGGCCAGTCACTGCCTCTCAGCCTCACCTACCTCACAGGGTTGTTGTGGAGTTTAAATGGGGAGACGGCAAGTTGAGCCTTGAACAACGCTTTAGTTTGTCATCACTCATAACGGGGGTGCTCCATTTGAAGGTACCTGTCAGGCACCTTTTCCAACAATGTTATCTCTTGTGTTATGAAACAGAGTGCCACACCCCCTACACCCTGTTATACTCTGATTTCCCATTTATTTTTCAAACTGACACTCTTAACATTTTGCAGCTACAGCTTTGGTTTTCCCTTCAATTTAAAAGAACATCCTCAAAAATAGATAAACTTCTGCAAACCTCTGTGTGCCCACAAACGTTATATTTCCCTCTTGCTTCCTAGTGGCCCCATTTTGGCTCCATCCACCATGGGGTGATTCCTGATTAGTATCCTTGGGCATCTGTTCGGTCACTCACTTTTTGTGTTGATTGACAGTGCTGGCTGTCAATGAGGCAGTGCCATTCAGGAATACACACCCACATTTCTGCAAATATCTTTTCAGTACCTATACACATACACCTGTCTCCTCCCCACCCTCCCACCCCCACCCCCCAGTGTTTATCTAAATTCTCTTCATTGTTGTCTGGCTATGTGTGTCAGTCAACAATTAGTTTTGTCTTTGATTTGTTTTATTTGCACTTTTGGTGATGGTAGTGGGCGGCTTCTTTAATCAGCTTGCAGAAGAGAAGTGGAAAGTTGTTGCAGGACTACTTGAGCTGCCTGCCATGCAAAGCGGAAGAGAGAACTGTGTTGCCTGTGTGTCTTGATGACAAAATTCTTTCCAGGCCTCAGACTTAGAGGGTTTGGTGCTGTGTCTTTTGCTTGACTTTTAATAATAATAATAATAATAATAATAATAAATTATTTATACTTCACCCATCTGGCTGGATTTCCCCAGCCACTCTGGGCGGCTCCCAACAGAATTAAAAGCACAATAAAACATCAAACATTAAAAACTTCCCTAAACAGGGCTGCCTTCAGATGTCTTCTAAAAGTCAGGTAGTTGTTTCATTTCCTTGACATCTGATGGGAGGGCATTCCACAGGGCGGGCGCCACTACTGAGAAGGCCCTCAGCCTGGTTCCCTGTAAACTCACATCTCGCAGTGAGGGAACCACCAGAAGGCCCTCAGAGCTGGACCTCAGTGTCCAGCCTGAATTATGGGGGTGGAGACACTCCTTCAGGTATACAGGGCTGAGGCTGTTTAGGGCTTTAAAGGTCAGCACCAACACTTTGAATTGTGCTCAGAATTGTGCTCAGGGTACATGGAGATGAGTCTAGATAGTATTCTGATCGTGGAGTTTGAGTGAGAGAGTGAATGGGACCACATGAGCTCTCTTGCTCTCAGTCAGTTGTGATTCCAGTTTAAGCGCTGTGGCGACTTCCAGGCACATACAGGTTGGGCATATGTTGTATATGTTGTACACTTAAAAACTGACACACAAAAACCTGCCAAGAGTCGGAGGACAATGTGTGGTATAAATGTTATTTTTATTTTCACACATACAAGAAAGAGGTAGGAGGGAACGCCACCAGTGACATACCACAAATATTAAAAATAGCTCTGGGTGAAAAATGTTCTGCTACCAAAACAGGGGTGGAACAGAAACCTGTCCAAAATGGAACATATATTGACAGCCTCCATGAAACTCCATAGCATCTGTCAAAGGAATTGGAAAAAAATTGTTATAGAGGCCACCTAAACAATTTGATAACACTTTAACATGGTTTCCCAATCTGGTGCCTTCCAAGGATGGTATTCAATTAGGTTTAACTCAGAGTAGACCTGTTGTAATTAATGCACCTAACTAAATCATGTTCCATCAGTTTCAGTGGGTGATTTAAATGAAATTAGTTGAATACCACCCTTTAAATTTTGGATTACCAATTCCAATCATTCCTAAGCATTGGCCATTGTGAGTGAGTTTGGAAATAGTTGGGAGTCTGGAGATTGGAGGAAAAGCTATGTTAGGCTGAGATCTCTATCAGGCCTAGCAGTTCAGACTCCCCTTGAATTACTCCAGTAATTCCAGAGGTCAAGCATTTGGGATTTCCCTAGTGGAGCTCATGTAACTCTGCTCTTCATCACAGTTGGTTTGCCAAATATTTGCTAGTTCCGCATGTGTCATGATCTTGGTTTTCTTCTGCACCGAGTTCTGCCTTGCCACAAGTCCCCAATTTGTTCTTTGAAGCAAAGGGGGATTTCCTGTGTGCTGCCTTGGCTTGTTTCCTTCGTTAGAGGGAAGTGGCTGCTGGATGCAGCAAATCTAATTTGCGCTGGGAGGAAGGGAACCTGGTTGCTGCGTTAGGACAAGGGGACAGTCCCCGATCACTAAGAAACCACTAAAAACAAAAGTCCCAATTTATGAAAGAGAGGCCTGTGAGTTGATATTAGCCTTGGTAAACCAAATGGAGACGCATGAATAGAGGCAATGTACCTCTTGATTGTTGGTAGCCTGGAACAGGGCATGACTGTTACATTCTACTCAACCCATGCGCTTCCTATGGCATCTGGCTGGTCACTCTTGAAAATGAGTGTTGAGCTAAGTGGCCTGACCCAGCAAAGGAATTTTTTGCAGTGCACACCTGTATATCTGTATTCAGAAGTATGCCCACTTTAAATTCAGTGGGGATTACTCCCAGGAAAGTGGTTATGAGATTGCAGCCTAAGTCATCTTGCATGCAGGAAAGCAGGAGGGGTGGAGAGAATCAAGATTGTTCGTACATCTGGCTATGGATTATTGTTAGCTTTTCCCACCTCGTACAGTGGTACCTCGGGTTACGAACTTAATTCGTTCGGGAGGTCCGTTCTTAACCTGAAACCTTTCTTAACCTGAGGCGTGCTTTCGCTAATGGGGCCTCCCGCTGCCGCCACGCCGCCACCACGCGATTTCTATTCTCATCCTGGGGCAAAGTTCATAACCCGAGGTACTACCGGTTTAGCGGAGTTTGTAACCTGAAGCGTTTGTAATCCAAAGTGTTTGTAACCCGAGGTACCACTGTATGTCTGATAATAATAATAATAATAATAATAATAATAATAATAAATAGAATTTATATACCACCCTATACCTGGAGGTCTCAGGGCGGTTCACAGAAAAGATCAACTTAAAAAACGCCATATATATAAACAAAATAAAAACAACAACCCAATAACACCCCCCTGCTTTATACATTGTATAAACAAAGTAACATGCAGTGGCAGCCTCCAAAATTCTGCACTGATAATTCTGTGCTAAAGAAAGTGAATTCTGGGATGCAAATAATCATATGTGTTTATCATTTAGGGTTATTTATCTTGTTGTTGTTGTTGTTTCTTACCCTGCCTCTCACCTCAGAGTCCCAGGGTGCGTTACAACAATTTAAATATACAATATTTAAAATCGGAGCAAACAGAAACAAATTTGTTTTACAAAGCTATTCTGCTTCTTTTAGTCTCCGAAGAAAGGAAGAACAAGAAAAAGAACAGTATAGAGAGAAGCAAAGGGGGGGCTCCAGGCAACCATTTTTCCTCCCTGTTGTTAATTGTGGAGGACTCAGGATTCCTTGCAGATCTCCCCCACTTGGGTCAGCAGAGTTATTTGTGTAGCTGCAGTAAAATCTGCACTGACTCTGAGATTCCAGTTGAAAATGGATGAAGGGGCCGCAACTGTTGTGTGGAATGTTTAAGCCACTTTGAAGATCAAAGCTGAGGTGCTGCTACAGGACTGATATATTATCTAGGCAGACACTTCTTAAAGGCAGAAAGTAATTTTCCGTTTCTAGGCTCGCGTGGCTTCTTTCTGTTGTTATCTTCAGATTTGCGCACCAGATAGCTGTATCAGATACAACGTAGTACAAATTAACATCTTGCCCTGCTTCTGGGGAAACATATACCATATCTGTGGTAATTACTTCACAGACATTAGCAGCAAGAAGAATAGGAAAGGAAGGAGAATGCAACAAGACCATAGTTAATGTATAAATCCGCACACTCCCACCACCACTAAGAAAACCCCTACCAAGCTCTGGTCTGAAGTAAAGATTAAGCAGGACGTCATGCTGATGCGTTAAGAAGCCATGGTTTCGGTTTCGTACTGTCATTGAACTAATCATCCTGAGCGACTAGGACAGGGGAGGGGACCTTTTTCTACCTGGAAGTTTTCGCAGAACCTTGCAGGAGCCACAAGCCAGAAGTGGGTGTTTCTAAGACAAAAGTGGTTAGAAACAATGGAAGGTCTTTTATCTTGATACAGTAGAGCAGACTTCCTCAACCTCGACCCTCTAGATGTTTTGAGACTACAGTTCCCATCATCCCTGACTACTGGGCCTGCTAGCTAGGGATCATGGGAGTTGTAGGCCAAAACATCTGAAGGGCCGAGGTTGAGGAAGCCTGCAGTAGAGGCTATCTACCAGCCGCACAAGTCTTACACACATCGCCCTTTCTATCCTCCATCAAAACAAGGAAGAGATACAGTATTGTCATTGTGCAAGGACCCATTCTGTCAGGGGAAAACACTCTGTACAGAGCAGGGCTACTGAGGGGGCGTGGCCAGGAAGAGTCCCAAAGACCGGTGAGAGGGGCTACATTTAGCGCCCCCCCCCCCGGCCCAAGTTTCCCCATACCTAAACTCTGAGAAAAAGAACTGGATGTAGTTTAACTTGACATGAAAAAATACATTTATGAATCGCTAATAGGAATGTCTGTCTATTTAGTTATTTATTTAGAAACCCTTTGTGTTTTAAGTTTAGGCTGGTTTGCAATTGCATTTACGACTTTTAAAGGAAGTGTTCCATCTTGGTGGAAATAGCCCGGTGCACCAACTTGCTTGTAAAAAAGAAAAATGTTCTGTGTGTTCCTAGGTTTCCAGATTCAGTGGCCAAGATGGCACAGTGGAACCAGCTGCAGCAGCTGGACACCCGGTATTTGGAGCAGCTCCACCAGCTCTACAGCGACAGCTTTCCAATGGAGCTGCGGCAGTTCCTTGCGCCCTGGATAGAGAGCCAGGACTGGTGAGCCATTGGACTTTTCTCAGTATTTGTGTCTGTGTACACCCACACAGAGAAACTGAGTGGCTGGCTTTGAGTGAGATCCTTAGGAAAAATTAAAAGGGGGTGTTCTGATGGAAACAAATTTTGTTGCACAGTAAAATGCCATTCTTTAATTGGTTGACCCAGGGATGCTCAGCCTCTCTCTTCTTGGAGACCCAGAGCATGGCCATGCATGTATTGCACTATGCAAACTGACCCCCATATGCATGATCAAGTTAAGAGGCTTTTTAGTGGTGGAGGGTCACCACTGAAGCAAGGTTCCCATCTCTATAGAGTCTTAGTGCTGCCCAGTCAGTATGAAAGAGGGAGCTTTTCAGCCACTGAGAAGAAGTCTTCTCACACTTTGTGCTGATTGGAGCCAATCAAAGTGAAAGGAGAGAAGTCAGCCATGAGGATTAGCTCCTAGGGTCACTCTGGAGGAAGCTGAGGTCACTGAGGAGGAGTTGTGCTGTTTGCTCCAAAAGTAACATGATGAAAGTGTGGAGTTATTTCTTCCTTGCAATCTTTCTTTCTTGCATTTTTTTTTAAAACACCAACTTGAACAATATTTTGCAGAGAGACATTGAGGGCCAGGCAAAACTGCTCTGGGGATTGAACCTAACCTACAGGCTGCTGGTTTAATGATCTAGATCAAGGGTGAGGAATCTTTGGCCCTCCAGATGCTGTTGGGACTCCCAATTCCCATCAAGCCCAGCCAGCACGATTAATGGGCAGGGATGATGGGAGTTGGAATCCAACAATATCATGGGGGGGGGGCACACACACAAGCTCCTAATCCCTGATCTAAATGCTCAAACCATCATGACCTTCCAATTGGCATCCTGTAAATTCTTTATTATGATAAAGCAATGTGGCTTATAGCTGAAATCCTGAGATTTCCAAGAACCTTCACTTTGTGGGCGTATTCTCTTGAGCAAGAGTTTGCTCTTGATTACGTTCTTGCAAAACTCGCTGGAAATTCCCAGAAACCTTTTTGCCTCTTGAAAAACATACAGAAGCTTCCTGATATTAATTGTGCTTCCTGTTTCTAATGGAAGAAGTGGCATTTGTGGAATGAAACCGAGAGGAGATTCCTGGCCTCCGGAATCGCCTCCTCTGTTTCCAACATTGTGACTGAGAGGTGCTGTTAATTATGAAGCCAAAGCTTGGATTAGTGTCCAGAAGTACAAAAAACACTTTGGGGAGGGGGACAATATAAAGATGTGAGTGTTGATACCCCAAACCAGCCCGATGAGGACCTGAGAATGCTGGCTGGTTGGGGCATAGGAGGATGGGAATCCCACTCTGATCCCATTATAGACAGTCATGACTTCTCCTAAATAATTCTGGGAGCTGTAGTTCTTTAGAGAGTTGTTATGCGCCCCTATTCCCTACCCAGAACTACAATTCCCAGGGTTCCCTGTGAAGGGGGACTGATTGCTAAATTCTGAGAATCATACAGAATTGTAGAGCTGAAAGGGGCCCTGAAGATCGTTTCGTCCACCCCCTGCAATCCAGGAATATGCAGCTGTCCCATAACGGTGATTGAATCTGCAACTTTGACATTATCAGAACCAATGGAAATATCCAGGATTGTAGCTCCGTGAGGGGAATAGGCTTGACTGTGTTAAAGTAGTATAATAGCACTTCAAATGTGTGGTGCGGACGTGGCCTGGTGTGAAGAAGGAGCACTTGGCACTACAGTGTTGTTGTTTTTTGTCATGCCCCGGGCGCTGTTTTTGTTAAGCCTTGTTTCCTTCTGATCTGTACAGGGCCTATGCTGCCAGCAAGGAGTCCCACGCCACGTTGGTGTTCCACAACCTCCTGGGTGAAATTGACCAGCAGTACAGCCGCTTCTTACAGGAATCCAATGTCCTCTACCAGCACAACCTGCGCAGGATCAAGCAGTTCCTGCAGGTAGGAGGAGCTGGCAGGTCCTGGGTTTGGGAGGGTCTTGTGTTTTGTGGGCACCCGCACCCCCCCAAAAAAGTGCCAACCCAAGTCATAAAACTCGGGAGATGGGAATGATGGTGTTCAATCCACTCTTGACAGGAGGCAGTGCTGAAGGTCACCAACTTAGATGGCTTCAAAAGAGGATTGGACAGATCCATAGAGGAGAGAGCAATCGATGGCTACTAAGTTGGATTTATAGGAACTACTACAAACTATCTGAAAGAGTAGGATGGCGGGAGAGCGTTGGATTTTGTCCTTGCATAGAGCGTCACTGAAATTTGCAAGGCCAGATTTGATGGAATAGTTTGATGGTTTAGGGAACTCTTAATAGCACAGATTAAAGAGAGATGTTGAGCCCTGAGCTTGGGAGTAATGCCCACGACAGGCTTATTTTAGCTTTTACGATGACATCCTGTTGGACATAAATTCTCGGCTGCTCATGCTGGGCACCCAGCATATATTTTCACCTGCTGCCCTGAATCTGAAACCAGCACGTAACACTTCTTTTACGTGCTCCCATAGAAGAAGTGCCCAACTGCCCCGTCACTGCATTCCTCCAAATCAAGGCTGGGTTTCTTAAGAAAAGTTTGGCATCTTCACCTAGGTTTTGCTCTCTGTGTGTGGCAGTCACTCATTCCGTTCCCGTTCCTCTTCCTCTCTTACAGAGCAGGTACCTGGAGAAGCCCATGGAGATTGCCCGCATTGTGGCCCGCTGCCTCTGGGAGGAGAACCGGCTGTTGCAGACAGCAGCCACGGCAGCCCAGGTAAGAGGATGCTTTCGGGAGCAGCTTGTCCCGCAGTTGCCATCAGTTCCCGTAAGGGACTCGCCAGCCGCGTGGGTGTTTAGAACACGAGCCAAGCAGTGAATCACATTGATGGCTCTTGGTGCAAATACACCGTGATCAGTGCATCCTCCTATGTCCATATGCTGCTATTGCTGTTTGCAGCAGGGAGGGAGAAACCTGGGACCCTCCAGAAGTTGTCGGGAGTACGGCACACACACCATCCATTGAACACGCTGGCGGGGGCTGACGGGAATTGGGAGGCCCAACCCGTTCCCTGTCCTTGGGTTATAAGGGGCAAAAAGCTTGATGGCTGACACAACGGGCATTTCCTTTGATGTTTCTTCCAAAGCCTACACCTTTGCATGCCAGGAAGCAGTGCCTCGCAGCTAGGGTAGCACACACCACCCCAAAACAGGTCCCTGCACGCTTTTGCCTCGGTTGCCGCAACACGCCTTGAGCTTTTCCCTTGTCAATATTTCTTTTCTGCGTTCGGGTTTGAAATGCAGCCATTTTTTAATTCTGTGGCTGGAACGGTTGAAAGGCAGCGTGGTCTTGCAGGTGTTGGCCCCCCAGGGTGGATCATTCAGCACAGTATTTCCTTTTGCCATGAGACAAGCCTGTGCAGCTGTATGCTACTGAGCAGAGCAAATGGCTCGCTGGCCTGTGCCAGCTTGAAGCTTCACCATGGGGATGGGGGTGGTGGTGGGAGGAAGCAGCACCAAAAGAGCTCCTGCACTGACATTATCCTCTTTCCTTGAGTGAGCACACTCAGAGGTGAGTGAGTGCAAGTGGCCAATGCTAGGCATCTCTGGGGGTTCAGTCAACACACCCACACCCCGTGGCTTCTTGTTCACCCTTTTTTATTATGCAGCTCAGCTGTTTTCTCCTAGGCAAAGTCAAAGAGGTCTTTAAATGCCACTCCCAGCACTCATCAGGATTTTCTCTGTGGACATCTCAGGGCTTCCTCTGATTTGCTAATGTCTCAGTCTGGATCAGAATGTATTTACCATGTGATAGTCTCTCCCAGGTTTGCTCTTCTTAAAAAGAATGAAAGAAATTGCAGCCATGAAGGGCCTCAGCCTGAATCAAGGCAACAGCAGGAGGCTGGCTTTCCCTCCTTCTCATTTGCTGTTTTCTTCAGAAGGTGTAATTTGCTGCAATGGCCCCTTCAGAAGCAAATAGCAGGGGGGTTTTGGGAGGGGGGAAGGGTGCTTACAGTATGAAAACGGCACAGGCGGAAATGTCAGGTGTTCCTTTGCTGTGTGTCGTCGTCCCAGTCTGTGTTGGGGAACAGAACTCCCTGCAGATGCAGGTTGAAAAATGCATGAAAAGGTAGGATAGATGCGTAATAAAAGGAACCGCCTGCCTGTCTCATACCATGGGTCAGAGAGAAGCCCTTTGCCAGATACAGGGGCACTGTTGGTGGAACCAACACTGCTAGCACTCCCACCTCTGCTTAACTCCCAGTGTGTCCCCTGTTTTGACAAGACATGACAAAACGCTGGCTAGACACCCCCCAGGGGAAAACGCTGCCACCTCTAAACTGGCTGGCTTGTTGCGGTGTTCAGGAATGAGGCAGGTGCCAAGGCATGCTGCCTGATTGCTCCTGCTTTGCACCTTCCTGGCAGGAACGGGGATAGGTGAGCCAGGATGCTTCCTGCTAATGCCCAAATGTTTTGTTTGGTTTGATGACCCGCAGCCATGTTCAGTTGTTGATTTGTGGCTTGTGTGGGAACAAAAATTAAACCAGGCCCAGATTCGGATGTAGCAGGAAGCCACAGAGCCTCCGGGGTTTTTTTACCCCATTCACACTGGGGAGGAGCAAGGGAGGAACAACCTGATAGCATGTACCCGGCAAAGGGACACACAGCTCAGTGGATGAGTAGACAGTCCAAGCTCTGGCAGGGCTGGGAATGTCCCTTGCCTGAAATCCAGGAGAGCCATTGTCAGTCAGGCAGAGGATACCGAGCCAGGTGGACCGGTGACCAGAGCTCAACGTTCACGTGTGTGTTCCTGATAAGTTACAGTAAGCCAGAAAGTCTGGTTTATTACATTTACACCCGGCCAAAACTGATTTATGAACTTCTTTTATATGACTTAAAATCTCTTAATGCCTTATCTCTCTCCTCCTCCCCGCTTTAATACAGCAAGGTGGGCAGGCAAACCACCCTACGGCTGCCGTGGTGACGGAGAAGCAGCAGATGCTGGAGCAACACTTGCAAGATGTCAGGAAAAGGGTGCAGGTAGGTGGGAGAGCTGCCTCGCTCTCTCTCTCTCTCTCTCTCTCTCTCTTGCTCCAAAGTTTCAAGCTTGCCTAGAGTTTGTGACTCCTCCCCAACCTTCTATTCCTTGGCTTTTTCTTGCAGGACTTGGAGCAAAAGATGAAAGTGGTGGAAAACCTCCAGGATGACTTTGACTTCAACTACAAGACCTTGAAGAGTCAAGGCGGTAGGTGGGAACATGCTGGGGAAAAGGGGATAACAACTTTTCCATCGTGGCAAATTCATGGATGGGGAGATGCCCTTCTGTCCTCATCCTTTGGGGAGCAAGGGTGCTCGTGCAGCCCAGGCGCTTAACTTTCCTTTTAAATCAGGGGAGCCTCTGGCCTGCAGACTTCACGAGGCATGCCTGGCCTCAGCGCTGGGTCTGCCAGGGCATTTCTGCCAAGCCACACCGGCCTGCTTCACTCCCGATGTCGGGTTGCGGGGCAGGTAAGGATGCGCTGAGCCAAAAGGGGTTTGCAAAGCCCTCTATGCAGTGCTCCAAAAAACACACCAGTGAACTGATAGCCAGGCATCACACTTTCACGTGAGCTCTGCAACTTTGGGTGGGCAAACGTCATTCACCTGACACCATCGCACACCTGTCACACTTGGCATGCAGAGGTTGGGTGGGTGAAGATAATAATCTGGCCTGCTGGCCAGATCCAGTTCACCACCCCTGTGAACCTTGTAGACTGGCTGCAGTTCTCACCAGGAACATGATGCCCATCATCTCCCGAATCTGTCCTACATGGGGCTGCTGAAGAGGAACAGGATGCCCAACTGCCTGAAAAAGGAATTAGGCCAGCCTTTCTTAATCTGGTGCCCCTCTGTCTTTTGCTTTAGACCAGGCATAGGCAAACTCAGCCCTCCAGATGTTTTCGAACTACAAGTCCCATCATCCCTGACCACTGGTCCTGTTAGCTAGGGATCATGGGAGTTGTAGTCTCAAAACACCTGGAGGGCCAAGTTTGCTTATGCCTGCTTTAGACTATAGCTCCCACCATCCCTGGCCATTGGGCCATAATGGCTGGGATAGGTGGGAGTTGGGAGTCCCCAACAGCATCTGAATTAGGCTGACCAAAACAGGTGTGCAGAGGGGAAGAACTAAGAAACTCCAGGAGCCTCTGACATGTTTCCCTGCCCCTCTCCCGCTGCTTTTCTTTAGACATGCAGGACCTGAACGGGAACAACCAGTCGGTGACGCGGCAGAAGATGCAGCAGCTGGAGCAGATGCTGACAGCCCTGGATCAGATGCGGAGGGTAAGTAAAGGCGGCTCCTCCCCAACTCCAAAAAAACCCCACCTGAACTGCTATCGACTAAGGCAGAATGATGCGGGATATGCCTGGTTTTGCAGCATGTGGCCCGGTAGAAAAGCATCTAGCTTTAGCACAGAGCTTCCTCCATGCTGAACACTGCTGCTTATAGCAAGCCAAGGGGGCGATGCCCTTTGGGCATTGCCTTTCTGTCTCTAATAGGAACGAGTCACACACCCATGATTATTTAACTCCGCATCTCTTGGCCAGGTGACTTGGATGTGCAAGCTGGCTCCATTTCAGACAACAACATTTCAGATTTCCTTACTTGATGCAAAAGTCTCCGCCTCTGGTGTTCACCGCTATCATACATGAAAACCACGGAGAGGCAAGTTTGCATGTAAACAGGGGAAGCGGAATGGAGTCCTGAATGTTGCCTATTTCCTTCCTCACCTAGGGGATTGTGAGCGAGCTGGCTGGGCTCTTGTCAGCCATGGAGTACGTGCAGAAGACGCTGGTCGACGACGAGTTGGCTGACTGGAAAAGGAGGCAGCAGATCGCATGCATTGGTGGCCCACCCAACATCTGCCTTGACCGCCTAGAGAACTGGTGAGAGCTGAGTGCCCTTGACTGCCTACTACCTTTCCAAGGCTTACAAAGCAAGAATCTGGTTGAGAGTGGATTGTCCTTACTTTAATACACCTCAAAGCAGAGGAGGGTGTTAGGAGCCACAGAGCAGCATTGACCTAATGTGGAAGACAGAACAGGCAGGGCAAAGACCAAATTCGGCCCTCCAGTTCCCTCTGTTTGGCCCTTGGACAGGCTGCTGCCTGTCAGAGCAAGTACTGGGCTTAGCTGAGCCATAGTGGTCCTTTGCTTGCATAGATTTGCATGGAAGGTGGCACTGGTGAGGTTTCCCAAAGGGGAGCGCACAGCTGTTCAAAAGCATTATCAAGACAATGTCCAGTTAACACAGTAGTATTGTTTTCTTTTTAAGACACGTCTGTGTGTGTGTGTGTGTGTGTAGCTCACTTTCTTCTCCCTTGCCGCAGGATTACGTCTCTTGCCGAGTCGCAGCTTCAGACCCGCCAGCAGATCAAGAAGCTCGAGGAGCTCCAGCAGAAGGTCTCCTACAAGGGCGACCCCATCGTTCAGCACCGGCCCTTGCTGGAGGAGCGCATCGTGGAGTTATTCAGGAACCTCATGAAGAGGTATGCTGGCCTGCTGCCCTTGCATGTATGGGAAAGGTGCCATCCCCTGAGGCTGCGGGGTGGGATGCTGCTGCCGAGAGCATGTTCATCTGGGAACCTTCTGCTGAATCTGGAAGTTTGGACCAGCACCCAATTCCCACCACTGAACTCTCTCTCTCTCTCTCTCTCTCTCTCTCTCTCTCTCTCTCTCACCACCCCCACCCTGCCCACAGTGCATTTGTGGTGGAGCGCCAGCCCTGTATGCCAATGCACCCGGATCGCCCACTGGTTATCAAAACTGGAGTACAGTTCACAACAAAAGTGCGGTGAGTTGTTGGTGTTGTGTGTGCGCATGCATTATATGGGGCGGAGGGTCAGCTATATGTTGCTGAATGTTGCAAGGCTTAGGGCAGATAAAATAAAGTAGTTCTTTACGTGGCCTGTAGTCAAACTGTGGAACTCACTCCTGCAGGAAGCAGTGATATGCCACCAACTTGGATGGCTTTAACAGAGGGTTGGGCAAATTCATGGAGGAAGAGAGGGCTGTCATTCTAGCTAGGATGGCTGTGCTCTGCTTTCCACGGTTGGAGGCAGCAGTACTTCTGAATACCAGTTGCTGGAAACCACAGACTCTTGTGCTCGAGTCCTCTGTGCGGCTTTCCTCTTGGGGTATCTTGTCAGCCACTGTGAGAACGGGATGCTGGACTAGATGGGCCATTCACCTGATCCAGCAGGCTGTTCTGATGTTCTGCGTACCTTCTACACTTAAAATTCTGCGTCAGAAAATCGGCATTCTGCAACAGTATAAATTATACAGACTTTGCGTTTATGTGCTTGGCTTTTCAAATTTTATTCCACTTCTGCTAGGCTTGGGGAGAGGGGCAAAGTGGGGAAAAGACAGGGAACCTCATGTGCTGTTGGGAATCTTTCTCAGCCTCTCTTTCCTCCCTACTCACAACCGCCTCCCATTCTAGCTTCTGAGGCTTAAACTGGGCAATACCCACATATTTTCAAGTTTGTTAGTACAGCCTAGAAACTTGTTTTTTGTCTCCTCTTCCCCCAAAAAGGTGTAGATGGGATTCTCAAGCACAGTGCGATTAAGCATCACAGTGGTGATGTATTGAAGCTCTCTTGCCTGAAAAGCATCTGTACACAGTGAAACTAGTTTCAATGGACATGGACTGTGTTCTCCTTATTAACCTGGTGCCCCTTCCAAGGGGCAGCTGCTGCCCCCCCAACCCCCATTTGGAGCATATGAATAGCATATGAGGGTTAAGGGTGCACGAAGAAAGGGTGAGATTTGTGTTTTTGGAAGCTAACGTGAAGTTTTGACTTCTGCAGGTTACTGGTTAAATTTCCTGAGCTGAACTATCAGCTGAAAATCAAAGTTTGCATTGACAAGTAAGTCCAGCCCTTTTCATGAACAAACTTGAGGGCAGGGATTGTGGGCAGAGGTTCCTTTAAATATATATAACTGACTTTCTGGCTCACGCTGGTCAAACCATGGCTTAGTGCTGGCTCCTGGGGGTTGGGTAGATCATGATTGCTTTGCTCCACCTCTGATCCTGCTGTGCCGCTGTGAGCTGAGCCTTGGTTTGCCTGAGTGTTTCACCTGCATCCATTCTTATGGTTTGTCCCGTTTCAGACAAACCATGAGCTGTAACAAAGGTTTGTCCTTGGATCTTTTGCAGCTCATGATTTGCCCCTGGGCTCTTTATAGTTCGGAGTTTATCCAGAGGAGAGAAACCACCAGCCCCAGTTTGAACAGCGCTCTTAAGCCAAAACTATGTCTTAATTTGTAGCAGTGCCAGAGGAAGAGCACAGTGACCACAGCTTCCTATGTAGGAACACCTTGGTACTGAGCCAGCTCTCCCTGCCCATCCTGAAAAAGAGATCAGTTCTTCTGATCCCAAAGTGTGGCAATGATCTTTCCTGGAAGGGGAGGAGAGGCACAGCCCAAACCTGTAAAGCTTGTCTGCTGCTGCTGCAGCTTGAGAGGCCTTTGCAAATGTTATTCCTTTAATTATTATGAATATTGATTTGGCTCAGGTTTTGGGTTTGGCGCGGTCTTCAGCCTGCCTACCCGCATTCCCTTAAAAGTAGGGAGGAAGCCCTTTCTTTTCACCTCTGCCCCACAGAGCCCCAAGACCTTTCCCCCCACAAATGCAGGGGTGAAGAAATCTCTGGCCCCTCCACTTGGACCCCAGCATCTGCAAGCTTGGCCAGTAATCGGGAGGTGACGGGTGACAGGGATTTGTAGTCCAGCAACAAGCGGAGAAGGCCTCAGGCCAGCCACCCCTGCTCTAATACCTTCCAGTGATGGCATTGCTGTTGTTATTATTATGCTGACTTCTCTGCCAAACCACACCCTGTCCCTCCTGCGGCAGGGGGTGGGTGGAATTTAGGGCTGTTCAAGCGGTGTGCACACACTACAGGTGCTGAGCCAAGGGGGGGCAGCCATTTCAAAGCCCAGTAAGTTGGGCACTGGGCGTTGGACCTCTCACCTCCTTCCCAAAGCCTAGATAGCACTTTCCCAGTTTGGGGAAGGAGGTCAGAGGAAGGAGGTCTGAACGTGCCAATTTGACTCTCTTGCTCTTTTTCCTGTCACAGGGATTCCGGTGAAGTTGCTGCCCTCCGGGGGTAAGTTGAAGGCACTGCACCCTGTGGCTTCCTCTGCTGAGATGCATCTCATGGTTTGCAGGCAGCTGCGCTTTGTTTGGGAGGAGGAGGGCAGGACCATTTCATTAGTAGTAAAATAATTTGATTTTAAACCATTATATTCAGTTGCTCATTCGCCTTTTAGGGCACAATGGCTGCCCATCACCACCACGTTCAAGGCAATAGCTGTAAAAAGCAGGGCAAAACAATCATCCAGTTAAAACCCATTAAAACCGAGCACTTAATAAAAAGCAGACCAAAATAAAAATCAACATTTTGTTGGGGGGAATAACCGGAAAAATGCCATTTCCAAAGGCTTGTAAAGAAGGGGACCACTAGCGTTTTCTGGGGTGGGGTACAGCGGCAGAATCTGCTTCCGCAAAATGACCACAAACTTGGATGGCTTTAAAAAAGGGGGGGTTAGGCAAAATCAGGGAAGATGAGGGCGGTCACGGGCTTTTGTGTGCTAGAGACAGGATGTCCCCGAACATCAGTTTAGCTGGGAATTGCATTTTGGGGAGAGTGCTCTAGTGCTTGAAAGCTGCTTGCAGCGTCCGGCTGGCCGCAGTGAGTACACGTCACTGGTCTGATCCAGAGTGGCTGCTCTTTACATACAGTTGGTGATGGTTAATAATGGTTAAAACTCTCTCAAGGCACTCCTCCCATTCCCCCCCCTCCCGCTTTGCCCATCAAGGTCCCGGAAGTTTAACATCCTGGGCACAAACACCAAAGTGATGAATATGGAGGAGTCCAACAATGGGAGCCTCTCTGCAGAGTTCAAGCACCTGGTGAGTGACACAGCATCTTTCTCCTCCTTTGCCCCCCAAAACACTCCCTGGATGCATAGTGTGTCTAATTTATCTCTTTTTTTATCTCTCTCTCCCTCACCCCCCAATCACAGACGCTGCGGGAACAGAGGTGTGGTAATGGCGGAAGAGCAAACTGCGACGTGAGTGACCCAACGCAGCACTGCTGGTGTAAAATGAAATGTTTGAGAGCAGGAGTAGTTACTTCTCTTCCTCCACTGGGAAGTGCTAGTGGCAGAAATCTGTTCCGGGGATGTCCCTTCTCTCTCCCCCCACCCACCTCCTCACCATCCTCATTCCTCTAGGTTTTCTAAACCATGCCCCTAAATTGTTTACAGACAAGTTATCTCTTGCGAAAGAAAAAGACCAACCCTTGGGAATGGGGAAGTGGTCTCTTTTAGGTTTGACTTTAGGGAAGATCAGTCCTGTGAGCACCTTTTCAAAGGCTGATTCCTTTGTTTGTCTCTCCGCTTAAGCCTAGCTCAGCAGAACTAAAAACGAAACCAAAATTGCAAGTTGCTGCTGTGTTTTTTCCAAAGGGACAAAAAATATATACCCTAGAGAAATATTTATTATCTTCCCCCGCATTTACTCTCCACTTCCTCCTCAGGCCTCCCTCATTGTCACAGAAGAGCTCCATCTCATCACCTTTGAGACAGAAGTTTACCACCAAGGCCTGAAGATTGACCTAGAGGTGAGCCCTGGTTGTGCCGATTCCCCACAGTCCACCCACTTTACAGGGGTGTGGCGTGTGTGGGTGTGTGTTACAGTTGCACTGGGAATCTACCCTGCCAGAAACCTTCTTTTGTAGTGCTGGTGTGGGTTTCTTGTTGGGAGTTTTCTTTCAGCAGAAATTAAGGAAAGAAACCATATCAGTAAACTACAACCTACAATTTGCATCCGCAACAATGCTCAAGGGTAGCAGCTTCCAGAAAAATGGAGAGGGGAGGAAACGGACAACTCCTATTTTGATGGAGGATGCAGAGCTGTTTGCATATTTCCTTTCCTGTTCCCTCTTTCGAAATAAGAGGAACAGCCCGTTCATGAGCTGCCATTGACCAGAATCAGAGCATTCACCCAGTTAGCTCAGCATTCCCTGCACTAAGAATGTGATGTTCTCCAGATGGTTGTTGAACCACAGCTTCCATCAGCACCAGGCGGCATGGCAAATGGTCAGGGATCATGGGAGTTCAAGTGTGAAGCATCTGGAGAGTTGGCTGCCCCTGGTCTACACCGACTGGCAGTGTCTCCCCAGGGTTTCAGGCAAGGAGTCCTTCTCAGCCCTATCAGGAGATGCCAGGAATTGATCCTGGGACCTTCTGCATACAATGCAACTGCTGCACCCCTGAGCTGTTAGCCATCGCACTATGCATTGGAATACTTGCGATGGCTCCAAGTTAAGGGGTTGCCCAGTATCCAAAACGTGGACCCCAAATCATGAAAACCTAGACTGACAACACCCATGAAAAACAACTCAGAAAAACTGGTCAGACTGAAACAATGAAGGCAAACTCTAGAGATAAATTCTCTTGTTGAGTCTCTTAAACCTAACTGCTTGTTGCATGCCTTCTTCCACCTCCCTTTTCCCTTATGGCCATACCAGCATTTGCAGCTTGCTTCACTGCAAGAGTTGCAAAGGGGTCCCACGAGTCTCCCTACCTGAAGACGATTAACTTCATAACGATGCATAAGGACTAGAAACTTGGTGGTTTGGTCTGCTGTGAAGCAGGAGCCCGGGGGTGTTTCCTGTTGCCCAGCAGAGACCTGAAAAAGAGAGAGGCTAGTCTGTGTGCTCAAGAGCTGCTGTCTTTCCTTCCATGTAGACCCATTCCCTCCCTGTGGTGGTGATCTCCAACATTTGCCAGATGCCCAACGCCTGGGCGTCCATCTTGTGGTACAACATGCTGACAAACAACCCCAAGGTACGTTGAGTTTCCCAAACCTTGCATGGACAAAAGAGAGGGTGAGAGAGCGAGAGCAGGAGGGTGTTTTATTTGTTTTTCGCCTGGGTGTGTTGTTTGTTCCTGATTGTGACCGAGTCCTTCTCTTGGCAGAATGTCAACTTCTTCACCAAACCACCCATTGGCACTTGGGACCAGGTGGCCGAAGTGCTCAGCTGGCAGTTCTCCTCCACCACCAAGCGAGGGCTCAGCATAGAGCAGCTGACGACACTGGCAGAGAAACTGCTTGGTAACTTAACAAGCTCCTCTCCTTCTTATACGTGGGCCAACAGCAGGAAACCTTGATCAGCAGCGCAAGGGCCACATGCCCTTCCAGGCAACTTTCCGGGGGCCACTTTGCCAGGGGTGGACAGGGCCGGAAGCAGAAACAAATGTGGATGTTACCTTTGTGCCGTAAGCTTCCACCTCGGAACATGCCCCTCTCTGCCCTCCTGTCCAGGCAACCATCAAACTTTGGCAGCACTTTCTCGTCAGGCAAAAACACTCAAGGAGTGTGAAGCAGATCCTGTGAGGGCTGTGGCCTTGAGGGAAGTCCAGAGGGCCTGAAGGGGCATGAGGTTCCCCATCCCTGATGTGGGTCATAAGGAGTTGCTGTCTTCCCATCTGAGCTACCCAGCCTAGGGGTATTGGCTCTTAACTGGGAGAGGAGCCTTGCCCAGGTGCACAACCAGAAATCCTTTTTTAGCTGTGCGATTCAAACTTGGGACCAAAGCATGTGCAAAAAGTGTTGGCATGTTGAATGCCTGGAAGCCAAAATATCAAATATTCAAGTTGGCGTCAGTTTAGAAAAGCCCAGGCAAGTCTTTTAAGAATAGCGTGTGTGTTAAACTTTCCCCCTAAGTGTGCCTCCTTTTAAAAATGCCTTTCCTCCAAGGAACACGAGGTGACAGACATGTGGATGTGTACACACACACACACACTTATCCTCACAACAACCTTGCATAATAGGTAAGGCTGAGAAGCAGCAACTGGCCCAAGATCCCCAGTGTACTTTGTGGCTGACAGGGGTGCCAACTTGAACAAAATATGTGGGGGGGGGCAAGTAGGCCCCCTCCCCATAATAAATCACATGATGCGGTGCACGCATACCATTTAAATGGCAATGCCCAACAACTTTAGGGGTGCAGCCCCCTCAAATGGGGGCTGAAGGGGCCTTGGCCTCTATGCCTTGGCTCCAATGGTGGCTGAGGGGTGGGGATGGGTGGGATTTGAACCTGGCCCTTTAGGCCCTCGCCTGAGGCTCAGACCACTACACCAGCTCTCTTTAACGACTTTTCTTCCCTCTCACTCTACAGGCCCTGGCGTCAATTACTCCGGATGTCAGATAACATGGGCGAAGTTCTGCAAGGTAGGGGCTTCTGGAAAGCTTAGGTGCGGCCTTGGGTGGGGCCCAAGGTGCACCTGCCGTTTTGTTCATGCGGGGGGAACCTTTGCTTTTATCGCTGCAGGAGAACATGGCAGGCAAAGGATTCTCTTTCTGGGTCTGGCTGGACAACATCATCGACCTGGTGAAGAAGTACATCTTGGCCCTGTGGAACGAAGGGTGAGCATCTGCCAGAGACGTCGCCGCTGTTGCCAGCATATCTCTCTCCCCAAGAAGCCACTCTGCCTATCCAGTAAACAAAGAAGCCCTAACAAGTTGGAGAGCAGGAATGGGGAACATGTGGCCCTGTAGTGGCTGTTGGGCTCCCAGCTCCCATTATTCCTGATGGGAACATAGGAAGCTGCCTTACACAGTCGTACCTCGGAAGTCGAATGGAATCCGTTCTGGAAGTCTGTTCGACTTACAAAACGTTCAGAAACCAAGGTGCGGCTTCTGATTGGCTGCAGGAAGCTCCTGCAGCCAATCAGGAGCTGCGGAAGCCCTGTTGGACATTCGGGTTCCAAAAGTAGTTCGCAAACTGGAACAGTTACTTCCGGGTTTGCTCCGTTCAGGAGCCAAAATGTTTGAGAACTAAGCTGTTCGAAAACCAAGGTACAGCTGTTCTGAGTCAGACCATTGGTTCATCTTGCTCAGTGTTGTCTACACATGGAGAGGCAGTGGATTTCCAGGAGGGGGCCTCTCTTCCCAGTTCTACCTGGAGATTGAATCTGGGACCTTCTGCATGCAAAACAGACGCTGTGCCCACGGCCCTGTAGATCAGGGTTTCCCAAACTTGGGTCTCCGGCTGATTTTGGACAACAACCCCCATCATCCCTAGCTAGCAGGACCTGTGGTCAGGGATGATGGGAACTGTAGTCTGGAAACAGCTGGAGACCCAAGTTCGGGAAACCCCGCTGTATCTGGTGCTGAATTAGGGTTGATAGGAATCCATCCTTACCTGGAAGGATGCAGACTCCCCATCCCTGTGCTAACCTTCCAGTGTAACTTCTTGGTGGCTCCTGACGTTGGGCTTGGTGGGCCAAGGGAAAGGAAAGGAAGCCAATAAAAACCTCATATTTCCATTCCTTCCTCCTCAGATACATCATGGGATTCATCAGCAAGGAGCGGGAGAGAGCGATCCTGAGCACAAAGCCCCCCGGCACCTTCCTGCTGCGATTCAGTGAGAGCAGCAAGGAAGGTGGGATCACCTTCACCTGGGTGGAGAAGGACATCAGCGGTAAGGAATGCCACTGCAGCTGCCTTATGCTTAGGGCTGAAGCCAGATCTTCCTTTTTATCTATTAATTACGTTTGCCTATGTGTAAAAGCTGCATTCTTCTCAAGCCCATTTTCCTTATTCGAATGATGCACGCACGTATCGTAGCAGGCGAGAAAAGGACACATTCTTCCTTGGAAAGAAAGGCCTCTGTGCTACCAGCAGTTTTTGTTAGCGCTCATATTAAAAATCGTGTTTGTAACAAGATCTGCCCTGTTAATTGTGTGCAGCTTTTTAGCCAATTAACTGTTTTTAGAACCCGGTTAATTGCTCACACGTTGCAGCCCTGCTTATACCAAATCCGGGTAAATCTCAGAGTACTTGGTCCAGACTGTTGTGCCGGTCAACGAAGGAATGAAGAACACTGCCTTATACAGAGTCAGAGGTTTGGTCCATCTAGCTCAGTGATTTCTACACTGACTGGCAACGGCGCTCCAGGTACGTCAGGTGGAGGACGTTCCCAGCCCTACCTGGAGATGCTGAGAATTGGACCTGGGACCTTCTGCACACAAAGCAGATGCTCTACCGCTGAGCTATGGCCCTTCCCTCTTACGCAAAGGTCTTTCTCAGCCCTGCAGAGATCCTTTAATCATTGGGATGGCATAGATTGAGCCTACATCGTTCTGCAGGCAAAGTATATGCTCTGATCCTAAATTACCCCATACTGACACTTCACTTCTTCCAGAAGTTGTACCAGTCATCAGTTGCACACTCCTAAGTAGCATTAATGGACATTCAGTGACACCATAGCAGCTCAGCCAATGATTAGGGGACAGGCCCATCAATGATGGTCAGTTTTTAGTCTGTCTTGTATTTTAGAAATATTTTTCGACTACCTTGATTTGGTGAAGCTTTGCTGTTGTTGTGACTCTGGTTCCCTTCATATGAGCAAGAAATTGTGCTCCTGTTCATGCTATCCTTGCAAATAACAACTTTCCCCTTTGATCAAATCTCTTGTTTACCCTTTGCTGTAGGGAAGACACAAATCCAGTCAGTGGAGCCGTACACCAAGCAACAGCTCAACAGCATGTCGTTTGCTGAGATTATCATGGGCTATAAGATCATGGATGCCACCAACATCCTGGTCTCCCCACTTGTCTACTTGTATCCCGATATCCCCAAGGAGGAGGCTTTCGGAAAATACTGCCGCCCTGAGAGCCAGGAGCATCCCGAAGTCACTGACCCAGGTAGTTGTTGGCTTTCCGCGCTTGATCCAGCCCTTTGGTTCTCCACTTTACAGCGACATTTTTGGATTTTGGCTTTCTCCACAAAAAGGTCTCACGCTGCTAATCAATGTGACTAGCATCCTTTACCACCCTCTCCAAAATGCAGGGGGCTTGGCTTGTTTCTTTTGATTACATTCCCAGCTCTTCCTTTTGTGACCATAACGGGTTGGTGAAAAAAGCGAACAGATGGGAAGCCAGGAAAAAAGCCCGTATGAATTGTTGCTAATTGTCATTGTTGGCTAAAGTCTGGCTTGCAGCTTTTTAAAAACTAAAGAGGAGTGGAGGCAAGAACTTTTTCAAATTGAAGTTTGGCATGGCCACTGTGAGTTTTGTATTGTTTGCTGATGCCTCTGGAAAGAATATGCACGTTGCTAGCGGTTAAGAAGCCCCAAAAACAGCAGCAGCAGCAGCACCCACTCCCCTCTGGCTCCTACCATAGTTTGGGGGCAATTCTCAGTTCCCCTCTTTCCCCCCTCTCCCACCTTCAAATCCTCTCTATGGAGGAGTCATAGCATATTGAAGAGGAGATGCCCCTGCTGCTCTTCGGCACACACCAGCTTATCAAATACCTTCTCCTCTTTCCCCACCCCAAAAACAGGTGCTGCTCCTTATCTGAAGACCAAGTTCATCTGTGTGACCCCGTGAGTATTTCCCGCGTTGAAAGGGTTGGGTGGGACTCCAGAGGTCCTGCACAGCAATTAGCTGGGGCTTCCTGAGAAGCCGAGCTCCCTCCCTCACCTGTGCTTTGGAAACAAGAGGTCTCTCCTCAGAAACAGCTGAAGCACAGGTGAAAAAGTGCCCAGAGAGGAAGTGGTGCAATGCGCCGACCACCATGCCACTGCACCCAGTGCACAAGTGAGGAACAAAATCCCGCAGGCACCTCCTGTTAAAGATATAAGGCATAGAGAGAGAAGGAGGGATCAAAGTTACTAACACGCACAGCCACACACGTTTGCATAAAGATATAGGTTGAGTTTTATTTTGTTGAGTCAAAGCTCTATACTCCATGGTGCAGAGCAGAGTTTGGTGGTTCTGGAGACCTTGGGGCTTTTACAACTTATAACTTGTACTTCCCTTCTGTACCCTCTCCTCTTTTTCTCTTACCCCCCCCCCCACTCCCCACGTGCCTTTCCCAGAACCACTTGCAGTAGTACTATTGAACTGCCTATGTCACCCCGCACCCTCGAATCTCTGATCCATTTTGGCAGTAATGGTGAGGGAGCAGAGGGGAACGCCAGTGGCCAGTTTGGTGAGTGTGTGGTCCGCAGTGCTGTTTTGTTTGGTGGAAGGGGGCGGGCTCTGCTCTCGTGCATCTCATTATGGAAAGGACAGGCCAAGGCTGCATCCAGACTGCCCTCCAGAAGCAAGTTACTGAAACTTGAGCTTTCAACCCTTGTCAACGTAGATTCCACAAGTCCGAGCGCCTCTGATTTCAGTGGATTGTGAGCAAGCATCATTCTCTCAGACACACCCTCCTCCTCATCCTCCTGCAGCTTAATTCATTGCCTTCCTGTTTTAATCAAACCACGGTTTCTTGTTGCGTCCAACCCAGAGAACTATTGTCTGAGCACTCCCTTTGAACTAGAATTGCAAACCACAATTTGATCCCAGCCAGAAAGGAATCCTCCAATGGTCGTGTTGTTGTTGGGAGCTGCACTGCCTTCTGTGCTGCCTTCCAAGAGCTCCACAGCAGTGGTGGGTGGGAGACGACAAAGTGATGAGTGCGGATTTTTACCTTTGTGGAGTAGGCTACTTCCTACACCCACTCCATCCAGGTCAGCAAGTGGTGTTATTAGAGTTCAAGGACATGTTACAGTCATGCAAAAATATTTGGGTTGGAAAGGGAAGAGGGGGAGAGATAAGAGAGGCCATATCTGACCCTCAGGCCCAAGGTTCTCCAGCCCGGCTTTAAAGACAGTCTTTGGAAACATAAGGGCTAGAGGCTTGGAGATCTCAAGGAGCAGAATTCTACAGCCATATCTACAGTTTGTTTTGCTTATGCACGTCATTGAGGAATATGCAGAACCTTGAGCGTGCTGCAGGCTGTGAATCAGTCCTCTGTCCAGGAGATGTTGAACCATCTCTGACATTGGCAGGGATCCCTGCTGCAGCAACTGGATCCCATGCATTCAGCTCTCTTTCCGTATGTCCCACAGAGTCCTTGCAAGTCTTCGACATGGAGATGACCGCTGAGAGCGCCAACTCTCCCATGTGATTGGACTCCTCCTGGGCAGCTGATCGGTTCTGCATTTCCCTGGCACAAGAAACACCTTCTTCTTGCATTGTCGGATGAGCCCAATCGGCACTCAATCTCTGCCTCAGCTGGAGACGTTTGATTGTGGGTCCGTCGTGAGCCGCTTTTGAATACACCATCGCCAGCAGCTCCTTGCCTGAGCTCGTGTGACTGGAGGGAAAGCCCTGCTTAATTTTAGATGGGCTTTTTCCCCCCCAGAAGAAAAAAAAATAGTTCTCCCTCATGTGTAAAAGCTACTTGTATAAGGGTATTTTCTGTTTGTCTTTGCTAGACCAAGTGCCTCTTCATGTCCACATAGCTGGCCTCCTGTACATGTTTGCTGCATGCCGCAAAAGGCTGCTTGTGCAGCTCACGCCAACTTCCAAGGTTTTTACCCAGTCTGTTCGACAAGCCGTGTTGTCAAGTGTAGGCAGGAGGGGAAGGAAGAAGAAATTGTGGGGGTATCATTCTTAGATATTGGTGCAAATTTTTTCTGTTTCATTGCCCACATTAAAGCTCCATTTCTCTCCCCCCCCCCACTGGCCCACCTCTTTTTTTTAAAAAAACAAAAACTTGCCAAATGATGTGAAGGCGAACGTAGGCCTAGCACAGCAGCCCTTCAAGGTAAGATACCTGTGTTCCCCAGGGCTAGAGAAATGCCAGGGGCATTGGACACCTGTGCACACTTTGCACTTGGTTGGCAGCTCCAGGAATTTCTATTTTTAAAATAACTTTTTTTCCACCAGCTTTTGGCTAATTCCAATTTTACATTAGGGAACGAAGGTTGTTAGAATTATGTGCTCACCGTTAACGGAGCAATCCATGGTAGAAGTGGGGATTTTGACCCAGGTCACCCAAATTAGCGCTCAGTTCCTCCCCCCCCCTCTTCTTAGGCAGGGCTTCAGGTCATTGGGGACGGCGGAGAGCTCTTCTCTTTGGCCCTTAAGCCCAGATGAGGCAACCGAGCTGAGTCAAGAGCTCAACTGCTAGATTCACACTTGGAGATCTGTTCACTCCGGTTATCTTTCTTTTTTTTAATTATTATTTATTGCACTTTTATCCTGCCCTTCCTTGAAGGAGCCCCGGGCAGCATGCAAACCTCCACCCCTTCCTTTCCCCTCATCCTTTTATCCTCTCAACAACCTTGCGGTGTAGGTTAGGGATGAGATGGATTCCTTCTGTGAGGTAGATTAGTGGCAGCAATAGTCCTGAGCTTTCTGGCTACGTCAGGCTTTGCACCTGGTTCTCCTGATTCTAGCCACTGCACTCTCATCTTAACTGTTGCGTTAGGAGCAAAGAGGCAAAAAAAAGGTTCCTGCCAGCGTCTCTCCTCTCCCACCCCAAACCGCGCTTTGTTTGGCTTGCCCATTTCCTACGCTTTCCCGTTTTTTAATACTCTGGGCTGTAATATTTTTTATTACTATCTGCCCAATCATTCTCTCCACCTTCTAGGGCTTAAGCCTGAGCTATACCTAACGCTAGTCGGCTGTTGCTTGCCTGAGTTAACAATTGACAGTCCGGCATAGGAAAACTAGAACTCAGATGCTGATAATCTAGTTGTAAATCTCAGCTGTTGGGCTTGTGTGAGTTCATAGAATCATAGCCTTGTAGTGATGGGCGGGAACCCAAAGGAGTGAGGAATCACAGCTACGGATTCCTGCTTTGCAGGGGGTTTGGATTAGGTGACCCTTAAGGTCCCTTTCAGCTCTGCAATTGCCCAGTGGGCTCTCCCGGCGCCGAGACAGAATGATGCAACAAGTATTTTCCAGTATTACTTAGAGGCGTTGGCTAAAAAGGAGTCAGGTCATGGTCGGAGCTGTCGGACTGATCTCTTTCCCTACACCAGACTTCCTCAACCTGGAACGCTGGCTGGGGCTCATGAGAGTTGTAGTTCAGCAACCTTTGGAAGGAAAAGCAGGCCCTTGGTGTTAAGAAGAGAACTTGCCTCCTTCAGAAATGCCAAGCCTTAGAAAGTGTTCCAACTACTGCAAAGCTGTCCTCATTCCAAAATAGCTTATATACCCAAGTTTTTAGTACCAAGCTTCACCACCGCCAAAAAATTCCTATTTTTTTTCCTCTATAGCTAATTGCTCCCCAGAGCGTAAATATCTTAATAGTATGTTTTGTATATTTTATTGCTGTATCTACAGGCTTTAAACTTTCTCTTAAATAAATAAATAAATAAATGTCCTTAACACCACATTTCTCTGCTGGAGATGAAGCACTGGGTACTTGGTGTGTTTGTTGAGCTGAGAAAGCAGAGTGGCTTGTGTATGTGTGTGTGAGAGAGAGAGAGTCTGTTTGAAAGCAATTTGACTTGGAGATGAGATGAGACGGATCTTTTGTCCAAATGCATAGATGAGGGGCTGGGGGTTTTTTTCTGTGCTGTGGGGCCAAAACCGTATTGAGGTGATGAGTGGAACCCTGTCCGCAGTTACCTGGATGTAAGTCCCATTGAAATTGCCAGGGTTTACTTCAGAGTAGTTGTATAAACAAGATTGAACTATTTGGTGCAGGTGTTAAGTTTTGTTCATTTAACTATGTTTCTACCTCACTCCATTAACTTTTTACTTTTTAAAGGTGGTGGGGGTTTTTTCTGAAGAAGTATAAATGAGATTTTTTTTAAAGTGCTTTAGGTACACTTTTAGTAAGTTTTTTGTGTGTGTGTGCAGAAGATTTGGGGCACATCCACACCACAGACTTAAACTGGTTTAACAGCCAGTCCTCTTCCCAGGGAACTCTGGCGATTTTAGTTGTGTGAAGGAGATCAGCGATGAGGGGAGATTAGGAGACTTCCCAACTAAACTGTGCAGCCTGAATTTGTTGCTATGGGACTGAATCCCTCCTGAAAATAGCATCGGTCTGGAAACACCCAGGATCCCACCCTTGTGTTTGTTGCATCATACTTGAAAAGGATGCCTCAAGTTTCTCATGCTGAAGCTATTCATGCATCCTGCCAGGTAGGGTCTCAAGTGCTAGTCCATAAATAAGCAAACAGAGGTTACTAACTTTTGTGGGGCGGGGGGGCGTGTTGGCACACTGTGAGACAGTGCTATGGGTACCACTCCCTCTGTTATTTCTCTTTTCCTAATCCCAACCCTGGGTCATTCTGCCCCAGGTAGACTGATGAAATACACACACACACAAAGTTTTTCCTCGGGGGAGGGGGCAGGTAAAAGATGGATCCAGCAGAATAGTGGTGAGGAACCTTCTTTGGCCCAGATCTTTATCTCCCCTCCACCACCATGGACCAACTTTGATATTTGAGGCTGCACAGGTCTGAATACAGCATCATAGCATGGGGCAAGGTACATGGGTTCTTGGGGGCAAGGAAAGAAACAGAGGAGGATTTCATTGATTCTTCTTGAAGGCATCTAGTTTGCAGGTGTTTGTGTCTGCTTGTCTGGAGAATTGCAAGTGGCCACTACTGGGGCAGGGGGAGAGCAGAGAACCTGTAATGGGAAAGTCACACAGTTGTTTGGTGGCTATGATGCAAAAAGTAGAAAAGGCTCGGTAGATTCATCATCATCATCATCATCATTTGTTATTTGTACTCTGCCCATCTGACTGGGTTGCCCCAGCAACGCTGGGCGGCTTTCAACAGAGTATAAAAATACAACAAATAGAAAGGATGTCCGGGGCCCCCCCTAAGGTGTGATCTGATAAGGGGTGAAGCCCCAGTCTGGTTTATTATAAGTGTCTCCCCACCAAGATTTCCCAAGCTGTCATTGCCCATCATTTCTGATCTAGCAAAGCTGGAGAGGAACAAATTTTGTAAAAACCACTATTTTTGGAAGAGGTGAAGTGCTGCTCCCGTGTGGAGAGCTGGAATCACTGCAGCTATAATTTTGCGGTTGCTTCCAGGCAGACCGTAAGGACGGGCAAATCTCTTCTGTTTCGGTTCCTCATTTTTTCAACCTTAACATTCAGTTCTTCACGTTTGCATATCAGTCTGTGATTTACTTATTTTTAAAGAAAAGCCCTTGTGAAAATTCTTCAGCATTTCATTTCCCCATCATTTTCCTTACTCCCCCAAAACCTGATTTTCTGGGAAAGATGTGTATCCTGTCTGTCAAGAGCTGGGTGTCATAAATAAATCACATAAAGTAAACTCTTCATTAGAAGAAACAAGATCAGCTCAAGAGCACCAGCCCAATGGGCACAATAGCTCTTATCAGTAGGTCTTGCCCCTATGAGGCAGTTGTAGGGGCTGGAGGTCCCTGCCTTCCCACAGCTGCCTAAATCGCCCCCTTCCAGGTTCTTCCAAGCAACCTGAGACTAGCCCTGCAAATCTGTGTCTGTTCCTCCCTCTTCATACCACTTCTGGTCTTGGGAGCCCAGTAGGGAGGGGAGATTGTTGCCGCAAGAAGGGGGGACACCCTGGCTCCTTCAGCAGCCTGACTCATCTCTGCCTTTTGGCCCTGCAGCCTCCGCTTCTGCCTCTGATTCTGGACTTCTTTCTGCCACAGACTCCCCCTGCTCACCAAGCCCTGTTACCTCTTCAGCTTCTGACACCTGCTCCTCTCAGTCTTCTTCCTGTGGCCACTCATTGTTGTCTCGCCACCAACTCCCTGGCTCTGAGCCTTCTTCCCTTCAGGGTTCCCCAGCTGGTGCCTCCCACCATTCCTCTTTGTCTAGCCAGTCAATGACATCACCCTCTGCAAACCAGTCTGGTCTCATCTTCCCTGAAGCAGGGTGGGAGCTCTGTCCAGACGGTCCTGGGGAAAGATTAAGCATTAGGCTGTTCTTCTTCGTCGTGCTGAATGAGTTTAATACAACCGCTATTGCAATTGAGCTTTAGCCACAAATGTGACCCGCACACCTAATAATAGTAGGAGGATGCAAAGCAATACATTCCGCTGCATACATTCCGCTCCCCAGATAAACCCTCAGGCACCTGGGTTAGATGCAGAGAGGATGGCAGAAGGTGGATAGAGGGGCCCCTGTTGCTGGTAATTTGTCACGAAAGCTACTCTTGCACAGAGGGAAGATGCCCTGCCATGCATAGTTCAGAAATGGCAGTATCCAAAAGACTGCTGTTCAACCTTCCCAGGACACTCTGGAAATGACCTTAAAAGCAGCAATCCTGGAGCAAAGGTCCTTGCTATGTGAAACCAGCGCTGACATTGGTGGATTGAAATGCGACCAAGAACTCTTAACACATTATATGCCAGTTCCCAATGCCAGGGTGTCTGTCATCAAAAACTGCTTTGTGAATTACCACTGCTCAGTAGGTAGTCACCATTGGCTGTACTTTTCTGCATTTTAACTTCACTTTTTATATTCCTGTGCACCCAGACATCTGTTTATGTATCTGCAATTTGGGATAAGGCTTTGTACATCTGATGAAGTGGACTGTCTGTAGCACATAAAAGAGGACAGCATAAAAAGTCTGCTAGTCTTCAAGGTGCCTCAAGACCCCTTTGTTGTTTTCTCTTCAAAAATGGCATTCCAGGGGGAAAGTAGGGCTAGCTGCCTCTCAGACAGGGAACAACCAACGTCTATCCCTGTCCCTTCCCCCAGCCTTCTGTTCTCTTATTTACAAAGGTCACGATCTCCCTACAGACAACAAGGAATCTGGGGGAGCAGCATCAGTAATGAAAGGATTAACTGATCACAGGGCCGGAGGCTGCAGGCGGCTGTCCCTCTGTCTCTCTCTCTCTCTCTCTCTCTCTCTCTCTCTCTCTCACACACACACACACACACACACACACAGTGATAAGTAGTGCAGATGTCTAAGGTGCAGCTGGTGCAGAATGCTGCAGCAAAATTGCTGAAGGAGGTGCCCTGCCTGTGCTGAAAGAGCTGCATTGGCTGCTGATGTACCACTAGGCCAGGTTTAAGGTATTCCTATGGGCATGTCATGACATGATCAACTTAGGGCCTCCGGGATCCCATTGCCTTGCATACTGTTGCCTGGTCACTTTGATCCTGAGGAGTGACCTTTATTGAGTATTGTCTTATGCTACTGAGGTTCATCTTGTATCCACTCAGACCAGGGCCTTTAGTGTGGTGGCACCTGCCCTTTGGAATGCACTTCCAGTAAATATCAGGAAGGCACCTACTGGAATTTTGAAACCTGCTTAGAACTCATCCTTGTTAGTGTACTGCAGACTTGAAATGATCCTTGCATAGTTTTGCCCCTAGCAACAAGTTTTCTCCCTGCAACAGGTCTTCCCCCAGCAACAGGGTTTCCTTAGCAACATACTTATTAATTAGACAGACTCCAAAGGGGAGAGAAGTGATGTGGCTGTTACTTTGCCCAGATGGCTAAAGAGCAAAGAGGAGAAATAATTATCTGTTACATAGTTTTACTTCATTTTCCTTAGACCAGTAGTTGTATAAGTTGTAGTAATTATTAATTAAATAATTTAAGCCAGTGGTTTTCAACCAGTGTGCCATGACACCCTGGGGTGCCTTGAAGGATGATCAGGGTGTCCTGGGCAACACTGGCCTCTGTCCCTCTTTTCTTCCCTCCCTCTGATGCCTTCTTGTGTCTCTGCCTCCCAAGGGCTTGTATGGCTCTTTGTTACAGCAGCCCTGGCTACAAGCTCCCCAGGTGAATGGTGCCTCTGGGGCTGGTCAGGGGGTGCTGTTTGCCAGGAGCTGAGGCAGCCTTGGACTAAGCAAGCAAGTGGGTGAGGGAGCCCAGCTAGCCAGTCCACCAGCCCTTGCTGTTGGGAATGGACAGGCAAGTCCCAGGCCAGAAGCCACCTCTCTTTGGGGCAGGGAGAGCAGCTCAGAGACCAGGGGTGGCATCAGTAGCTGCCCAAGGAGGGGAGAGGAGGCTGAGGGAACACTTCACAATGGAAGATGTTCAAAAAAGGATGAGAGGCTGCCAGCTCTGCAGGCAAGGGGTGACACAACTGGGCTCCTAAGCCCCACAAGGGTGCCACAGAAAACATGTAGTTGGTCAAGGGAGCTATGGACTCTAAAAGGTTGAAAATCTCTGCTTTAAGCAGAACTGGAATGGGTGAAGAGTTTATTCCCATGTGGGAATTCACCAACAGATGAGCTGAACTGAGACAGAAGATTCTGGAAGACTTACTGGGTGACTCAGCTGACTGAAAAAAGAACCCGCAAATGATTGGCATAGTGCTCTGGCTGAAGGGCCAGGATACCCAAATCCTGTCTGTGAAATCACCCCAGGCTTCAATAATCACCCCAGGCCTCAAAACTGTCCAAAATGCCCTTTCTCTCT